CCAAGGACCCTAGAACAAGTTTTTTATTTGCGTGTCTCTCTCTGTGTGTGTTTGTAATAACAGCAATTACTTACATTCACATTTCTGTGATGGAAAATGAGTACAGGAGAGACGTTTTTTTTGGGTGGGGGTTTCTTCGAAATTTTGAACCAGAAAAAAATGGGCATCGATAAATCTAATTCAATCAAATACAAACACACCAACTCATCATGACCATTTTTTTCTCGTCAATTTCTTGGAATTATTATTCACCATCAACCCGGTATGAATGATTTTGGTAAGGTGATAGCCATTATCACTCATTTTAGCTTTTGTTGTTGTTGTTGTTGGATTTTTTCTTTCTTTTTTTTCTTCTTCTTCTTCTACTTACATAGTCATATCATGATCATCGGCACATTATCATCATGAACATCAGCGACAACAGTGACGATGACAAGACAAGTAATGGCTAGCCACAAAAAATTGATGGACGATGTTATAATGATGATCATATTACTTGCTTGTCGTTGTTGTTGATTGAAGTTGATGATCAAGGTGATGACCAATGATGATGATGTTGATGATGATGATGTTGATGATGATGATGATTAGGATGTTATTGTGACCACACACACACACACATTAACATCATTATCCATTATCATCACCCAAAATGATCATTCATTTTTAGGTGTTGTTAATAATGATCATCGTCTATATTTTTTTTCACAGATTATTTATTTTTTTATTAAATTTCAATCAATAATTTGATTTGAATTTTTGTGTTTATTTAAAACACCACATATCGATAGAATCGATACGTTCATCACATTTTGTTTCCCAACAACCAAAAAAAAAAAAAAAATTTTTCTCCATTATCATCATCATCATCATCATTATATCCACCATTATTATATATGTGTGTGTGTGTAATGTATCAAAAAAAAAAAAAAAAAAAATGATGATAAAATGGCCGTATCATCAATTTTTGATTCTCAATCATAATTGAATTTTTTTTTAAATGGCCAAATCTAAACCACCACAAGTTAAGTATTTCAATAATAATGACAACAACAACAACAACAAAAAAAAGCATCGTTATCATTTTTCATTCATTCCATTTTGGATTTTTTTTTACCCAGGAAGAAAATGAAAAAAAACAAGTTTAATCTACAATTGTTTTCTCTCAATCAATCTCAAGATAATAATATTATAAAAATCGATACAAATCGATTCGAGATTTAAAATAGATTCTCTTTAAAAAAAAAATGAAACAAAAATTTTCAATTTCCATTTATCTATATTAGGATTTTTTTTTTGTTATTATCATCATCATTAGTTTTTTCTTGAATACAATTCTTGTATAATATACATTGACATCGATGAAGTAGCAGAACAACAACAACAACAAAAGCTCAATCACGAAATGGGGGTTGTTGGCCTTTTCATCATCATCATCATCATAATCTTGATACATGCAGAAAAAAATGAAAAAAATAGAAAACTCTCTTTTCAAAAAAAATTTGAAATTCTTGAATGTATTCAGTATTATCAACAACGATGAGATTCAAAGAGTTAATGAATTTTATATATGTGTGTGTGTGTGTAATCAAGTGATAAGTTTCTATTTATCTGTCTGGATAATTATATCGTCAATAATCTCTGTATTTCACCATTTATTTTGTTTTTTTTTTGATGACTAATCATCATCATCATCACCATTTAACCGATTTAATCGATCAAGTGTCAAAATTTGAACAAAAAAATTCAGATCAACCGAAAAAAACATTTTTTTTTCATAAAATTTGAATATCCCTACAGGACAGCAAAAAAGAAAAAAAAATCCAATGACAATCGAATATAAATCAATCAATCAATCAATCATTGTGATTCTCACCAAAAAGTTTATTGACTTGCACACACACACACACACACACACACAACACAACAAACAAACAAAAAAAAATATTTCGGGCGTCATCGACAATCATTGAATTTGTCACCGAAATGAAAAAAAATCATCCAATGACAAACATTCAATGTTTTTATTGGATGATTTTTTCTTCTCTGTTTTTTTTCGATTGAGAAACTTGAGAAATTTTTTTTATATTTGGTTTGCCTTCCACTATCATCATCATTCTATATAATGTATATCGGGCGTCACCAACACCCCGATATACAATGCGCATCAATGGATTCCATTTTTTTTTGGTGTAAAAAAAATGTGAAACCAGACAAAAAAAAAATTCAGCAGACCAATGTGTGTGTGTGTTGATCATTTTCACCATCATCATTCGATGATGATGACGCCTTCAATATTTTTTTTTCTTCTTCATCAGTGGGATGTGATCAAACTAAAAAATTTTTTTTTGTGAATTTTTCTCTCTCTCTCTTCTCATACACACACACACACACACACACACAAAATGGATGTTTTTTTTTTTGTGATGAAAAAAAATCACTGATTTTTTTCTCCCAATATTCATCATTCTCCTCCCCTTTTTTTCCATTTTTTTTCTTCTTCGAAATTTGTAATGGCAAAAAATGAAATTCAAACAACAACAACAACAACAAAAAAAATATTGAAAAAAAGCCACCAACCACCATTATCGAATCATCATCATTGTGTGTATCTTGTATACCTTTTTTTATGAAAAAAAATCAAATTTTTTTTTTGTCGAGCTGCTGCTATATATAATACACACACACACACATAAAAAACATTTGACTGTAGCAGCATATATATAGCAGCAAGCAAGATATTTTCATCCATCCATCCATCTATTCAATCCATTCATATATATTTTTTTTTGGTGTTTTTTTGTATTTTATTCAAACACACAAAAAAAAAAAATTCAAGCTCCGCCTAAATGGCGTTGTCTATCTTTCTATACAGTGTTTGCTTTTTATATTTTTTTTTTTTTTTTGACGTTGAAACATGGTAAATGTGTGTGTGTGTATATGATCGGTGGTTCGGTCGGTTTTTTTTAGTATATTTTTTTAGAGTGAATTTTTTTTTCTGGTTAGATCCTATGATGGTGATGAATGAAGAGGACATAGACAGCAAACAGGAGAGAGAGAGAGAGATGAATTTGTTTCATTTCATCAAATATTAGCGGACATATAACATTGTCGTCCGTTAATATATTCTCTCTTTCTTTTTCTGTTGATTTCATTTCTCTCACAAATTTTCACTTTAATCCTTTTTTTTTGTTTGTTTGAATGAATGAAAAAATCATTTCTGAATATGTGTATGGATGTGTGTGTGTGTGTGTGTGATGAAGGTGTGATAAATTAAGAAAAGAAACAGAAAACAAAACAAGTTCATTGAATTATTATCAAGTTTTTTATTCTTCTTTTGATTTACCAATGATGATGATGATGATCATGATTATTAAGTGTTGATGATTGTATTACACGTTGTTTGTTTGTTTGTTTGTTTACTGATGTTTGGTGTGATTTTGTCTCTTTTTTTCTACAGATTGTTGACATCTATCCATCAACAACAACAATTTTTTTTTCGTCAATTTGTCTCATTTTTTTGTGTGTGTGTGTGTTTACATTTTGTTTTCTTGCTCAAATTCATGTCATATGGATTTGAAATGTAAATTCTATTTTTGTTTTTCCTATAGTGGATTCATTCCAAGTTTTTGATTATGCTTACAACGGCAACGGCAACAACAACAACAGCAGCTAATTCATCAGATCAAATTAATTCACATCATCATCATCATCGTTTATTGAATAAATCACAACAACAATCGATGACGACAACAGACAATATTCTTAATAATTCTTCATCAAATTCCTCTTCCTCTTCAGTCCGATCATCATCATCATCATTGTCGTTTATGCCAAAAAATTCAATTAAATCAAATTTAGATGTTGATGATGATGATCATCATCATCTCTTTCATGATAAATCAATTACCGGTGATAATCATAATATTGATTATGATGATGATGAATATGATGACAAAATGTCACAACATCAAAAACAACAGCAACATGTGCCTTTTTCAATGTCACAACAATCATCATCATTTCCATTATTATTTCAACCTGATTCATCCACTTCTTTACCGGTTCCTGTAACATCATCTTTAAATAATGATGATGATGATGATGATGATAATAATAATGTTGATGATCATAAATCACAATCACCACCATCATCATCATCATCATCATCACCATGTTCAACAACATCATCATCATTTCATGATAATAATAATCAATCAAAAATGATTACTATGAATGAAATGAATTCATCAAATGGATCACAATTATTGTTTGATGAAACATTTAATGTAAATGAAACCGATAATAATATGATGATGATGACAAAAATGATGATGATGACTGGTAGTGGTAGTAGCAATATGAACAATAATAATAATAATAATAATATTAGTGTACAAACAGGAAATAGTGGAAAAAATAAAAGAAAAAATTTCAAACCACGTTGTATTGAACCGGAAACATCATCGACAACAACAGCAGCAGCAGCAGCATTGATTGCTCAACAATCTCAATTGAATAGAATAATGAATGAATCATCAATGAACGATGATCCACAGCAACAATTATTTCAGAATTTATTCAATGATAATTCAACAATGAAGAATAACATCAGTGGTAGTGGTGGTAATTCTAGTCTAATAACAAATTCAATTTTAACACAATTATTCAACGATATGAATAATCATCATAATAGTCAACAACAACAACAACAGCAGCGGCAGCCAAATCAATCATTAGATTTATTAGATCAACAACAACAACAACAACAACAGATGCAACAGTTGATGTTACAACAAATTCAGATGCAAATGCATCAACAGCAGCAGCAACAACAACAACAATCCAAGAATCATCTATTTGAATTATTCTTGATGAAATCAATGCGTAATCAATTTCAACAACAAGAACGTAGTGGTGGTGGTATATCCACGATAACAAAATCAATACCATCATCATCATCATCATCGTCATTATCATCGATTATTGAAAAAAAATTACAATCAAAATTGATTAAATATGAATCGAATAGTAGTGATAATAATAAAATTAAACGTGGTTCAAAACGTAAATCGAATGCAAATTCAACGATCGATAATAATGATGATGTGAATGATGATCGAAAATTAATGATGAACATTTCACATAATAATGATTCAAATTTTATGGATCATCTGTTACAATTATATAGTTTTAATCGTGAAAATTATTTAAAATTTTTACAACAACAAATTCCACAATTATCATCATCATCATCATCATCAATGAATTCTACAACCAATCAATCGATACGTATGATGATGAAAAATACTGATGGACAAGATGACCACCACAATCGTCAGCAACAACAACAGCAACGATCATCACCATCATCATCATCACCATCGTCATGTAATCAACAACAAATAAAAAATCATGGTAAGCACACAAACACACACACACACACACGAAATTTGAATTTTTTTGGGTAATTTTTTTTTTTTTTTTGGTTATTGTCATGTTATTTGTTTTTTTTTGGATCAAAGGTCAACATGTAACAAGATGTAATTATAATATTTACAAAATGTTTGATTGTTTGTATAACAACCAGAAAAAAAATGATAAAAAAATCAATTGTCAAATATGATTTATAACCAAATGAATGCGAAAAAAAAATTGAAAAATTTTTTTCTGATTGATCATCATCATCATTATGATGATCATCATTGATTGGGAACATTATCATTATTATATCAATATACACAAACAACAACAACAACTTGTTGCATGTCAATTTAGATTTCTAGTTTTAATATTTGGGTAAAAAATTTTTTTTAGGTTTTGATTAAATCTCTTTCTCTTTCTCTTGATGAACCTTGAATTGATTTCGATTTTTTTTTCTTTCGTTGTGATCTATAATTATAGTTTACAAATGTATACACTGTATACACACACACACACATACCATAGGTTTTTGTGTTGCAGAAAAAAATGATGCAAACATCAATTTCTTTCACTCATTTTTTTTGTGTACTTAAACACAGTATTATTATTCATCTCGTTCGTGTGTGTGTGTATGTCATTGATCCACCGATTTTGATTTTGATTTTTTTTCAAATTCTTGTTCTGTTGTCTCAGAATTTTTGTTTTTTTCTACTCACTCAATAATTTGTTTGTTTGACATTTATAATTTCATTATCAATTATCGATTATTGGTATCTAGGTAGTTTTTGCTGAAAAAAACAACAAACAAACATCACTGCCCGAAGGTCAATTTGTTTGATTTTTTTAAATTTTTTGTGGTCAAAAAAAACTACCACCACCACCATTACCAAAATTACATTTCAAATTATTTGACAGTTTACAGTGCATGTAATCTTCTTTTTTTTCAAAATAAAATTTAGCTTGAACCTAGAAATTCAATCGATCGTTCGTGTGGTGGTGAATCAATTTTTTCTCTCTCTCATTGTATAATTATCATAATCACTTTTGATATGGCATGATTTTTCTTTCTTTTTTTTGATGATTATTCAAGCCATCAATATCAGTACAGTGTGTGTAATGGCTGTTCATGGATGCATCAAATCAGATTCGTATTATACACACACACACACACACATTTTGATCGATCAGCCAGATCAAATCTAAATCGATTGATTCGGTTTTTTTCTGAAAAATTCAAATTTTTTTTTTGTTGTTGTTGTTGTTGTTACCAGTTTCCCATCACCAAAATTATCGATAATCAACGATGGATAATTGTGTGTGTCTCTTTCTATTTCGAAATTTGGCCCAGATTTTTTAGCCTGAAAACAAAACAAAACAAAAAATCTTTTTTAATTTGCATACCACATGAGTGGTTGGATGAAAAAAATGTATTGGATTCGAAATTTGGGAAACCAGAAATTTTTTTTTTGTTTATCGAAAAAAAGAGGTTTTTTTTCTCTTCAATGATCAACAATGAACAGCTCGATGATTTTGGAAATTAATTTTTCCATCACATTGATGATGATGATGATCTAAACTCGTTTAATGATTTTGATGATAATAATGATGATGATGATGATGGCCGATTAACATTTGTCACGAAAAATTTCAATTATTTCGAAAACGACAGAAAAAAAAGAACCAAGAGTTTATATACATGTGGTGAGAATTTGTGTATGTGTGTGTGTGTGTATGTTGAAAGTTCCGGCCGAATACTACATATCCATATTATTATTTACCTGTGTGTTGAAATTTCTCTTTTTTTTTTGTTTAATTTATTTAAATTTAAATTTAGCACATGTTAAATGCAAAACTATTTATGCGTGTTCATCATTTGCATTTGTCATCGTCGACCTTCTTCATCTTCCATGATGATGATGATGATAATGATGGTGATGATGATATTGCCTCGAAAATAATGTTTCGGATGACTTAATCATCATCATTTGGTTTATTTTCAAATAAAACAACCAAATGATTCAATTCATTATTTTAGGTGTTAATTAATTTGATTTTCAATGAGAGAGAAAAAAAATATTGAAATCCAATGGGCAAATTTTCATTCAAAAATAAATACACAATTAGTTCAAATGAAAAATACAAATAGATTTTCCACCAATTCCATCCAAATTCAAATTCACCAATTGATGGTGGTGGTAGGTTGGCCCAGATTTTTTTTTCTGTATTTATAAAGACTTTTTGTAATGCAAATTTTTTTTTCGTTTTTTGTATCCATTGGTTTGATGATGATGGTGATTGCAAGAAATTTTGATGATTTTTTTTCTGTTGGTTGATGGCAAGACTAGTTTGATTCAGTTGCCTTAACATATGCAAATTTTTTTTTCTTTTTATTGTAAATGATTTTCATTCTTTATTTTGAGAATAAAATTCACACACACACACACACACACACACAGACAGCATTACATCACAATCACACACACACACACACATCGATAATAATGGCTTCAGTTTCAAAGTTTTCAAAGTTTTCATTTTACTCGGTATAATTTGTTATTTTTCTTTTTTTTTTTTATTCATATAAATTTATCACTGTATCATTTTGATGGCATCAAAATGGGAAGAAAAAAAAATATATATCTTTCCAAAATCACAGTGTTTTTTTTTTTTTTGTTTGTTGTTGTTGTTTTTCGACCAATTTGACAGCTGTTGCTGTTGTGAAATATGAAACTTTTTTTTTATATTTTTTTTTTTTTTTGTTTGTTTGTTCTCAATAATGAGATCTATTGTGTGTGTGTGTATTTATGCTCGGGTTTTCATATATGATTCTTGAATTTTTTTTTTTCTCGGTTTGGTTTCTGACGGACACCGACCCCGGACACATATGAACGTGTCTTGGTGGTCATTCGTTTTCATCATCATCATCATCATCATTTTTTTTTCTGATGTCCAATTTTCAAATAGTCCATTTTCATTGTTTTTTTCACTGACTTTTTAGAAAAAAAAATTTTTTTTCATCATAATTTCATGCCATAATCATTTCAGGTTTTTTTGTTTGTTTTAGTCAGCGATGCCATTCTATTGTGATTCGATTGTCATACAGTGTGTTGTGTATGCAATGTGTGCTTATGGAATTTGAATTCCAATTTTATTATCATCATCATCACAAACATCACACTGCACATCTGCACAAAATTCAATTGAATTTTACATTTTTTTTTGTACTGGATGCTGCTGCTGGTGATGATGACAGGTAACCAATAACAATTATCATTATCATTACCATCTTTTTTTTTCGTCACAATAAAATTTTCAACTGGACAATTGATGTTATGCAGCTGTTTTTTTTTATTTTGCAGCAAAAAAAAATTTTTTTATGAAAAATTGAAAAATAAAATTTTTTCATATTGTTAGCGGCGGCGGTGGTGGTGGGTGGCGGCGACGACGACGACGACGGTGCTGATGATGATGATCATCATCATCAACATGAATTATTTATTCATTTTTTTGAAATCTGACAAAATACAAAAAAATGATCGTGACCCTCAATCATATACACAGAGGTCAGTTTTCACCAGTAGTAATAGTAGTGGCTACTGTGTCGGTCGTCATTTTATATTTTCATTTTTCATTCAACAAGCTTTTGTCGCTACTCTATCATACAACCATTGTAGAAACTAACAGGTATTTAGATAGATAGATAGATAAATTATGAAATTAATCGCGTGGGAATTTTACAAGTCTAATTTTTATTGTTGTCGTCGTCGTTGTTGTCGTTGTTGAGTGAAAACAAATTTTCCATATCAGAATCGAAGAAAAAACACATCATTCTCATTGAATTCATATATTTTGTCATAATCATTCTCTATTTTTTTCAGTTTTGTTTTATTTTATTTCATTTCATTTCATTTTGTGTATTTAATCATCATTATCATCATTGTCGTTTTTCTTTTCTTTTTTTTTTTTTTCGACTGAAATTCTCATCATTTTGTGACAAAATGACCAATGAATGTGTATGGGCAATAAACAGCAGCAACCATCAAGTGGAAAATGATGAAAAATGAAGAAAGGAAAAAAAATTTTGAATCAAAATTGAAATCTAAACATTTGTTTGGCCATAAAAAAACAGCAATTGTGTGTGTGTTTTTTGTTTGTTTGTTTGTTGCGATTTTTTCTTTACATAGAACCGATAACAATCGATTTTGATCGGATCATAATCGATAATCTACTCTTCTCTCGGTCTGTGTGTGTGTGTAGCGATTTTTTTTCCATTTGTCACCTTTTTCAACACAATTTTTCACACACCAACCAAAATAGAAACAAACACATAGAGAGATCTTGAACAAATCTTTTATTTAGATTTTTTTTTCTTGTCAATTTCATTGTTAATTTTCACTACTTTTTGTCTCGTTTTATAATAGCCGATAATGATGATGATTTGGAAAATGAAAATCATGAAATACCGGTCAATAATAGCATGGACAACAACAATCATCATCGTCGTCGTACAATAATAAATTTTTCACAAATAGTGATGATGGTATAAATGATGATGATCAATATAAGACAATCCGTAATCGTGATCATTCATCGATTATTGATCAACAACAACGACAACAACAACAACAACAATCATCGTCATCATCATCATCGATTAATGTAGATAAATTGAAACAATTACAACAATTGTATAAATTGAATTTAATACAACATTTGGATGGTGTACAACAACAACATTCAACAAACAACAACATCATCATCATCAGTGAAATTGAATCCATTTACCGAATCAATGTTTTTGTTCCATCAACAGCAGCAGCAGAAGCAACAATCAAAAATAATTTACAAGAAAAAATTCATAAACCTAGTCTATTGTCAATGAATTTGATTCATAATGATATAACATCGAACGGTAATTACAATGATAATTTATCATCATCATCATCAACATCGACAACGACAACGACGACGACGACGACGACGATGTCGATGTCAATGGCAAATAATAATAAATCAGAAATTAAAATTGTAAGTTGTAGTCGTAATAATAATCATTTTTCATCCTGTTGTCAATTGTTAATTTTTTTTTTCCATTTAGGACAATATAACATATGTAAAAGATTTATTCCGTAACAAAGTAATCAATGCAAAATCATCATCACGTAGGCCATTAAGTTCATGGAAACAATCGATTAATGCATGTGGTCCTGGGCCAGCACCATGGATAGAAAAAAGTACATTACATTCATTGGGTATTCAAGGTAAGGCGAAACAAAAAAAAAAAGAAAAGGAAAGGAAACTGTGAACTGAACAAGAAATTTATGATTTTTTTCCTTATTATTTTCACCATATAAAAAAAAATCAAGAAATTTTTAACGAAAAAAAAACTCAATTGAAATTGAAAATTTTTGGAAATCAATCTTGGCTGCTCATTGATGATGATGATGATGATGATTATCATACTCATTGGATCACTCTATCCTATTCAATATATATGTGATTAAAATGTATTTTTGTGTGTGTTGACAGTGATCGATCTATATTTTTTATTTTATTCACTGATCACAAAATAATAAATGAATGACAATTTGATGAATACATATATATACTACACACTACTTTAATCATTTATAATGGTGGATATATATAAATGAAAGACTCACACACACACACACATACACTTTCAATCGTTTGGTTTTTTCCCATTTTTTTTCTGCTGTTTTTGTAGTTGTTGTTGTTGTTGTTGTTGTTGTTGTTCAATTTCACTATATGGGGAAGAAAAATTACAAAAAGCTTTGTTGTTATATTGTCCATTCATTAAGTTATCAATAATGAAAATTTTTAAAAAATGAATGAATGAATGAATGAATGAGAGAGAAAATATTACATTTTTTTTCTAGTCGAAAAAGCCAAAGAAAATTTCATTTTTTTTCTTTTAATTAAAATTAAAATGAATGGAAAAAAATATGTGAATATTTGTTGTTGTTGTCCATGTAGAGGAAAAAAAACCCCAATAGGGAGCCTCAATGTTGTTGTTTTTAGGCCTTGTTCTCATCATCATCATCATCATCATCATGCTCAGAACATCCATTTTTTTGCAGCCATTTTTTCCGGCGTTAAAAAAAACCAAAACAAAACAAAAAAAAAATGAATTTTTTTTGGCTTCAAAAAAATTTTTCAATGAGAAAAAAAGAACAAAACAAAACAGAAGAAAATTTTCTTTATTTCCATCATCATCATCATCATTTCTGATGATGATGATGGTCACCTGCAGCTTTCTATTTTTCTAGCTATAGCTTTTCTCATCATCATCATCATCATAGTCAAGTTTTTTGTTGTTGTTGTTGTTTTTTTCGTTGGTGATTACAAAATATACTGGAAAAAAAATTGACATCATCATCATCATATGTAATGTAAGGTTGTGTAAATTGTGTGGTTATAGATGAAATCTTTTTTTTTTTTTGGTTTTTCAAAACGAAACAGAAAAAAAAATTTATCGAAAAAATATCAATTATCAGATTGTAAAGATATGATTGATTTTTTTTTCGTTGCTGTTTCGTTCTGCAGATTTTGTATCCATTCATTTAGCCATTGTTGAGAAAATGTATCTTAATTGATTTAGTTGAGCTATTTTATCCCCCACCCCACCACCACCACCACCACCACCACCACTCTCAGTTTACTTTTGTGGATGAAAAAAAAAAAAAAATTTTTTTTTCCAACAAATTTTTGTTTGTTCTCATTGTTTGTGTTGGATTTTTTTTTTTTTTTTGGACTTGAGTTGAACAACGACCACTTGTTGAATATATATTTTTTTTTCAATATTTGATTTCTTCTGATCGATGATGATGATGATAATGATCAAAGTTTTTTTTTGTTGCTGTTTGGGATTGCCACTCATTTGTTTTCTATTCAAAAGTTTTTTTCTGTGGTTTTTCTGTGCTGTGTGTGTGTGTGTGTGTGTGTGATTGATTTTTTTTCCAGCTTTTCGATTTGTTCCGGCCACTTGAATTGAATTGAAAATTATTTTTCAATTTTTTTTCTCTCTCTCTCTCTCTTTGATATACTCGTTTGTTTTGGTTAAATGTTGAAACATAATCTTTATACATTTTTTTTTCATTGCTTATGCTTATGCTTCTACTTCTACTTTTGTGATGTCAATCATCATCATTACATAATCAGCAAACACACACATACATCTCGAATCAATCAAAATTTCTAATTTATTCTTGTTTTTTTTCTATTAATCTTTTCTACAAATACCAAAAAAAAAAAAAAAATTTCAGGTGAATTGATCAATAAATCCTGTCCAATCGATTATACTCATTATGTAAAACGGTATGTTTTTGTCAATATTTTTGTTTTTCTATGTAAAAATTTTTTTTTTGTTTTCATTCAGATATGCAAATGCAAATGAATGTGGTAATTCAATATGTAAAGAATTATCATATCGTGAACATTTTCATTGTAATGCATTATCATGTAATTCACGTGTATTCATGAAAAAAGAAGAAATGATTAGACATTTTAAATGGCATAAAAAACGTGATGAATCATTGACGCATGGATTTTTACGCTGTTCACCGGGTGATAATTGTATTGAACGTTTTAAAAATTGTCCACATCATCGTAAACAAACACATTATCATTGTTTAAAACGTGGTTGTGATAAGGTTTATATTAGCACTTCGGATGTACAGATGCATGCAAATTATCATCGTAAAGATACGGCTATTATACAGGAAGGTTTTCAACGTTTTCGTGCAACAGAAAATTGTCTATTAGAATGTTGTGCATTTTTTGGCCAAAAAACAACACATTTTCATTGTCGTCGTGATAATTGTTTACATACATTTAAAAATAAAGCTGATATGGGTAAGTTTTTTTTTCATTCTTTCTTTTTTTTTCTTCTGAATTTTCACCTTGGCTGTAAACAAGATTTGATACAATTTTCAATGACTTTTTTGGTCATTAGTTTGGTTATACTTGTTACACACACTTTTTATAGATTATTAATTCCCCTTGAAGCTTCATCATCATCATCATCATCATTCATTGATTTATATCCACAAACAACACCATCATCGATTGCAGAAAAAAAATGACACACAAAAAAATAGACAATTTAAAAGTTCGCCTCTTTGCAATAACAACAACAACAACAACAACAAGTTAAGCAAACAACAATTATAATGAGATGAATAAACATGGTAGAGAGAGATATATACAAACACATGAAATGATTTGGATTTTTTTAGGGAGAAAAAAACAGTGTGTCCATCATCCAACAACAACAACAGCAACAAGCAATGGGCATTGTTTTTTTTTTTTTTTAGTTTTTGTTTTGTTGTTCAATTTTTTTTCATTTCATTTCATTTGATAAACGTAAAATTAGATTTCTAGTTCAGAAAATCTCATCATATCCATACACAGAAATGATGATTTGAACAGGTAGGGAATTTTGATTTATAAAAATTTTTTTTTTTTTTTGTTTGACAACCCGGAGGGCCGGCCTATGATGTGTTATTGTCGATCATCAATTGCGCATTGAAAATAAAACAAAACAAAAAAAAAATTTTTTTCTGTTTCTTTTTTTGTTGTTGTTAGCCATTTAATTCCAAAGTTTTTTTCACTTGATTCGATTCATTTTTTTCTTTTTTTTTCTTTCATTTGATTGATCGAATATAATTAAAATGCCTTTTTTGTTGTTGTTGTTGTTGTTAGCAGCATCCCTTGTTTCCCAGTTTGTTTTTTTTTTTTTGCTGTTCATTCATTCATTTGGGATTGATTTTCATTTTTTTTCTTTTTTTTTTTTCGTTGTTGTTTTGTATTTCATTATCATCGATTTTGTTTTTGTTGTTGTTGTTGTAGTTGTTGATTTGATTTGATTCGAATCGATTTCGATGATTTTGAGATTGGTAGAAACTTTGAAATCGATTCAATTCAAATGAAAATTATGTAAGATGAAAAAAAAATTATTAAAAAAAAAATTTTGAACAAATTGCCTCAAGAATTTTTTGTTTTTATAATCGTTCATCATCATCATCATCATCAACACGAAAATGATTCATAAGTAGGACCGGCTCGCGAATAATGATGATGATGATGGTGGTGGTGGTGGTGGTGGTGGTGGTCATTGCCATGAAATCGAAAAAAAATTGTTAAATTTAATCATTGAATTTGTATATGGAAATTCAAAACGAATTTTGTTCATTCGTTTTGATTTCCATATGAAAATCATTATGATGATGATTGGTTGGTGTTCTGTATTCTGATTTTTTATTTTGAATTTTCAGCCAACATTTATGGATGATGATGATGATCGTTTGGGCAATTATCCACAGACAGACTAATCTGATTGTTTTTTTCATTTCATTTCATTACAGAAAAACACAAATCATATCATGTACGTGATGAACAATTGGCTCGTGATGGATTTAAAAAATTTATGAAACATGAATCCTGTCTATTCGATGATTGTCGTTCATCACGTGTATGTAATCATATTCACTGTGTTCGTTCAGGTATGTATTTTTTTTTTTTTTTTTTTTTTTTTTTTTTTTTTTTTGGTGAAACAAAATTCTTGTTCCAACGTATTTTATATAATTATTAATGATTTTGAATAAATAGGCTGTACTCATGTATTACATTCAACTGGCCAATTGTATCCACATAAACGTAAACATGATCGTTGTGAAAAAGAACTTGCATATCGAAAATATCGTCTTGCACAATCTATACATTGTACAAATGAATTTGATAAAAATAACAGCGCCATTCAGAATCGTTTAGCACCATACGGTATTGATTTGGATATTAACCTGTTGAATATTGAGGTATTTATTATTTTTTTCTGTTCGTTGGATTTTTCTCATAATTAATTAATGATTTTTATTTTTGCCCACAGAGCTTCGAACAATCATTATTGAATAAAGATGATGATAATGTATTTGATGAGATACAGGATCAATTACCATTGATGCAAATCAGTACAATACCGATTGAAGATATTATTGGTGATGATATAACCGATATACGTTGTGCAAAATATATACAAAAGTAAGTACAACATGGCAACAAACTATATGTTGCTGTTGTTGTTGTTTTTTTTTTTTCTTTTCTTTCTTCAATCACATCATAATGAAGATCAAATTACCATTGACCATTAGTTACTTACCCACCCATGTGTGTGTGTGTGTGTGTGTGTATATAGTTTATTGTTCATATCTTACCTAATGCAGCTCGTGATGATGATGATGATGAGATCTGTCCGTAGTCGTTGAGGTCAACTAGTGTGTATGTATGTTTTTTTACCTGTAATTCTCAATAATAAAACACACACAGCAAAAAAAAAAAAAAAAAAAATCTAGTGTCATTACACCTACAATCATCATCAAAATCATCATTTTTTTCGGTGGGTTTAATGTTGTATCTTGCATTTTGTAAATTATTTGCAAAAAAAAAAAAAATTTTATTTCAAATTCTGATGGATAGAGAAAAAAAAACGATGATCATCAATGGTTTTTTTTCTGGTCAAATTATTATACAATTATTAAATAATGATGATAATAATATGTAGTTTGAACAAAATAGAGAAAGATGTTCATTGCCCAATTCAACAATAACAACAACAACAACAAAATCATGATCATGATCTTTCTGTCTATGCCTTTTGTACCGATGGATATATCATTGATCCGTTTTTTTTCATATTCACTGCTTCTTATAATTCATTCATTTGTACATCTGCCTGTTTCAGGTTTTTAGGGTAATACAAATGTGGCAAAAAGAATTTTTTTTTTGTTTTTGCCAATTTTTTTTCCTTGTATGTAATTTTTTTTTTGATTTAAAAATGATGATCATTTTGGAATTGTTTTTTGTTTTATGATTTTCATCAACATTTTGTCGTAATCTGATTTCATATCATCATCATTTGTTGAGAATGAAAGTCGAAATGAAACGATGAAAATGATGATGTTGGTCATTTTCACCGATTCATGTGATTTTTTTTTCTTTCAACTTTGTAATTATAATTACATGGTTTTCATTTATGCTATGAAAATGACCAAAAAAAACAAAACGACTACGACGACGACGATGATGATGATGATAATGGAATAAAATATCAGAATATATAGCTGAAAGATTTTCTGATAATTTCAGTGTGATTGCAATGAAATGAAATGAAATTATTATTCGTGTTTTCTCATCATCGTTATTATCATTTGTTTTTTTTTTCGTTTACAATTTTCACTGTCATTATTATATCATCGAATGGATTCGTTCCTAAATGATGATGATGCTGAATGAGTAGTGGTAGTAGTGATGTGATGTGCGAAACAAAAATTTTTTTTTTTTGGGATATGAAATGAGGGAATTTTTTTCTTCTTTGTTGATGTGAAATTTTTTTTTTGTGCAAAAAAAAATTTTTTTAATTTTTTCCATTCTCTGATCATCATCCATCATCATTACGTCAATCAACAAGAAAACGTGTTCATCATTAGGTGGAGCACAATCAATGATGAATGACGATGATGATGATGAATTTCGAAAAAAAACAAAACGAAAAAAAAATTATTCAAATTTTTTTTCGCCAAAAAACAACAACAAAAAAAAAAAAATTTATACCGTACAAAATGTGATTATAGCCACCACCAGCAGCATCATCATCATCAATGGTCATTTTTTTTTTGGAGGGGATGGAAAGAAAAATTGAATCATAATGGTATAATAATGATGATGATGATGCCAAATGATATGAGAGTGAGAAATTGAATATTTATGTAATGTATTCGGTATGCTGTTTGTTTGGTTCGTCTGGTACACCTGGTCTGTGTTGTTTGCGTGCATGCAATTTGGGCGAATCAATTTTCTGATACACATTTGTCGCAGTGTGTGTGTGTGTGTGTGCACGGAAAAAGAAAATTTTCAGTGCATTGATTTTTTTTTTCCATTCATTTTTCAATGGAATTTATTAAATTCAATTTTTTTTTTGCTTAATTCTCAAAATGGTAATGGTAATGATAATGATAGGATTTTTCCATTTCAGATTGTGGCTGATTCATTCGAATTTTTATTTTTTTTTTCTATTTGTTGATAATGTGAAAAAGATGATAATCGAATTTATTTGACGATCATTTTTCGATGAATGATGATTGTCCGGGTTTTGTCTCGATCGAATCGATTGATTGATCGATCGGTGTTTTGTTGTTGTTGTTGTTGTTGTTGTTATTGAACTTATAATGATAAATGCGTGTTCTCTCTCTCTCTCTCTGTGTGTGTGTCTGTGATGGAATTTTTTTAACAATTTTTTATTTTCAATTTAATGGCATTTTCAAATGTAATTAACCTTTTTCTTCTTCTTTTTTTTCAATCTAAATTTATTTATTATTTATTATCATCGATCAAACAAACAGACCAAAAATAAAAAATTTTTTTTTTTCATTTTTCAGACATCAACGACCGAACGAACAATGTACATTCATTGATGATGATGGTGTTCAAGTTATTTTCAATGATGATGATGATGATGATGATGATGGTGGTGGTGGTGGTGCTGGTGGTGGTGGTCGTGTTGGTGAACATTACAATTGTTTAAATTGTAATGTATGTTTCAATGATCAAATGGTTACACTTAAACATGCAAGGTTTGTAAAAATTGAAATTTTTATCATCAAATCTTGAAAAAAAAATTTTTTGCCACGCTTCACAGAAAACACGTGCTACAGGATGAGATAACATCATTGATGTTTGAAGAAACAACAAATGATTCAAACATTTGTAATGTAGAATGTTTATTATATCAAAGTGTACGACATTTACATTGTCGTATGGTATGTTGTGTTTGTTTGTTTTTTTTCTTACTTTTTTGAATCTCATATCTTTTTTTTTTTTTTTGGTTTCATTTTTTACAGTATGGCTGTATATTCATCTTACCGATTCAGGATAAAACATTGAAAAAATTTGAACATTATAAATTTCATGAAGAATTACAATGTAATTATTCATTTGATTCAGATGAATCTGCATTTGCTAATCTAAGTGGATATTTATCATTGGAAAATCCACCATTACCACAACCACAACAACAACAACAACCGCCAACACCTTCATCATCATTATCTTCACAATCAACACCACCACCTCAACCGGTGGTTCAGCCGATTCTATTGCCACCACCGCCACCTCCACCACCACTTTTGGTAACAAAATCGAAACCAACATCGATGAATAAATGCAAAACTACATCAACATCATTACAACAGATATATCCAACTGGAACCATGTTGACAACTGTTGATGGTATGCCCATTTTAAAACGTAAACGTGGCCGTCCACCAAAGAATCGTTCGAATGAAATGTTGACCACAACCAAAGTATCGGCGACACAATCGAAAAATAATTCCAAAACAAATCAATCAACGCCAACAGCAACAATACAACCAGCTACAACAGCAATGTCATCATTCGATTTAGCACAAGCATTCAATCTACCATTGAATCATGTACAATTTTTGGCAAATTTTCCACAAACTGCTGATGATTTATCCAAAACCATACCTATACCATTCATAATGCCATATATAAAGTCATCAATACACAGTGGTTTTTATGTTTTCGATGAGGAAACTATATGTCCGGATGTTACCTGTATTCATCTTGGTAGAAAACATTTTCATTGTTCAAGACCAAGATGTTTTTATAGTACAAATCGTGATGATAAACTTGTTGATCATTCTAAAGATTTTCATGATAATATCGATATATTGGAAGGTTTTATTTATTTTGATCAAAATATTGATTGTAAATCCGAATATTGTCAATATAATCATAGTGATTGTCATTTTCATTGTACACGTATTGGCTGTAATTATTCATTTGTACGTTATTCATCAATGGCAATACATGAACGGGAACATATGCAAAAATTTCGATCATCATCAACAGCAACAACAAGGATATCAGATCAGAAAACAATTGATGATGATAATCATCATAATCATTCGGATGATGGTGATGATGGTAGTGATGAATGTTCACCAATGTTGACCATACGTTCATCAACAAGTGACATGAAATTCGATGACTACGACGATGACGATGATGATGATGATGATGATGATGGAATGAATGATAAAAAACTTGAAAAAAACAATCAAAATGATAATGATGACGACGATCAAAGCAATGATGATGATGATGATGATGATGATGATTTAAATCATGAAAATATTTCGAATGGTCCAAATAATAATAATCTGAGCCAAAAAACAAATTCTGTTTATAAAAATGAATCCAATAAAGATATCGATAATGATGGTGAAAAAGATGTTAATGATATGGATGTTAATAGTGATTCAACGAACGTTTTAACATTACAGCAATCATTACAGAAGCTATTACAATCACGAATGGGTGCTTTTGGCATGTTGGCCGTATCATCATCATCATCAACGACAACGACTTCAACGATAACGACGACCACAATACCCTCAACATCAACATCAACGACGACTACGACATCATCATCATCATCATCATCTGCTGTCAATAATATTGATGATATAATCAAATTACATCCAATATATGATGAACAAAATGATCGAAATTGTCAAAGTCCATTCTGTAAACTGAAACGACGTCAACATTTACATTGTAATATTTGTAATCAGGTAATTAATTTTCGAAAAATCTTTGAATCTTGTTGAAATTAATTGATTTTTTTCCCATCAATAGGCATTCACCAGTTATGATCGTTTGATACCACATTTTTCAAAACATACAATGATAATGAACTCAGGATTGACAACATCATCATCATCATCATCAACGTTAGTTGATCATAGAGATGATAGAATGGTTAATGATGAAATTTTGTCACAATCATTTACATCGAATCCATTAATGAATACAAATCTGACGAATGAATTTTTTCAATTATTTTTCAATAATTTAATGAATTTTCCATCAACTTCAACATCTACAGCCACAACCATGACATCACCACTATCCACTATGACAACGAATGCTATTAATTCATCCATATTACAACAAATGACTTCGAATCCATTATTACAGGATTTATCGATTGCAGGAAATTCATCACCACCATTAAATCATCATCATCATCCTCGGACATTGAATCCAGGCTCAATAAACAAGCGTAGATATTCATTTTCAAGCGATAGTTCGGGTTCCATAATCAATGATAATAATGGTATCATTAATGATAATAAAAATCATAAAAAACATAAAACTGATGAGAATGGTGATGGTGGTGGTAAAAACAAAACAACATCGGCTACATCATCCGATGAATCATCACCAAGCGGGTTAGTGTAAAGCGATTTATCAAGAATTATTTGATTCTATCTAATTCATTTAATTCCATTTCTAAAATAGTTATTCCAGATTTCGTTTCAATGAAGATTGTGGCTTTTCATCCTGTGTATATCGTGAACATCAAACACATTTTCATTGTATGCGAAAAGTATGTAATGGTCAATTCAATTCATTTTTTTTCAATAATAATCAATAATTATTTTTTCCATTCAAGGATTGTGGCTATTCATTTTGTGATAAAACACGTTTCGTACAGCATACAGGTACGTTGTTTTATTTATTTATTTTTTTTTTTTTGAAGAAAGAAACGATAATTGAATTTAAATCTTTTTTTGTCCATTTTTTTCGATCAATCAATGCACAATTCAGCTCGACATGAACGTTTGGATACATTAATGGGCGGTGATTTTCAACAATTTCGTGCAACTGTTAACTGTGGCCAATCGGATTGTCCATATGCCAATGTCAACAATGCAACACAACAACAATTGGCCAATAATAATAAAACATCACATTTTCATTGTCTAAAATGTGATTATCGATGTTCGGATACGAATAAAGTGGTTGCACATCGTCGTCAACATGCCAAAATGGATAATATTACTGCAGCTGGTTTCGATAAATTTTCACCAAATCAAGATTGTCTAATTGAACAGTGCAATTATAAATTAAAACAAACACATTATCATTGTGGTACTTGTAATTATTCTGTACTTGGATTGTCACAAATGTCATCACATAAACAAAAACATCAACAGCAACAACAACAACAACAACAAGAATCAGAAAATAATAATAATAATAATTCTTGTTTACCATCACAATCACCGCCATTACACCCACCTACATCAGCATCTTCATCTTCATCATCATCAGCATCATCATCATCATCACCACCATTGGAATCAATGGCTTAACGATATATCATATACATAATAGATATCTTTCATAAACAGATACACCTCACATACACACACACACACAATAGCAAGGGAAAAAAGATCTACAGTATTTATTTATTATTAAAAATTTTCATCCAATTTAAAAAGTATCACATATTGATATTAAAAAAAAAATTTCTTGATTCTCAATTCTCAATTTGTGATCTTTTTTTGTTGAAGTTTTCCATAAATCTGGATTCGATTTGAATCCATGGAAGTGTTGCCGTCTATTAACAGCAATAAGAACTATATATTGGGAACAATTTCAGTTATTTTTTTTTGTCAATTTTGCCATCTAGGGACTAATTTTGTCAAATTTTTTTTTTATTTGAAAATTTAATTTCATTCAAACGGCAATTTATTATTATTATTATTATCATCATTATCAATCATTATTTATATAATAATTTTTTTTCTGTTTGAAAAAAAAGAAAATGTTAGAGAAAAAAAAATTGTGACAACACGACACAAAGTGTTTTCATATTTTTTTTTATAATAATAATAATAATTGATAATCAAATATATAGTATAATAATACTGAACAACAACAAACATAATAGCATCAATGGGAAAAAAAACGAAGAAAAAAAATGTTCCCGAATTAAAATGGAAAATCAATCGATTGAAAATCGGGAAAAAAATTTTGCGAAAAAAATGTATGTTCATTGTTTATGTCTCTTTGTGTGTGTGTGTGTGTTGGAAAAATCAATTATTGGATGATTATTGAATGATAATTGATGATGATGATGATGTTTTTAAGCAATGTGGGCGTGTGTTTGTCCTATAGATTCTTTGCAAAAAAAAAGAAAAAAGAAAAAAATAAAATTCAAATTAAAATGATACCTATTTGAAAGCCAATTATAAAAAGAACCAAAAAACGAAAAATAAAATTCCTTGATTACAATTAATGAACAAATTGTGTACTGTGTTGTTGTGTGGATAAGAATTAAAGAATTTTTCTCCCCCCCCCCATAGATATCAACGATTTTATAAGTGTGTGAAAATTGTTTTTATCATTATAATAGATGTGTGTGTGTGTGTGTGTGTGTGTGTGTGTGAATGTTAGCACAAACATAAAATCAATATCGATATATGAGTGTCTGTAAAATGTTTTTGTTTTTGTTATTTATTTATTTAATTAATTACTTTTGGAAATAGAGGACATTGAATGTGTGTATGTTTGAGTGTGAATGTGTAGGCGCGTAAATGTTTGGCTTTATTTTATTTCAATCGATCAGTTGTTATCTTATAGTTATTTGTTTGTTTTCATGAACGTCCAAACGTTTTTCAATTTCCAATTATATGTTGTGGTGTCTTTTTCTTTTTGAATTTTTTTTTTGTTTAATTACTGAACCAAACAAAAATGACCAATACGAATACGACACCAATACCGCCCATAATTAACATCATTTTCATATTTTTCCACCAATATTTTGATTTCAATGCACCGGCCTGTTTTTCAAACATTTCGGCACCTTCTTTCAATGCATCGGCACGTTCATCCAATTGTGATATCATTGCATCACGTTCCAATACTTTTTCAACATTTACACGCATTATTTCTGTTACTTCATCCACTTGTGCCTGTGTTTGTTGCATACGACGTGATGATGCTTGTAATTGTGGATTTGGTTGTGGTGTTTTATTATCACCACCACTACCTGTATCGGTTCCGGCAGTTTCACCGCCACCACCTTTTCCTTTTGAAGACCTATGAAAACCATCAAAAAATTATCATCATTATTATTTCTAATAAACAAACAGAAAAATAACTTACATAATGAGATTGATGATGTGAATATCAAAATTTGATTAAAATCAAATTACAGAGAAGTCTAGTGAAATTATTCAAATTTGAATTAAATTAATGAGATAATAATTTGAATTCTTGTTGTTTTAATTACGAATGATAACTAGACAAAACGTTGTTGTTTATGGTGGTGATATCGTCGTTGATAAGCCAATTTAATCGGTAAATAAAAAAAAGTGATTGTTTCGATTTTCTCGATTGTTGTAGAATTAAGAATTTCCACAATTATATATCAATAATAATCACAATCGGCAGCAAATTATTTAGGCAACAATTATAACGAAGATAAAATGACCACCACCAGAAAAACAAACTTGAAACAGATTTGAATGAAATTTGGAATTTTTTATTTTATTTTTGTTCACAAAAAAACACACACACGCTCAAATACAATTGAAATTCAATGACAAAGACGACGACAACGACAACAACAACAGACACAAAACAATAGTTTCAGTCAGAAAAAAAAACGAAACCTAACCGACGATCAAAATATTGGATCATTGAAGAAAGAAAAAAAATGAGTTGGAACACCCACACACATACAAGGAGTGAATGAGCCAAGAAAAAAAAATGGGCAGAAGCAATGTTCCAGGAACAACAACAAGACCAATAAGTATCTTTGGTATATAATAATATATTGTTGTGACAGAATCATAGAAAACAAATTCCGTAACATTAGGATGTGTATGTGTTTGTTGTTTTTGTGCACGTAGACATTAGATTTTTTTTCCTTTCCTATCATCATCATCATAGACATTGAGAGAGAAAGAAAAAAAAACATTTACAAAAATGAGCAGAAAGAATATTCCGGTGGTCATCATTATTTTATTCACACAATCCATTTGTGGCGCAACCAACCCAATTTGATATATAATAAAAGCAATGTAGATATAATATAAAATAAAACCATTATTATTATTATATAGATTCCAAACATTTTGGAAACTTTTTTGTTGTTCTGTTTGATTTGATATGCGACGAATAATATGTGTAGCGATTCAATCTTCTATATATATATATATATATACGTATCAACGTTGAATATATGAGACCTTTGACTTTTTTTCCGCCATAGTCGTCAGTAGTTGTTGAAATCTTGCACAATTGTATACAGCTAGATCCAATTTTTTTTATTTCATTCATAGAATGCAATAATTGCCAATGATCATTCCAAGAGCTTCTATAGACAGAAAAAGAATTTTTTCTCTTTTCTCTTTCATATTCATAGATCTGAATTATTCATTGATGAACATATTGGAAAAACTCGATTAAATATAAAGATCGATTGTAATTTGTAGTTTTCGACCATCGATGATAAACATTCCCCTGTTGCATTAGATTAACCACAGTCTAAGTTTGAAAACATTTTTCTGGATCCTATAAATAAGGTGGAAATAGAGGAAGAAAAAAAAATTAAAATTTAGTTAAATTCAAAAGAAAAAAATCAAGGGAAAAAGGAATTAAGGAGTTAAATTATTATTAAAAAATGAAGAAACTTTATATTTTTCTTTATACATCACAAATATGAATCAGTTCACAATCAAACAAACAAACAAACAAATCTCACCTGATAATCATATCATCACCCAACAGTCAATCAATCACATTTTTTTCCTCTTCCACAAAAAACACGATCCAAATCCATCCATCCATCCATTTCATTCCTTTTTGCAAAATCACAAATTCCTCTTCTTTTTTTCTTCTTCTTCTTCTTTCACAAAATTTGATTCATTACGCATCCATCCATCCATCCAACCATCCATCAATCATTATTATTCTCATAATCATCATTTTCAAAATCAGAAATGGACAACTATTTTTCCATTTTGGTCAATGAATTTTTAAACAGATTCTATTTGTAACTTTCATCATTATTATTATTATATAATGGGAAATATATAGATTAGTAGTAATTGAATGAAAAAAACATTCATTTATTTCATCATCATCATCAACACAACACAAACAAACAAACATCAAATTTTCAATCAATCATTCACATTCATCATACAAAAAAAAAAAAAACAAAGCAAAAGTGTTTATCATCTGTGTGTGTGTGTGTGTGTGGTGGTGGTTGTATTTTATGAAAAAAATATATATATGGCATCATTCTGATAGTAAAAAAAACGGTAATTTCGATTAATCATTAGGTAAAATAAATCAATCAAAATGATGTGTATAATTTGTGTGTAATATTCAAAAACCAAAAAAAAAAAAAAAAAAAAAAAAAACCTGTCAAAGAAGTCAGACACAACAAACTTTCATCTGAATTTTGACACAAACAAATCTCATCATCATCATCATCATCATCGATACACAAGACAAACAAACATGAAAAATAATTTTTTTTTTGTTAATGTTGGCTGATAATAACCTGGATGGATGGAATATTCTGTCATAACTGAATTAATAATTGTTAAAATTCATGTGTGTAATTGGATATTTAAGTCTTAATCAAAATCAAGATTATTATTAGATTAGAATTATATTTTTTTTTTCGCTGCACATACTTTCTATTTTGTTTGTATTCATAAATAATTAAAAAAAAGGTCAAATAGAATTAGCTTATTATGTATTAATAATATGGTGGATAATCGGATGAATTATATTGTTGTTGTGAATAACGATTATTATTATAAGGGTTTCCTGCATCATGATAACTATGATTTGAACGTGTTGAACCGCTACGTGAATAATAATCATATGGTGAACTTGAATAGCTACCTGGTGGTGGAGCACCGGCACCACTTCCGGCAACTGATCCACTACCAGGTGGACTATGTATTGGTGGACTATCCAGATGGCTTTGTGTATGATAACCACCATGATGATGATGGGCATGTGTTACATAAGAATTTGAATATCCTGCACTATAACCAGCACCTCGGCCATAAGGTTTATTATTATAGCCACTACCACCGCCATGATAATTCATCTCAAACTTGGGCACAGCATTACTCACATGTACGGATATTCCCTTAATTATATGATCTTCACCACATAATGATTGAGCTACATCAAGTTCACTGAATGTTACAAATGCAAATCCCCGAAATGGTTTCGGTATGAATATATCGGATATTTCACCATATTTGGAAAAATATTCCTTCAGATCATCATATTGTATAGCTTCGGTCAGTCGACCGATGAATATTTTCTTGCTAGTTTCCTGGCTACGATAATCATTGCTGAAACCATCTTTAGACATTGGTACACGCACATCACAAGCACGACCATCGATTAAATGTCTTTTTGAAATAACTTTCGCTTGATTCTCATAATCAGCAAAACGAATGAAACCGAAACCTTTTGATTCGCCGGTTTTGGGATGTTTTTTCACTTGAGCCATGATTAATTCACCAAATTGTTGGAAATATTCTTTCAATTCTTTATCGGTCGTTTTCCATGGTAATCCCAACACGATTAGATCAGAAACTTTTTTCTTTTCTTCAATACGTTTTGTTTTACTACTGGATGTGTCGGCAGAATCTTCAATTTTACGTTTATTTTCTAATTTTCAAAAAAAAAAATATTTTTATTGAAAATTTACGAAAAAAAAAATTATAAATACCTTTCGGAAAACAACAATAATAAAGTGGTACTTGTGTCCAACCATCTTCTGGTGGCTGTATTCTACCATCAATCAAACGTAATCCACGCATAGCACCAGAATCGGAATTACGATATTTAATACCACTGGCACCAGGAAACAATGATGTTAATGTTGTCAAAAGACTTTTGACCAAGAATAAACGATGAAATGATTATGTGATTAAATGAATTTAATAATAAATCGAATTCAAAAAAAAATAAATAAAAAAAATACCGGTATACATACACTGTATTGTCAGTTTCACATGGAATTTCGATTGGTTCTTCACCTTCATCTTCAGCTACTTTAATATATTCAGTCATATTGTTATTGAATTCAATTGACGACGATGACAATAATGATAATTTGAATTTTTGCAAACAAATTCGACAATGATGATAATTTGAATTTTTGTATTTATTATTTTTAGGTAAGAACAAAAATCTGTGAGATGGAATGAGAGAGAGAGAGATTGATACAATGGGGCCGGCCAATCTTTTGCTGCTCGCTCGTTCGATTGCTCTTTTTTACTTCACTCACACACACACACACACACACCATGTTTCGGTGTGTTTCAAATTTGCCATAATTATGATCAATTCATAAACACTAGTACACGAGTTTTCGCGGCTCACGTGAATTTTTTTTTTTTTTTTTGATTCAATTATATTGAATTTAAAAATCATGATGATGATGAATATTGAATATGTTTCCTGTAAAATATCGGCCATTTGTTGGCTACATGATGATCAATTCATTCGACAATCAATCGATTCGAATGAATTATTTTGGCTTTGTGGTACACATTTATCGGCAAGTAAAAATTTTCTAACCATTTATTCTAAACAAGAACCAATCAACGATCAACAACGAGCCGGTATTGTACAGTTAAAAAATTTTCGACAATTAGTTAATGCCAATGTTGTCGGTTTGGCTAATTATGATAAACGTTCATCATTTTATAGCTTATCAAATGGCCAGATATCATTATTACAATATGATCGAGAATCAGGTTTTCAAACCGTACATGATTGGTTCAATGATGATATCAGTGATCATAAAACGACAGCCATTATTGTTAATAATCAATCGGAATTAATTTCCTGTGGTCTTGATGGTCGTCTCATGTTTTTCGATATTCATTCACGAATAACATCGAAAAGTCGACCATTAACATTGAATTCACTTCATTGTATGGACAAAATATCCGATAATGAATTCATATGTGGTACAACATCTGGCCATCTTAAAATATTTGATCGTCGTAACGAAAATGTTGAACTTAATATGGCCAATGAAATGTCAATCATAACGGCAGTGAAACGTAACATTAATAATCCACATATTGTTGCCTGTGGTAATGATCTTGGATTACTTTATATTTGGGATCTTCGTAACAGTGGCCATCGTCCAATGCAACCTATTTCTGTTCATGGAGCTGAAATCAATTGTCTTAAATACATACCAAATGAACGAAATACAATAATGACAAGCAGTCTGGATGGCCAACTAATCAAATGGAATATTTCCAATGATTTTGAAATCGATACTGTTGAAGCAATCATCGATAATAAAAAAAATACTTATCCAATCAATTGTTTTGATATATACAAAAATCAGATTGTTTTCGCTGATGATAATGAAGTTTTATATTTAACATCATTTTAATCAAAAATTTTTTTTTTCATTGAATAAATTCATTTAATTTTAATATTAATAATTAATAATTAATTCTTAAATCAAAATGATCATCATATATTGGTGGACCAAGTACATATTTTGATTTCAATATCTGTATGTTTAAATTATCCGGTATACAGGTTAATTGTTTATTATGATTGATGGGCATCAATGATCTCATTATACGAATATTCATTTTACGCTCTGAATGATGTTGAAAATATTCAATACAATCAAATATAAATCTTTCATTTAGATCATATGATTTTCCAACAAAATCACCGGATTTTTCCTTAAAATCAATAACAAATGTATGAAGATTTGTACATTGTTTTATAATTTTCATAACAGTATCATTATCGATGCGAATATTATCGAATTTTAAAAATCTTAATGATTTTAATTCACTTATCAATCTTAATGATTGATTTGTCAATGTTGAAAGTGCAATTAGCTTTAAACTTTCTATATTTTGACACATTGATAAACACTGTGCAAACATTTCATCACCAATTTTCGATGGTAATGATGTTAAATGTAAATTTTTCAATCGTATAAATGGAATTCTAAAAAATGATTGGAAAAATAAATCCGAAACAATCGGTCCATCACCTCTTTCGAACATTTCATGTATGACAAGTTTTTCAAGACGTTCCAATGTTTCATTTGTAAAATGTTTTACAATATGTTTTGTAGATATTTTAATTTCACGTAAATGATGAATATGTTCACCAAAAGAATAATCACATTCTTCACCACCAATAGAATTATATTTTAAATTTAACACTTCAAGTTGGCAACCATTTTTTGATAAATTTTCAATACATTTATAAAGATTATGAATATCAAGTGTACAAAATAATAGTATCAAAACTTTCATCGTTGATGGTAAATGATCCATATATTTTCCACTTATTGATGAATTATTCGATAGATTTAGATATTCTAATTGTCTTAGATATTGTGTAATTTGTCGAACAAATTCATCACCAATGCCCATATTGATTAGTATTAATTTTGTTAAATTTTGTAGTGGTTGAAAAAATGATGATAATGATAGTTTGGAAAATGTACATTCAGCCATCGTTAGTGATCGTAATTGTTTGATGTGAACAATAAAATCCGTTAGAAACCAATTTCCAATCATAAAATTAAATACTTTTAGTATTTGTAAATTTTCATGATACGGTATTACTGGTAATAATTTTTTATAATTTACCACATAATAACATTCACGTATATCTTTACGACGAAAATATTTGTTTGTTGAATATGATACTAGACAAATGATCAATTCTTTACGATTTTTCAATACATTTTTATTGATCAAATCAAACCAATATCGACATACACGTCGCATTGGAAATATTTCATGTAATGAAAAATGATGAAAAATTTCCATTAACACATCTTCAACAAGAATATCATTGATATTTTTGCGTCCAAAATATTCACCACAATCTTCAGATTTAATCAAACTTAGCGCCATAATGTGGTTATTATATTTACGCCGAAACAAACAAGCAAGCAAAAACAACTGATTGATATCAAAACAAATTTTTGAAAACCAAACATTGCATACGTACATTATGAATTGATGAAGAATTTCTTGAATTTATGTTGATTCGATTCTTGATCCATCAGAATTTCGAATGAAAACATTCATCAAAAAAAAAAAAAAAAATGTCAATCATATCATGGAACATGTGAAATATATGAAGAAAAAAGCTGATCTAGAATTAGCATCCGATGATTATCCACAAGCATTACAAACATATACCAATGCATTGAAACAATTGGCAAAGATTTATGAAATCGATGAAAATGATGGCATACGAATCGATACGATTATCGATGATTCTAATTTGGAAGCAAAAATTTTTGCTAAACGTTCTATTGTTCTATTACGAATGAAACAATATTATTATGCATATGAAGATGCTCGACATGTTACGAATATTTTTCCTGAATGGTTCAAAGGTTATCTACGTCTAGCAAATATTGAATCTGAATGTGGATTATATGAAGCATCGCTTACAAATTATCAATTAGCTTTACGTTATCTTCATTCAGAACCCGATGACTCGAAACGAAATCGTTATGATCAACAAATCAATGAAACAATTAAATATCAATTATTTCTAATACAACGTCAACGTATTTATGATTATCAACTAATATGGATAGGCACTGCAATCGGTTTGGTTTTTGGAATGGCCATCGTATTCTTTGATTTCGTACATAATCGTACCAATTCTTTTATCAATCATCCATTATTAAAATTATTACTCATTGGTTTATGTTCAATCATATTCTATTATCTAACAAGTTGGCAACGAAATTGTAGCCATTCATGGAAAAAGAAATTATTGGAACCACCAACTGGACATAAATTTGATGATGATGATGATGAACAATATGAAAATGAAATAAGAGAAAAAATCGACTAATTTTACACATAAATGATTCACATCAATGAATTTTTTACTTTCAATATATAATAATCAGTGCTAGCTAATATGTACAAAATAAAAATAAAAATATGATATTCATTTGATTTGTATCAATTAATTAATCAATCACTAATATTTTTCTTTGATCAATACTGAAAGACAATAAGTCAAAAGGAATCATTTCGTTGATTGTACGTGTGTGTGGGTGTGTGTGTGTGTGTGGGTGTGTGAGTTTGTACATTTGTAAGATATACAAAATAAAATTTAAAAAAATTAAAAAATTCAATTATGATATGATATCAGCTAATTAGTTTATACATAGTCTAATCATTTTGTCTTATTACTTCGGAATCATTTGTAGCTAATGATGTTAATGTATCTTCATAATGTGAATCACATTCAAGATTATTAAAATAATTTGAATCCGTTGAATTACGTGGAACAATCAGGCCGGCATTCATTTTTTCGATACCTTCACGAAGCTATTTATAGATGAAGAAGAAGAAGAAGAAAAAAAATGAAAGATTTATCACAAGTTAAAGGAAATAATATTCGAAAATACGTACATCTTTCAGTGCAACGACTCCAACTAATCGACCAATCGAAGTTACATAAGCATGATTCAAACCAAGCATTGAGAAAAGGGAATGGACTTTATATATGGTTGTACGTTCTACCAATTGAAACGGTGATGGATCAATGATACATTCATTAAAATCGACCATCATATTTAATTGATCTTCTTCCCATGCAAGTTGTTCTTCTGGTGACATATCGATAACTCTTTCACGAGGCTAAACAAAATTTATAATGAAATGACAATTATCATGACGACCACTATTATTCACTTATTCATACATACCAATTGTACTCGGCGGTGTAATGTTGCTGGTGGTGTTGAATTCTGTTTTGCTGCCTTTTCCGGATTTGCATCTTGCAATTTCAGACTTTTTAAGAAAATATTTTCAAATGCTTGTCGTAAACGTGAATCTTGTATGCCACCAATCGTATTGTTTGGTGAATATGTAAATGAAACGGTCTGTTTCAATATGGATTTCGGCATCTTTGTCACCGGTTTTGGTGATGGATTTTTAAGACTTTCAGTTGATTGTTGTACAGGTATCACTTCAAATCGAGACATTTTCCTCATTGTTTCTTTTGGTGAAGAATTCACTGAAGTTGATGCAGTTGTCGTTGCCGTTGTTGAATTCGTTCGATCTGGAGTGCTTGTACTTGATATAGCATCCTGAATTGAATAACGACGTCTTACTTCTTGTAGACGACGTTCACGACTTAGTCGGTGTTGAGCTAATCGCAACAATTCTTCACGTTGAATTGAACCCAAAAGAATCATATTGATACCATTATCGACCAATGGAAATTGATGCAAATCTCGATGACTTTCTAGTACTTTTTTAATTTCACGATAAGTACAATTACGCCAAATGAATATAACATCACGAACCATAAAATCTTCGACAAATACATTATGTGCCAATGATGATGTACTAAGAATGGGTGGTAAAAATGGTAGACGTTTGATTTGAATGATTGAATCATAGATAGATAAATCTAATGTTTGAGAGATAGCATTAGATATCAATACCGCTACTAATACTGGAATCATATGTGTCATTTGTCCGGTCAATTCGAATACGATGACCGATATACTGATTGTATGAGTTACTGCACCGGTAAATGCTGCCGCACCTTTAAATGAAGAGAGAAAACAATGGAAATAAAATTAATTATTTAACAAATAATAAAACTCACCAACAACGGAATAACCACCGGGCACAATCGGTGTTGTATAGCCTTCGAATGGAATACCAGCCGGAAATGTTAATGCCATCATTTCACCAGCTAATCGGCCTAAAGCGGCACCAATTTTAAAGACCGGAATAAACGTACCACTTGGTACCGGAACGGTTGATGCCAATAATGACATCCATGCGGTCATAAAAATATAAATAACAAGATTCATATAAATTGATGTATGATCAGTTGACCAATGTTTAACCATTTTTAATCTTGTTGAATCATTTGATTCAAGACCCCATGTAATATTACTGAAGAGATCTTCCAAAGTATCATGAGTTGATAGCTAAAAATAACACATACACACACATTAAACATAATAATTTAATATCAACAATAACAAACTTACTGTTGATGCCATGTATTGGCCAAAAAACGGTGGAAAAGATACGGTTGTCAATAAAAATGTAACAATACCGGGATAGATAAATCGGCTATGAAATCAAGGAAGAATTTATATAATCTAATTCTGATCCATACTAGTCAAACTTACTTTTTCTGCAAAAATGCATTCAATTTCTTTTGGCTACGAATAAATTGAACAATTTTACGATGAAATTTAACATAACCAGCACCACCGAAACCACAAATAATACCAATGAATGCAAAAACAAACAATTCTTGTGGATCAAATGGAAAATCAGAACGAAAACTTGTTTTAAACAATGCAGTGATTGCCGCTTCTTTTTTAAACCAAACACCATATAGCCTCCAAATGGTTGCACTACAACAAGCGGCAAAAAATCCTCGCCAATAATTACGTACGGCAAAGAAAACTGTCGTTACTTCCACTGAAAATAATACACCACCAATTGGTGCATAAAATGTGGCCGCAACACCTATGAATCAAATGAGAAATATATTCGCATGTCATTGTTATCAATATATAACAATTAGACTTACCAACAGCACAAGCAGCAGCAAGCATTTCACCTGTCCGTGATTCATTATCATAGATACCCTGAAATGATGCAATCAATTTCGAAAGCAATGTGGCAACAATCGAAGCTACGTGTACAAAACTGATACAAATTTGATCTTGAAATGGAGTGCAAAATAATAAAATAAATTATTTTACTTACGGTCCTTCTTTACCCAATGGTAATCCACTACCAAGTGTACAGGTTAAACCAACAATTTTTGCAATTAATGTTCTAAATGTTAGATATTCATACAATATAACACCTATCAGAATAAGAATAAATAAAAATATAAATTTAGATAATTAGAAGAAAAATAAATCAATAATCATACCTCGTAGTATTGTTTTCATTTCAGGTATACCGGATCCAACTGCTTGTGGTGAAACTAGATGTGCAAATCCGGAAGCAAATAACACAAGAAAAACCGGTATGGCCGTCCAACCAACATAACGGAATACAAGATTCTGATTGAGCAATTCATCATAAAGCCATATCCTTGATATTTGGCATTGACTAATGAAAAAATCCATTATAAAACTAATAGTGGCCATTATAATGCCAAGCATGGCTAAAAATAGCCAATCTTCACCAATCTTGGCAAATGTATATCTCCATGTTATTGTACAGCAAGCTGTTGTAGGATGATGGAAACGAAAACCAAAAAAAAAAAAAAAAAAAAAAAGAATTTATTACAATGACTGATCAGATTTTTTTTCTTCAAAAAAAAAAAAGATCACCATAGGTCAATAGAAAAAAAAACAAAAACAAACAAAATGATTGCTGGTAAACCCTTGACCCGAAATGATAGGAAAAAATGATATTGTCATGACATAATTAAAAATGACAAATAAAACTGGAACAACAACAACAACAACAATGATAATAAACAAGTATGAAAAAGGAAAGAAAAATAATTTTATGGCAATACTGACTAAATAATCTAGGAAAAAAATTGGAAAAATCGAGGTTTTCAACCAATATATATCATATATATGTGATTAGTGGAAAGGGGAAAAAAATCAAATCCGGCTAATTAATTAATTAATCGGTACATTTGTTGAGTTTAATTAAGGAAATCAATGAATAAATAAATAAAAAAATTCAAGCTCAATGGCTGGGAAACGTGTTGAAACATTGATTAATATGTTATGTACGGGTATTATGAAACAAGAAAAAAAAAATGATGATATCGCATAAAAATGAAATGAAAAAAAAACAGCAACAAACCGAATATTATGGCTATGGTTGTCAATATGTAATCAACAAGTTGACAAAATTTTTTCACCAAATTCAACAACATCATCATCATCATTATTAATGAACAAAATGTACATTAATCAAGGAACATATTATATTCTTCATGAAAAAAGATGATGATGATCAAGATCATGTTGATGATGGTGATAATAATAATAAAAAAAAATTTCTGAACTGATTAAACAGGTGTATGTATGTTATATATACCTGTGTATAAAAAATGTTCTTGACCTTGAATAGTTGAAATAAGAAAATTCTTTTTTTTTCTCATATTCATCATTCAATTTACAGAAAAAAAATGATCATGATAATGATGATGATGATGATGATGAAAGACACCATTTATTAGTTCAAGTTCAAGAACTTGGTTAATTGAATGTAAAAAATTACAAAAATTTAAACCAAATAACTACTACTAATAATGTAATAAAAAATCCAGTTCATATTGAAATATTGAAATGGCTTGGAATGTCCATCACTGATTCTCATATTGGGATATTTCGATTTTTTTTTCGTTCTCTTTTTTTCTATCATGCAGAAAAAAAACATTCAAAACATCTGAACAATACTTGAATACACAGAAAAGAAAAAAAACAAACAAACAAACAAACATCAAACCTGTTAGTTTTCGTTGATATTTTTCGGGAAGAATTCGTCGTTCCCGTTTTTGTAATTTTCCATCAATTAATTTTTGTGCATGTGTTCTTGCAAATCTTCCAAGGTCTTCTTTATATTGACCATACATCTATTTGTTCAAAAAAATCAAAAAAATCAAAATATGCAACAAGTGGATTTTACAGATACACACATACCAAAGTTTGTTGAAAATCTAGCGCCGTTTGTTTGGATGCACCTTTTGTGGCCATCTTTTTTTTCAGAATGTTGTTGTTGTGTTGAATAAAAAATTTTTTTGAAATCATAAAATTCTTTAAAATCCTAAAAAAAAAGTAACAGATTCATGGATGGATTGATCGAATTTTAAAAATGTGGCAGTGGAGATCATTCACATTTTTTGGATTTTTTTTCCTCGATGTAAACACCAGACAAAAAAAAATCTAACACATTGAATAATAAAAATTCTTTAGAATAATGGATAAAATATATATCACCAAAAAAATGATGATGATGATTGATTGATGATCATGAAATCACAACATGTTTTTTTTAAATAAAAAATTGAAAATAAAGGAGAAAATCTAACTAAAAGGGATGATTGTCGATAAATTTCTATTTCTATTTTGTTGAAAATGATGATATGTTTTTAAGATTGGCTATGATGATGATGATGATGAGAAAAATTCCTTGTTGTTGTTCTATCAGTAAAGAAAGAAAAATGAAAAAATCTGCGAATGCGCTGAATGATGAAACAATAGGATGCGAATTGAAGAATTTTTTTTTTGTTTGCTTTCAAATGATGATATGTCTATCGCGGTGTGTATATCCCGCGTGTATCTTTTTTCTTTCTTCTTCTTCTTCTCCAAATCGATGTATGTCGACAACAACCAACAACTACAAAGATTATGTTTATGATAGGGCACCATCAACAGTATAGTGAATAGAAATGAATTGATATATTCAAGTTGAATGTTGCTGATGATGACAATGATGATGATGATGATATGGTTGAAATGAAAAAAAAAAAAAAATTTTGCTATTCCCTTCTAACCGGTGTTTTTTGTTTTATTATTCACTAATGATTATTCTCTACTCTACGCATCGAAATTGTTTTCTCTTTCGTGTATCACACATAGATCATCATGATGATGATGATGATGATGAATTTGAATTGATGAAGAAAAATAAAATCAACAACATGGTCACATTTATCACACACACACACACACACAAAAAAAAAATTGTTTTGAGTTTTTTGTTTTGATGTGATTTAGTTATGTTTGTTACGGTTGTTTTTTTTTCGAAAAATGAAAAAAAACCAAAACAAAAATTTCGAATGCAACGTTCTGGTTGTTGTTGTTGTTGTTGATGATGATGAAATTTATTCAAATTGTCACCATAAATTATCAACAGATTTTATTTTTGTTTGATTTTTTTTTGCTAATGATGATTAATGATTAATGGTGAATATTTTGAGATATTTCATTCATTCTATCCAGATGAAAATTTGTTGCTATTGGATTTTTCATATATAAGCAACAAGTTGTTGATTCGTTTGTGAACAAAAAAAAAAAAATTTCCCAATTAACAATAATGATCGAATGAATATGATTCAATCATTAATTGTTGTTGTTGTTGTTGTTATTGGGGAGGGGGGAAATTGAATGACAATCGAATCAAATTTTGTTGTTGTTGTTGGAGACATGAAAATGAAAAAAAAGGGAAGTATAAATTGTGTGTGTGTGTGTGTGTGTGTATGTGTGTTTGTCTGCCGATAAAATCATCATTATAAGGAAACGTTTACATGATAGATATACATAGATTGAGAGAAAGAAATCCATGCTGTAGAAGGAAAAGAAGAAAAAAAAATTATGACACACACACACACACACACATTTGCAATGAGAGAAAGAAAGAAAGAAAGAAGAAAAAAAAACACAGAGATTGGATTTACCATTTCATCATCGTAAAAAATTATCGATAAATAGCCATTCGTATTTCGAATACTCGTAATTCGTTATTGTCATTATCGTTGACGTTATTGGTGTCGTCGTCGTCGTCGTCGTCGTCGTCGTCGTTGTTGTTGTTGTTGCTGTTGTGGTAGCCGTCGTTGCGTTGATCATTTTCGGTTGCTTTGGTTCGGTTTTTTTTTCTTTCGCGTTGCTTTTTTTTCCTATGTATTTCCATTGTCTTGTATTGTCAGATTTTTTTTTTTTTTTTTGAAAAAACTTTTCTCTTTCTTCTTCTTCTTCTTCTCAATTGTTGAAGTTTTTTTGTCTGTAAACATGTGCAAATTTAATGTGCTTCTTCTTCTTTTCTTCACAATTATGTAGCGTATAATCAGCCAAATTCGAATAGTATGAATGTTTTTTCCATCACATTGATGATTCCATTTCACTATTAATGAATGATATATGAAAATGTGCGAGAAAAAAAAAGAAAACAATGATCAGATGGAAAATGAAATGAAAATGGAAAGCAATGAATAATGAATTCTTGGATGAAATAAAATCCAAATGGACAACCGTATACAAACCGAAACATTATATATTTGTTTTATTTGCTTGAACATATTATTCGATTGCCCCGTCCAAATATTCGACCAGATCTCAAAACTCTTTCAAATTATAAATCAATGATCAATGATGATGATGATGATGAATGAATGAATTAATGAATGAATACAAAAACAAAAACAAACAAAAAAACGACCATCAATTTTTGACATGTAAGAAAATCATTATAATGATGATGATGATAAATGAATGTTTTTTTTGGTGAATGTCAATACATATTTAATTCAATGAATGAAATATAATATCGATATGATGATGATGATGATGACAAATGATCAATGAATTCATAATAATTCGAATGAATGGTCACAGAATCATCATCATCATGAGGAACAGAAGAAAATTTACTCATAAATGACATGACATTATCCATTATCCAATATATCCACAAAAATCGAATTAATCGATTGATGATAATGCAGATGATCATATTACCATTTGGTGTTATTATTGCTCCAGCAATATTAAGTTGTTTCAAGTTGTGTCAATCATCAGCATATCATTGAATTCTCGAATTTATGGAATTGTTATGATTTTGAAATAGACAAAACAATTCTCTTTGACAAATGTATGAAAAATGTGAAAATCTTTTATTGTTTATTGTTTTTTTTTTTTTGACATTGAATACAAAATAAAAAATTGAATACAAAAAATATGATATAAAAAAAATGCAATGAAAGAATTTAATCGAATGTCCACTTAATGCAAATCAGGTAAATTTTTATATTTTTTGCGATACAGCTTCCGTGTCCCATTTTTTTTGTTGCAAACTTTATCCATTAAACATTGCTAATTCAACGATAAAATTACAATGTTAAAAGTTCATTGTTTATATATAAATACTTACCAATAGATTTTTTTCCAAATTTAAATTTAAACTATTGTATTTCTGCTCCAGCAGCGGAAATCGGCTCATTAATTTTTTAAAAATGAATCTGAATATTGTTCCAGATATACTATTCAAAAGCAATCTCTTATCAGATATCTTATCAGCACCGATATCTGCTAAGAGAAGCTTTGATTTTAAATCTTCTATGATATCATCAATCATGTTGTTTAATTGACCATTCATATCGCCAGTATTGACTTGTTGGTCTTTATCGTTCAATAATTTCATGATCGAATCGTTGAAATTCGGAAATTTATATCTGTATAAATCGAAATCATTTAAAAAATAATCGTAAAATTTTTTTCCAAATTTTTGCACATAAATTTTATCTTGTATTGCCACCCGTTCAGGATCACGTTGTTTCGTTATTTCGATTTTATTTTCGATTGTTTCGATTTTATGACGCAAATCTTCGTTAATTTTATCTTTTTCTTCAATAAGATTTCGGTATTCTTGACATTCTTGGTGACATTCTTCAAGTTTTTTGGCCAATAATAATTTTTCTTTCTTCAATTCATCGCACTTACATGGATTTTTTTTATTTACGATTTCCAAATCCACACCAACAACATCTTCAAACGTTTCATGAACAGTTATAGTTGATGAATTTAATAAATTTTTCGCGTATCCATCTAATATTACCGAATCACATGTAAAATCGAATGGCGGTTCCATGATTGATGAACACTAAAAAAAATTTTAATTTTGTAGAACAAAAAAAAATCGTTGATTGCTGTCGAGATGCAGAATTTCAGTATTATTCAAGGCTTAACAAAAATCAAATGCGCTTTATGGTCAAAATGTCCAGCAATTTTTATACCTGTTGATATAGGCCCAGATTCTGCTGCTGTTCGATCAAAGTTCAGATATAAGTAAAACGTATCATGAACTCTTATCATGGTTGAAAGTGTTGTTATCGCAAATGGCCACACATACATAATTACCACTGGTACCACACACATGTTGTTGAACAAAACAAAACAAAAAAAAATTGATAAGAAAAAAAATTCAAAAAATTAAATTAAATCCATGTTTTTCGTTATCTACAAATATATTTCTTCTATACCATAACCAAGGTCATAAATATACATGACCACATACCAAGGTCTTATTATCATCTGGTGTTATTATTGCTTCAGCAATATTAACACAAGTTGTGTCAACCATCATCATATATCAATTGAATTCCCGAATTTATGGAATTGTTATTGATTTTTAAATAGACAAAACAGTGAATTCTCTGTGACAAATGTATGAAAAATATGAAAATCTTTTATTAGTTATTTTTTTGGACATTGAATACAAAATGAAAAAATTGAATACAAAAAATATGATATAAAAAAATGCAATGAAAGAATTTAATCAAATGTCCACTTAATGCAAATCAGGTAAATTTTTATATTTTTTACGATACAGTTCCTGTGTCCATTGTTTTTTGTCTCGAACTTTATCCATTAAACATTGCTAATTCAACGATAAAATTACAATGTTAAAAGATGTTAAAAGTTCATTGTTTATATATAAATATACTTACCAATAGATTTTTTTCCAAATTTAAATTTAAACCATTATATTTCTTCTCCAACAGCGGAAATTGGCTTATTAATTTTTTAAAAATGAATCTGAATATTGTTTCAGGTATAAAACACAAAAGCAATCTCTTATCAGATATCTTATCAGCACCGATATCTGCTAAGAGAAGCTTTGATTTTAAATCTTCTATGATATCATCAACTATGATGTTTAATTGATAATTCATATTGCAAGTTTTTGAAAGTTGTACAAATTTTTCGACATGAATTTTATCTTGTATTGCCATTCGTTTTGGATCACGTTGTTTCGTTATTTCGAATTCATGACGCAAATCTTTGATAATTTTATCTTTTTCTTCTAAAAGATTTCGACATTCTTGGTAACATTCTTCAAGTTTTTTGGCCAATAATAATTTTTTTTTCTTCAATTCATCACACTTACATGGATTTTTTTTATTTACGATTTCCATATCCACACCAACAACATTTTCAAACGTTTCATGAGCAGTTATAGTTGATGATTGAAATGAACGAATTTTATTTTTTTCGAATACATTTAAGGTTGAAGAATCACAAGTAGAATCTGGTTCCATCATTGATGTTGTATTTGATGTTTTTTTTTTTTTTTTTGAACAGTAAAAATTTTGAAAAAACCAAATGTGCTTTATGGTCAAAAAACCCTAACAATTATTATTATTCTCATTATTATCATTATTAAAAATTACAAATGTTTTTATTAAGATGAGAGGTTATGACAGCTTTTTATATATATGACGTTGATATGGGCGACAACGACGAAATAAAGACAGATTTTGCGATGCTGTTCGATTAAAGTTCAGATATAAGTAAAACGTATCATGAACTCTGGAAAAATTAAACGAGTTATCATTGGTTGAAAGTGTTGTTATTGCAAACCTCTTGCCACCGGAGAGTGGCCAAGAACGTATTATTACCAACATGTGGCAGGGTGGTCACACACATCAAAATGGCCTACATAATTACCACTGGTATCACACATATAAACTAATACAACCATGTTGTTGAATATTTTCATGGAAAAAAGCAAAATTTGTCGGAAAAAAAAAAAAAAACAAAAACTCGATCCAGATTGAAAAAAAGAAGCCAAGGAAGACCTAAATTAAATCCATGTTTTCGTTATCTTACAAATATTGAGAATGAAACCGCTTAATGACCTCTTCAGAGGATGGAATAATAAATTCGAAAAGGCTTATTATGTAGAAAGAGAGGAAGAAGAAGAAACCACAGAAAATCAAGAAAAATTGGATCATTTATTGGCAAAATATCAAGACGTTTTCTCGAAATCGAGCCAAGACATTGGACAAATTGATTCTGAAGAATTAAAAATAGAACTATCAGATGAAAGACCAATAAATTTACGACCATATCCTTGCTCAGCAGAAGACAATGATAAAATTGAGGAGCAAGTAGAAAAATTACTGAACAACAAAATGATAGAACCATCAACATCATCATATAGTTTTCCGGTCGTATTAGTAGATAAAAAAGATGATGGCAAAAAGACAAGACTTTGTGTGGACTACAGAAAACTGAATGAAGTCACCAAAACAGAACATTTTCCGATACCACGAATAGTTGATATAGAACAACAGTTATTGAATGCTGAATACTTTACAACTTTGGACATCGCAAGTGGATTCCATCATGTAAGAGTGGCCAAAACAGATCGCCACAAAACAGCATTTGTAACCAAGTTTGATCAATATCAATGGATCGTAATGCCGTTTGGATTAAAAAACGCCCCAATTGTCTTCCAAAGAATTGTATGGGGAATTTTGAGAAAATATAAGTTGAATCGATTTGCTCACAATTATATCGAAATGCAGAAATTCAGTCTTTAAGACTTGAAAAAACCAAATGTGCTTTATGGTCAAAATGTCCAGCTTTTTTATATATGTTGATATGGGCTCAGATTTTGCTGCTGTTCGATTAAAGTTCAGATATAAGTAAAACGTATCATGAACTCTTATCATTGGTTGAAAGTGTTGTTATTGCAAGTGGCCACACATACATAATTACCACTGGTATCACACACATGTTGTTGAACAAAACAAAACAAAAAAAAAATTGAAAAAATTAAATTAAATCCATGTTTTTCGTTATCTACAAATATATTTCTTCTATACCATAACCAAGGTCATAAACATAACCCCATAGGTACACACATATATGGTCAAATGTTCAATGTGTGTGTGTGTGTGTGTGTGTGTGTGCATTTTTCTGCGTCCTTTGATAATCTTTTAGCAAGAAACATTTTTTTGTGACGCTAAATACTATACGAAGATAACGACGAAACAGCAGGGTCGAAATATATGGTCAACTATTATTGAAATCTACCAAGGTCATAAATGCCAAAAACAAAACAAAACAAAACAAATGTATACAAATGACAATTTGGTTTCATAAAAGTAAAAAAAAAAAAAAAATAAAAAAATTATTCGAAAGTCAGCTTCACTGCGCGAATGAATCAAATTGTTCGATTAGTATATCATCATATTTGAAGGCCATAAAAAATTACAACCATCATCATCATCATCATCGTCAGTAATCATTTCATCATTTAAATTTTATTATTATAAGACAATTAAGACACACACACACACAACGACGATTTAGGAACAATCAAACGAACGTTTATAAACGTTTTGTTTTTAAATGATATAAATTCACACATGGTTCACAGGATTGACAACAACAACAACAATAATAATAATGAACAAAAAGGCAGAGATATAAAAGATTAAAAGTACAAAAAAAAGAAAAGATTTAAAAAAATGAAAACGAAAAAAAAACGTATGGTATCGAAAAATCCAATCGTTGTGTGTGTGTGTTTGACAATGACAAATGTTCACACACACACACATAGATGAATATTGGCCATTAATCAACCATAATAATCGATGATAATTTTCTTGGACGTTTTTTTGGACTTTCATTTCCACCATTCGATCCATTATTTTTATCATTCAATGTTGTTGTTGTTGTTTGGTGTTGATGCTGTTGTTGTTGTTGAATGTTTCCATGTGGAATAGTACTTTCAATAAGACCATCATCATTATCTTTTTTATATGTTGGAATCTGTTGTTGATAATTATCGATAATATTTGGATCATCATCATTATTATTATTATTTTCTTTATCATTCAATTTATCAATATCTTCATCACCAATTTTAAATAATTCAGTAAATTGTACTTTGTTATTTTCATCAGTATAATAATATGCCATAACTGCATCATTATTTTTAGTAATTTGCAACATTCTATCAAAATTTCCATCATTAGCATTAAGATGATCATGACATTTTTCTAGAATTTCTTTCTCCCAATTCAATGCTTTATTAGCAATTTCAATGGCATTATTTTGATCAATTTCATTGATATCGATATCTATTACTTTACTATCCAATGATGATGATGGACCATCAATATCATCATCAATAACATCATTATTATTGTTTCGTGTATCCATTGTTGTTTTTACATTAGATTGATCAGGTTTAACATCTAATTTTAGATCAAAATTTAGCTGTGAAATAACACGTTCAGGTGGTAGATCTGGATGGCTACCCATTTCAATCATTGATCTTCGTCTTGGTTTATTACGATTCTGATTGACTTCACGACCTGCATATGATGCTTTACGATATTTAATTGGGTCCAGTTTTTTCAAATCTAAACTTTTACTTTCTTTTAATGGTTGATTATTAATCATTATTTTTTGTTGTTGTTGCTGTTGTTGTAGTTGTAGTTGTTGTTGTTGTTGTTGTTTGGCTATATCATTCATAAACAATGATTTCGAATGACTGGATGATTTTCGTATTTTCGTTAAATTTTCTTCACTTGTATAATCAAATTCTTTGACTGCTAATTGACAACTAAATTTGGCTGAATAAAAATAACGATTTGATTCAATTTTAACCAATAATGATTTCAATAACGATATAAAACGCATAAATGATTCTTTCAATTCTTTTTGTATATCTGGTAATTTTTCATAGATTTTACTAAACAATACGATTGTAATATCGATCGGCAATAGATATGGTATGCTCAATATTGACAATAATTTCATTGGACGATGACGGAATAGCCAATTTATTATTCCTTTGTTTACCTGATCACAGGCTTCTTGAATAGCTAAATATACATTTCATAGAAAAAATGAATAAAAAAAATTCAATATTAATAAATCAGACGCCCACTATTTGATAATGAAAACAAGTTCAACGATGTTTACCTTCAACAACGGATTCAGGCAATGAATCAAGGATGGCAATTTGCCTTCGATATTCACAATCACGACAATTGGCATGATGTTTATGATGTCTATGATGTTTATTTGATGTTTCTTCTTTTTCTAATGTAAAATGTATGGCCAAACATCTTGTACAGGATATTTTATCTACAAGAGAATGAAATGAAAAAAACAGAAGAGAACAAGTGTGAGGATTATTATTGTGATGAAAAAAAAACAACAATAAAGAATTCAAGATCAGAAAAAAACAGCAAAATAAATTTTAAAAAAGAAAGCAACAAAACACGTACTATTACGTTGAAGATAACGAAGTGCATCATCGAAACCTTGTTGACAAATTTTACTCAATGTTTCCGGATGTGCTGGAAATAATATCCTTGATATACGATATATATTCGATGGTGATATCGATATAGATGTATTTGTAAAATTAAATTGAAATAAATTAAATGTATCATCCTGTGGACATATATCGGATTCGCCAGAAAATGGTGATACGGTTATAGTATTTTCATCCAATATTGGTAAATTATTCGTACATCCACCATCAATATAGGTGATGCCATTAAATTTAGGCGGTAATAAACCCGACCATAATGGTATGAAACATGAACATTGTAATGCCTAAAATATATCAATGAATGATAAGAAAGTAAAGAGAAATAGAGAAAAAATGAAAATTTGATTGATTGATTGATTTGATAAATATCATACGATCGATACGAAGTTCGTGTAATCACCGAATTCATTATTATGAACACCAAAACGGGAAAAAAAATTGAAGATATTTCTCCAAATTTTTTTTTTCATTTCATCATATCATTATCAACAACAATCATCGATCATAGATTAATTAATTTGACAGAAAAAAAACTAACCTTGATCAGTTCCTCTTTAGATTTGAATTGATTAATGATAACATTTTTACCATCACTAACCCTGGTAACACTTATGTACATACGGCCATTAGCCCTGATATGTGCATCATCTGGTAGGGTACGCATAAGGAGATCATATAGAATACGATTAATATCGAATGATGGATGAAATGGACCAAGTGCTCGGGCACGAGCACGCATTGCTACATTTAGTATTTCACTTGTACTTTCACCTGTTGTTATAAATGGAAAAAATAAAAAATTAAATTACGGAAATGAAAAAATTTCACTAATGAACAAATAATAAATTCATTGGGCAAATAATTCATTCTCATTGATTGAATTTTTGCCTGAATCGATCATGTGATAAAAGTTTCTTTTTTTTATTTTTAAATTGAAATCCTTGAAACACCGCTACACACAAAAAAATTTTCCATTCATACAAATTTTCTTATCGGCAGCCACACATCATCTTTAAATAAAAAAAAAACTAATGGGTGGAAGGAGAAAAAATGTTCCATTTTAATAATTTGAGAGCGTATATTACGAGTATATATCATCAATGACACAATACACTCAACGTATATACGTGATATTGCAGTGTGTACAAAGATTTCGTAATTTAAAAATTTTTCTACCTTTTTCTATAGAAATACAGCTGAACACATTATTAAATTATATAAAACAAAACAAAACAAAAAAAAAAAAGGTAATAATTACCCAATGGCATATCACAGACAAGACTAATTGCCGCTAATGAACCGGCTGATGCTCCTAAAAATTTTGTATCCGGTGATATTGGTGCATATTCACGTAGACAAGATGCAACACCGACATGATAAAGGCCCATAAAACCACAACCAGAAAAGCTGAATGAAATCGGTTTGGTTGGATCTAATTTTTCCATTTTTTTTTTTTGATTCTTCGTTTTGATTGATTCTTATTTTATCACAAGAATTTGATTATTATCATATAAAAAAATCGGTAAAATACTCGAAACATTCAGGAATTCAAGTTTTTTTTGACGATAGTGAAAAATGAAAAATTTTTCGAAAAAAAAAAAAAAAACACGCAATATAACTTGTTGTTGTTGTTGTTGCAGACAAAAAAAAGATAATTTTCACGACGATACATTAATGTAAGCACAAAACACACATTCGATCATAAGATTTGATGATTTGTTTGTTGGTTTGATGTGTAAAGGACAGGATTTATATATTCCGATGAAAAACGCAAATACAATCATGTCGTCGATAAAATGATGATGATGACAAATTGATTATAGATGTATAGGTGTAATAGTGCATATGTCGTTGTCATCATTGTCGTCGTCGATGATGATGATGATGATGATGATGATGGACACAAAATCACTGCCGATAAATGTTTTCGGTATAAATCATCATCGACTATTATCAATTATAAATTTTGATGATCAATCATTCATCAAATGAAAAAAAAGGAGGAAAAAAAATTCACTTTTGAATGATTGGTTGTCTGGTTTGAAGAGTTCGTATATGTGTGTGTGTGTTTATGTAATGTTTTCGATGATATATTATCGATCGAATGAATTGAATTGCATTGATTCGATCGAATGAAATATGGCAGTGGACAAAAAAAACCGCTATATACACATGAAATTATCAACATCCAAGTCGTAAAAACTAATGAAAAGATGGGGGGGAACAAAAAAAAAGAAATTAAAAATCGAAAATTAAGAAGATAACCCATCATCAACACACACCTCCTACAATACCAAATGATAATAATAATAAGCAATGATGATCATTTGAAAACAAATAGAAATGATTGTCGTCGTCGTCGTCGTTGTCGTTTGAGTTGAATGTTTGTATATTTTTTTTTCTTCTTCTTCTTCGAATCAACTAACTATATATATATTTATATGCGAATTGATTATTATCGAATACAGAAGAAAATATCTTTATGCGCGAGAGTCGTTTATACGTTGTCAATCATCATTACATTTCATTGATGATCATCGAGGATTTTTTTTTTTGATTATTGCATTGCCAATTTTACATTGGTAATAATATTGATTGAGCAATATCAAATAATGATGATTTCATTGAATCGTTAAAGACTTGCAAATATAAATTATGTACACACATATGCATGGCTTTTTATTTCTTTGGAGCCACTGCTCAAATGATCATCATCATCATCATCAACAAAATCAAGGTTCCAAACACACAACAACACACAAATTCGAAACATTTCATTAGATTCTATTCATAGATGGCGTTGATGTTTTTGTTTTTTTTTATTTGATTTGATTTGATTTGATTCGATTCTCTCAAAAAAAAGGAATAAATAAAATTCTTTATTCATTTATATTTAATTAATACTTAATTATTATATTGGCCAATGTGATGGAAAAAAGATTTCTCTTTTTCTGTAAGTTGGATATGATATTTTCGTGCGAACATTTATGTTAATAATAATAATGAACATTACGCGTTGGAAACATTTGATGATGACTTAAACGTATTTTGCTGAATCGAATTCAAGATTGCCGAAAGCTTTAAGATGTGAATTCAATTATTCTTTCGATTATCAGATCAATCGTTAAACATATTTGCGGAACAAGTAACGACTGCTTGTATATGACAAGCATTCCTAAAATGATGCTCATCATTTCACCGTCAAATAGACTTCCAATTACCCAATTTACCCAAAAGAAATATAATGCAATTCAGTGTGATGCAAAAAATGGAATTTGTATTTCATGTATTTTTTCAGAAATTTGTATGGTACACTTACTTAAAAATATCAAACGGTCTAATGACCAAAAAGAAAGACAAATGAAAAAGAATCCTTTATAAATTAAATTGTATTTTTATAAGTCAATTATAAATAAAATGGATTTACATTGTTTTAGCTTAATCGTTCATGACTATCATGATTAAGATGGGGAACAAGAAAAAGCGATGAGTGTCATACGATATTTTGTCCGGTCATTATAAATTTATTTAATTCTAAGGAAGAACAAAGTGATAACTCTTGGTCATCTGTTGATGATCAATTCTGTTGTTTTGCTTTTGTTTTAAAACACTCAAATTCAAAATAAAGAAATGACAAATTTCCAAACTAACGACCTGTTCAGAATCGAAAATGACAAATTTCCAAACTAACTTGCGACCAGTTCAGAATCGAGGAAAATGGCGAATCAATCTAGCACGACCAGTTCAGAATTCAGAATTCAAAATCGAGAAAATAGCAAGTCCCAACCTAACGACCAGTTCAGAATCGAGAAATGACAAGTCCAACCTAACACGACCAGTTCCAGGGTGGTTTGGCGATGGCTATTGATTACTTTCCCAATGATTGTAGTGGTTTCGATTTGCTCATCGCTGTCACAGTGATATTATGGTCCCACCACAGCATTTTTCTTTTGTCCTTCATCTTGTTCGTTGTACTGCTGCTGGTGATTTGTGGTTTTCACAATTCTAAACTGGTCGTGTTGGATGAACGATACCATTTTCTCGATTTTAATTTTGAATTCCTGAACTTGGTCGTGTTAGTTTGGGGAATTTGTCATTTTCTTGATTTTGAATTCTGAACTGTTCGTGTTGAGTTGGATTTGTCATTTTCTCGATTGTCACTGGATAGATTTCAACATCCCGCACATATAATTCAACTTTGATTCAATTTTGTTGGTCATTATTTCGGTCTCATAAAACCAAAACATTTCCAGAATCGATATATTTGTTTTCACTGGGTACAATCTCATTCTCATTCATTTCATTATATCTTTGAAAATATCATGATCATGATTTATAATATAAGATGGATAATGGGTGAAGATGGCAAGTTACTAAAAATTTTCCATCTGTATAGCAATTAAAATAATTGTTTTGATCCCATTTTGGTGAACACTCAGTTTTATCCGGGACATTAACCAAGGATTGTGTTTACCTGCATTGGCTAAATTGGCTATCGTTATAAGACGTCTTAATTTTGTGGTAATGCTACTCCAAAGTTCTATTCATCTGATTTGTTTATTTGTGCGGAACGAACTTTAATTGAAAATCAATGTGATGTAAATCTACAGATCGACATGAAGGAATTTATGTATTTGGCTATTTCTTTAAATATGATTTTAAAAATTTATAATTTATTTTCTTCCCCCATTTTTGAGGTATAGGGGTTTTATTGAATAAATAAATAAATAACTCGACTTTGAATGAAATAACTGTCCATCCAATCAATTGAAATCTGACAAATTGACACAATTTATCAAACAGTGGCGAAAGTTCTTTACTCAAATCACTAATCATCAACATGTGATAAGGAACGATTTTACGTTCAGTGGGGGTACATAATTTTTCATCGATTATGCATCTGATAGCAGTAATATCTATCATATCATGAGTGGATTTTTATTCATTTTCATGCTAAGTCTACAGCAAAAATAATGCATTCATTTTGCCGCCAAAAATTTCAACTCAAAGTACAACTAATGGGCAACTGCGCATAGTCAAATAGTGGTAGTGCAGCTAACTATTTCAATGCAAATGTCGCCTTCTTTCCCCTTCTATTCTCCATACAAATTTGAATTTGATCGTTGGAAAATCGAACGTTTCGAACTCAACGGTCGTCGAAGACGGTTGTCCTCACTTCGAGCTATTTTTCGTGATCATGTCATTGATATTTTTCATTTTTTCTATTTAATCGTGGATTTTGCAGTAAATTTTGGAACAAAGAAATTAATCGATTCAAGATTATCGTTGTTAAAACATGTGCGGTCTAAGATCAAGATGGCCCGAAATCGATGAAGATCGTTTGGTTCGGTCATCATGTAATTATGATTCAAGTTGGCGAACAAATCCATTTTCCAGGTGACTTTTCGTGTATTTATGACATTTGTTTTCATCAAATTGTATTCAATCACATCCTTTTCAAGTTTTTCTTTTCGAGTCCATTGTACATAATTGATGTATGATATTGGATTTAGTTAATATACTGAAAACATGGTCAATGAGGTAATTACATTTTGCCTTTGATTGAAAATGCTAACAATTTTCATATAGGCGCTGAATTTTCATTGATGATCAATGATCATTGAACATATAATTGGTGCCGTCTTTAGAGAAAACGATCATGTGGTAAATGCATGCCGAGCATTACAAATTTATTGGTGGATATCTGGTCACTAACATGGTACGATGTCCAACGAAACATTATGTTCAAGTCGTCCGGGTAACTTTTGGAATTTCGTTATCAATCAATAATTCTAACACTTACATTTCTCTAAAAGTCTGATGGGACATTGTTGTGTTTGCCTTATTCGGTAAGTCGACATATTCATTCTTCATATCTAAAGATTGATAAAGATTGGTCTATCTTTTTATTAGGTTCGTTCTGAAATTTTACAGTCATCAAATTGAAATTCGATTGATATGTTCAGGAATCAATTCGGTTATTGTTCATCAAATGGTCAAGAATAGTTTGACCATGTTCAGCACATGATATGAGTTGACTAGGGTTAGATTAGGCTTTGAGAACATGGTCTAGATTATTTCCTATTGAATTTTATGCTGGTTGGTGCGAATCAATGAAGCGATCGAAAACATTATTATAAGTCGAAGATTCCTTGGAATGGAACATACTTGAAAATGATCATGATGAAGCAATGAATAGATTGAATTGAACAAACAATTAATATTTATTTTATAGGATCGCCGGCGGAACAATTAGAAATTGAATAAGACACGGATAGAATTTGGACATTGTCTTGGAACATGGACCGCGATTATGGATTTATTTATGTCAAACGGGACAATTAACGTTTTATGGCGCAATTTGGATGTAGAAATATGCATGTATTTTTGAAGGTACAATAAATTAATATTTCAATAAAATCATTCAAATTTCAATATATCGATTAAATTAATATATGAAGGGGTAAAGGGAATGAAAGGGGGTCAAAATTGCTGCAACGATGATGGCGCATCGATTATTTCGATGTATCGAAAAATCGATTGATCGGGTGGTCCTTGAAAATCGAGTACTCGCGAAAATTGCAGTGAACTATCGATATCGATAGTCAGTCAGCTGAATCGTATGTCGTTTGCGAGTACTCGCGATTTTGGCGGATTTCTGAACCACCCAAAATCGCGGTACTCGCTAACAACTCTTTTCGCGCTGAACCGACGCTGGGTCGCGATTTCATCAAAGAAAGGTGGCTACGATTACGTGCGGCGATATTATGCTTATTTTACGTGGATGAACCTCGTCGTCGGTATTAATCTGATTTCGGAAGATCAAATCGACAGTATGGTCACGATCTGGATGCAGGAAGTCTGTGCACTGGCGGTCGAACATCTTACTGTGGATGATGATGCGGACAATGAAGTAGAAATGTTTGTGAAAATTCTACCAATACCAATTTCATCAATTGTACGTCCTTTTGTTTCTGGTATAAAATAACCAAATATAACAATGGTAATATTAACCACAGTGAATAACCAATATGTACCATATTCTTTTAACAATTGGAATAATGTTTTTGTTGAAAAAATCATAATGAATGTACCAATAGATGAATAAACAGAAGTACTTGACATTACTAACCAAACAGCTTGTGGTGGTGTAATTTCGGCAATAATAATCCAACAAAGTGGACCAATACCAAATGAATATGCACTTACAAATATGGATACACAAATAATTGGAAGTATCGATGATGATGATTGTTGAATATTCGATGTTGATAAATGTATGTAATAATAAACACCTAATGTACCAATACTTAATGCTTGTGCAGTGCCAGAAATTATCAAAAGAATTCGTCGTCCAAAACGATCGATTGAAAAACCACCGATAATGATTGTGGCCAACATGATTGCATTAGTTATTGAACTGGATTGTTTAGCTGATAATGTTGAACCGGAATTTTTAAAAATATCATTCATCGAATAGATAATGATACTAGAACCACAGAATTGTTGAAATGTCATAACAACCATTGCTATTATGAATGGTTTATAAATATCTTTTCGTCGTAATGATTTTAAAAGTCCATGATGATGATTACTTTGGTTAACCATATTGTTCATTTTATCTGATGATTTTTTCATTTCAATAAAATTATCTAATTCTTGTTGAATATCGCTATTTTTCGAACGTAATCGACGAAGATTTTTTTCAGCTTGTTTTATAGATTCATTTTTATCGTTTATAAAATTGATACACCATACTGGTGATTCAGGCATAAAACACATTATGATCATCATCAATGTTGTCGGTACAATGGCAATAAATCCCAAATGATTCCAATGAAAGTTCATAACGTTCAATATGTTGATTAAAAGCATACCTAAAACGGCGAAAAACTACAAGAAAAAATATTGAAATTAAATAAACAAAAAAAAAAAAAAAAAAAATTCTCAACTAAAATTCAACATACACCAATGGACATTCCAATGTAACCACGAATATTTGGTGTCGAAATTTCGGCTATATAAAGTGGTATCGTTGGGATCGAAATTCCCAATCCAATACCATTAATCACACGACCAATGATTATGATAGATGAAGAATGAGCAAAACCGATACAAAGCCAAGCCATACCGAATGGTATGCCCAATAATATGAGCATTTTTTTACGACCAAATTTATCGATTAGATAACCACAGCTAAAACCACCAAATAATGATCCTAATGTCCATATGGATGCAATTAATTTTTTTTCAATATCATTAGGAAACACTGGCGATTTCCAATGATCATTATTGTTTGTTGTAGTGAAATTCGTATCCAATTCTTCGCCGGCAATCGATGTCCAACCCATTGTCATACCGAATGATAATGATAATGATTCAACACAAATAGCTACAACATATATTAACCATGATGGTTTGAATTTATTTAATTTATTATTATCATCATCAACATCAATATTTGATCGTTCGATATTGCTGTTGTTGTTGTTGATAGATGATAGTGATGAACGATTTTCATTGGAATCGATTGTGGCCATTATTAGTGGAAATTTGATCGTGAATATTACAAATTAATCATAGAAAATTTGTGGATAAATCGCTTAAAACTTACTATAGTGCGAATTGAAATCAATTTTTGTTTGCTTTTGGATTTTGATTTTAAAATTTTTGTTTTGTCAAGTTTTTTGTGCTCAATTCATTAAAAATCAAAAATCTATAACAACCAATTTTGTATCATCCGGTATTATTTTAATCATTTTTTTCCTATTAATTAATTAATTGATATTGATTGATAAAGATGATAATATATATGGGCTTTTTGTATATGATCCATACTCTAATTGTTTGTCTGGATTCAATTTTTTTTTTTGAAAATTATCATGTCGCCAGATGGCATGATCAAAGATCGTAGAGAGAGAGAGAGAGAGGGGGTGAATCCTGGATCCAAGTTAATGGGTGGGCGCTACACAATTTGGGTAGAAATAATTCGAATGTTTTTTTTGGATCAATGTTCCGCTACTACTTTTTATTACTACTACTACTATCGTATAGTAGTGTGTTTGTTACCGAATAATGGAGCTCATCATCACCATGCGATTTTTTTTTTGTTAATCTCAAAATAACAATCCTGAATCATCCAGGATTTGATTTGTATTCAAATCAAATCAAATCAAATCATATATTATATATGAAGAAAATGTGGCGATTCGTAAATTTTCGTTGGTTTAATCAACAAATCGATAATAATGGAAATAATCGATTACGAGATTATATTCTCATATTATCATTTGCATCATTATTATATTTGAATAGTTTGGATGCTGATTTTGCATATGATGATAAGTAAGTAATTTTATGATGATTTTTATTATTATGTCTAATAAATTTGATGATAATCAAATTTCATTTGTAGTCGAGCCATTCTAAATAATCAAGATGTTCTATCAACAACACCTTGGTATCATTTATTTATTAATGATTTCTGGGGTACACCAATACAATCTTCCAATAGTCATGGTAGTTATCGACCAATAACGGTTGTATCGTTTCGTTTGAATCATATGATTCATGGCCATACACCATTTGGTTTTCATCTAGTCAATCTTTTATTACATTTAATTGTAACATTATTGTATACAATATTCATTGAACGATTGCTCAATGGTCGACGACAACGACGAATTACATTGATTGCATCATTGTTATTTGCAAGCCATCCTATTCATGTTGAATCGGTTACAAGTATTGTTGGTCGTGCCGATGTTGGTGCTGCATTATTCTATCTATTGGCATTATATTTCTATGTAAAATTCGTTGAATCCAATAATCATGGACAATGTAGAAAATATCTTTGCTATACAATTGTGATGGCAACATTTTCAATGCTAACCAAAGAACATGGAATCACATGTTTACTATTATGCATTATTTATCATCTATTCATTGTTCATCATTTTTTTCCATTTAATCGTCAAAATTGGACGAAAATATTACGTCAACAAGAATATGGTCAATTACGACGTGGTATTCGTACCATATCCATTGCATTAATAATAATGATTATATTTCGTTTATCGATTCATCGTTATCGGCCATCATTTTCATCGGCCGATAATCCAATCAGTGATAATCCATCTGTGATGGTTCGATTTTTAACATTTCATTATTTACCTGTATTCAATTTTTGGCTACTTATCTATCCACAATGGTTAAGTTTTGATTGGTCTATGGATGCCATACCATTGATTGTGTCTTGGTTTGATCGTCGTAATATTTTTACATTCATCTTTTATGCAATAATCATCGAATTTGCACGACGAACTTTGTATTATTATTCCCTTGTATCATCACCATCATCATCATTATCAATTTCTGCTTCAAATAACAATATTCGAAAACGATCCAATCATCAATGTATTCGTTGTGACAATTTTCAAATCAAAAATCTATATCAACAACAACAACTACCACAACCGTCATTTGAAATTGATAGCAACAACAATAATGTTGGTGGAATAAATTACAATCATCAGCAAAATCAACAACCATTTGCCATATTCGATTTGAATAATAATGATCCACAAATGCCCAATCAAAATGAACCAATAATCGATCTCAATAATAATAATAATAATAATTTCGGACGATCATCATTACCACCGCCCAAACAGACGATAATTTCACAATCAACAACACAATGCAAACAATCAAAATATAAATTGGTCAAAGGAAAAAAACTTAGCGAAATTGATTGTATTGTATTATCATTGGCAATGATGATTGTACCATTTTTACCGGCAACAAATCTTTTCTTCTACATTGGTTTCGTTGTTGCCGAACGTATACTTTATATTCCTAGTTTTGGATTCTGTTTGTTCATTGCTGTTTGTGTGGAAAAATTCATTCAATATGTTCAACGATATCATCTAATCAAATATATTATCTACTTGTGTTATTTAATATTGATCATTTCATTTTCAATTCGAACCATATTACGAAATATTGATTGGTTAACCGAAGAAAATTTGTACCGTTCAGGCATAGTTATCAATCCACCCAAAGGTGAATGACAAAAAAAAGAAGCAGAAAAAAAACCGAATACACTCATTAATACGAGTACATTTTTCGATATCTAATGTACTAAATATTTCATCAATATTTTAGGCACAATGAACAAAAAAAAAAAAAATTTCTACATGTCATGTTTTAGTAAAAAAGGGAAATTGTGATAACGACGACGATGATGATAAATGATGACAACTGATTTTCAACAAGTTAAAATATATTGACAAAAAAAGTTTTTGATAAAATTCAAGGTCAATTCCATATACACATTCAAGGATACACAAGAATCACACTATATAGCACATGAGATCGATTTTGTCAAAATTGATCATAAAATTGTTCAATGAATCAATCAAATAGAATCATGTGATTGGGTTTTGTTCACTCGTGACAATTAGCCAGTGTGTGTGTGTCATCGTGACTAAAATGACAAATTGTGAAATTGAAAAATTATGATGAATTTCGATACATAGAATCTAATCAATCATCAATTTTTTTTCTTTCTTTTTTTTTGAACCAAAAAAACGAATTAGCTTATGGAAATCTGGCCAATATACTTAGCCAACAAGGTAGAAATGATGAAGCTGAACAAATGTATCGAAAAGCATTGGAATATCGAATCAATATGGCTGATGTTCATTATAATCTGTAAGTGATTTTTTTTTCTCATTTGTACACATTCATCATCATCATCATTTTTTTATTTTTTGATAAAAATTTTTTTTTTTCATATAGTGGATTATTATTGCAAAATGAACAACGATATAATGAAGCCATACATTGTTATCAACAAGCTATCCGATTTCGTCCACGTTTGGCAATGGCTTATCTGAATATTGGTGTTATCTATTCACGTTTAGGTGACAAAAATCGTGCCAAACAATTTTATGAAAAATGTTCACAATTAGATAATTATGGCCTTAAAGATATTCGTAATCATGAAATCACGAGGATTTCCGCATTATATAACCTTGGCCAATTATTTTTGGATGATGAAAATTATATTGAAGCATTGAAAATATATAGACAAGCTATATTTCAGATTCCATCATATTATCAGCCACATTCATTATACAATAAAATTGCTGAAGTTTATAATCGAATGAATCGTACAGCCGATGCGGAAATCTGGTTCCGTAAATCATTAACTATAAAACATGATCATATACCAGCCTATCTGACATATGCAAGGATGTTGATAAAAACAAATCGAACATTTGAAGCCGAACAATTATATCGAAAAGCAATGTTACTTTCATCCAATGATACTGCCATCTATCATCATTATGGTAAAGAAAAGATTTTAAGAATGATTTAATTAATTTTTTTTTTATTATTAATTCTGAAAATTCTGATGTTTTGTCCCACCAACAACAACAACAACAACAATGTTGCAAATATTCTTCGTCAATTACAACTAATGGACAACAACAAAATTACGACCAAATGATTTGATAACACATTCAAATCTGAGTGCCATTTATCATTTAAATGGTAAATTTAAATTATTAGAAACAAAGTTATCAACGGCATTGGAATTGAAACCAGATGATAATATAACAAGAAATTTCATTTCCAACAACAAAATCATAATATGAAATCCAATTGCTGCCAAATCAAGATAATATATGTAATAACAAAGCATCTATCCACACCCATTTATTTCATTTGTCACATTTAAGAAACCATATTTGGATTGAAATAACATTAATCAATGTATTTTTGGAAATATTTTAAGAATTTGGCATCGCTAAAATAGGTCGTGAAATCATCTTTCTTTCTTTCTTTCTCTTTCTTAACCTAAATATCATTCTTTTGCTTTATTTTTGGCAATCACTAATGCTTTGCTTTATTCTTTTGGTATATAAACCCATGATAGATTGAACACTGATATCTGGTATTCGCCGTCATTCGTCATCATAATAATTATTATTTTCATAATAATATTTTTCTTTTTGATTCAATAAAATTAATTTCTTTTCATTTAATTCATTGTGTGTTACATGTCATTTATTTAAGGCAACCCTCAAAATTACGACGTGAATCTAGTGGCCAGAATGATTTGATAAAATAACAGTCAATCTGTGACTGGAAATCTAATAATACTGGTTTTCCTTTATTTCTTTTGTGAGCTGTTGTCATATCAACGTTATATCAAATAATTTTCAACACACATTAATCGTTTAAATGGTAAATCGAGTTTAAATTCTTAGTAAGCCATTTTAAATTAGTGAGTTAAAATGGCAAAGATCCATGACTCGGGATCTAATTAAAACTGCCAAGACGAAGGTTGATATCAACGAACAGCGACATTGGAATTGAAACACCATGGCACAGATTGAGATGGGGAGAGATTGGGTATGTCAGATGATAATATAACAGAGCTGCTATCAGAGCTTCCTCTGCGCCATCAATTTAGCTATCTTTGGGACTGGTTAGATAGAATAATTATCAGAATCCGCACAACAAAAAACTGCTAATTCAGAACTATTCGCCATAATAATAAACCATCTGGTTCTGCAATTGGTTCTGCACAATACAGCTCAAGATAATATATATTTACTTCATAATCCACTCACTCAACTATCAATCCTCTCTCGAAAGCTGAAGCACACATTTCCAACAACATCAGGATAAGTTAGATATAAAATGTGGCAAAGTCTTCATTTGGGCGAGACAAACACACACACACAAACTGATGCAGTGGATGCAGGTAAATTGTTGTTATTAAGAGAGAAATTAGATCCATTTTCTCTTGGACTTATTGCAGGAATAGATGGGCCACAGTATCAACAGGCGTATCAGATTTTGACAAAGTTCTATTCAGCTTCATTTCCATTACAACAGAAACTGAAAGCTAAAGTAGAAGCGTTACCAAGAGCGGAACGCTGGCATCAAACAGAAATAATGCGCAGCAATCTTGCTGTGATAAAAGATGTGTATAACACATTATCAACTAGCGGTAACAATAGGTCATTTCTTGAAACAGATTTCTTTTACACGGTAGCAGCAAAATTCCCTGACGGAGCAGTTACTAACATAATGCAAAGATATGGTTCAGAATTAACCATCAGTAAATATTTGAATGATTTAAATTCCTATATTGAACAATCTGAACAACAAAGAATTATTCTATGTAGAACAGATTATGTTATGTACCTGAACAAACCCAAACAGGAAACATTTGCAAGGGCTAGAAGTGTTCCAAACAGGAGTAATTTTAGTCAACCAAATCCGTTTAGAAGAGTAACTTTTCAGAACAGAAATAGATTTAGTAATAGAGTACAGAGTAGACCAACAATGCCGATAATAACTTTTCCAAATAGTCAACGTCCAACTAATGTTTATAACACCCCTTCAACATCCAATAATAATTTTAGTAACAGAAATGTGCAAGGCGCATCTAGAACATCAGGAACAAAACAATGTTTTTTCTGTAAAGGAAATCATATACCATCTCAATGTCCTAGACCTAGTGGAGAAAAGATCAGAATTTTGAATACTCTAAAAAGATGCGTAAGATGTTTTTCTTCAGCTCATATGATAAACGAATGTATACATTCTTTTAATTGCAGAACTTGTAATGGTAGGCATAATACATCCGTTTGTCATACGAGAGATAATAACAATAATCCTATTACTAGTATGATGACCAGTGAACCAACAAAATTAGAACAGATTAAAATTTCATTGAATGATATAGAGTTTGAAGGACTATTTGATACAAAAAAAGGTCAATTTAAATTCAATAATGGACAACTTAAAGATGCATTGGCCATCTATATGAAAGGTTTTGAATCATTTCCAAATGATTGTGATATTGTTATCAATGTTGCAAATATTCTTCGTCAATTACAACAGCCAATAAATGCAGAAATCTATTATAAATTGGCAACAAAATTACGACCAAATGATTTGATAACACATTCAAATCTGGGTGCCATTTATCATTTAAATGGTAAATTTAAATTGGCCAAACAAAGTTATCAACGTGCATTGGAATTGAAACCAGATGATAATATAACAAAGATCAATTTAGCTAGATTAGATAGAATAATTATTGCACAACAAAAATCATAATAATAAATCCAATTGCTGCCAAATCAAGATAATATATATGCCACTCCATAGTTAGATATAAATCTATTTCAAACACACACACACACACGTATTTGTAATTAATTGATTGATTGATTGATTGATTGTAAATCTTCCACACATGCAAAAAAAAATGATAATTAAACAATTTGCAGTAAGCAAAAAAAAAAATTCACCTTATTATTTAATCATTTCCAGAATTTTGATATACACACAGCAGAAAAATAATAAAGAGGGAACCATCAGATACATATTATTACTTACGAGTAATTAAAAAAAAAAATCACATTCACTTATAGCCATTTATAATGATGATGATAATTATCAATTTTTTAAAACCCGTGACATTTAATCTCTTCAACTTTTGATTAAGGTTTTATCATCATCATAATCCATTTGGATGATTTAATACAAATGAGATTTAAATGTTAAAATAATATGATGGTCGATTATTTTTGTTGTTGTTGTTGTTGATGATGTTGTTGTTGTTGTTGTGATTGATTACTGAAAACAAAAGAAAAATTTTTTGCTATACATAAGAAAAAATATGAATATTCAAAAACGACATAATCATAATTCATCCACAATCATTCGAATGAAAAGAAAACATCTATGTACAACATCTGTTTTGTTGATTATAATCATGATGATTTCATTGATATTGTTATCGAAAATGATTTCAGCCCATCATAATCATAATGATATTATTATTATTGATGATGATGATGATGATCATCATGTGTGATGACGAATATATCTGAATTGTTTAACCAAAACATTATCGATACATTATCGAATGAAGCACCTTTATCATTAGATTTTCATGTTAAATTTCCATCATCATTTGCCGTGTTGGTCAATTATGGTGTTCATGGCCATAAAACTAAATTATATTCATCATGGATACATAATGATAGATGTAAAACGAATGAAATTTGGGATCCATTCAATAATCAATGTCGACGTTTATATTGTCGTGATGGAAACCATAAATTTCAAGATGATAATTGTGTCTATAATAAAGATGATCCGAAACCGGTTATTGAATTCTTGGATTCATTAAGTAAATTCATCAATATTACATTGGATTTTAGTACAATCAAAAGAATCGACAAAAATTGGATCGTCCACAATGGTGATAACATTATCAATGAATTCAGAAATAAATTCGCTGCCAAATGGGGTATGAATATGAATCATTTAGTCAACATTTCTATCGAATATCTGCATGAAAATAGTTTATCGATTAATTTTTTGATATTGGACAATCGAAAAAATATCATCATTTTCAATAATCTAAGTCATAGAATTATATTCAATCAATCAGAACAATATGAATTGCAAAATATATGGATGACAGCCGTTGCTATACATTCGATTGTTTCGGAATTGAAAAATTTTTGTCTCAATATAACTGATATGCCATTATGGTATTGGAATTCAGAATTTGCATTCATAACACGTGATGATCAAACATATCTTTATGTAAATGGAACTGGACGTTTATATCAAACTGGTCAATATACTGGTAGTATATTATATGTTGGCGATGTAAACGATATGAATGCAATGAATCATCATATGGATGATGATGATAATGATGATGATACCATTGAATCAATGGCTAAATTTTCAACAAATGCTGTTGTTTGTGAACAAACATTAATCGATTATGATTGTCCACGTATACTATTGTCACGTGATGAATATGAATTCATCAATGGTATTGATTTATATTCACATAATATTCATTATGAACATTATGAATTATCGGATAATAATAGTATTTATGTTTGTATAAAAAATTCAACCAAATCATATGATTATTATTATGATATTTATGCAAAAAATTTAGACACAATGATCGAATCAATATTATCGACAACATTAATGTTTATATCGATCATAATGTTAACATTATTGTTGATTACATTCATACGATTCGATCAAATACGTCGATCGATTAATGGATTTAATTCAATAAATCTGGCCATAAGTCTTGAAATGATGCAGCTATTATTTTTATCGAATCAATTCATTCAAAATTGTCGTATTGTAGCCGTTTTGTTTCATTTTTTTATCTTGTCAACAATTTCATGGTCAAGGTAATGTTTTAAATCAAATTATGAATGAATGAATGAATGAATGAATTTAAATTATGTGTTTTCTTTTCATCTTTTTCAATATTTTTTCAATGGATCATTAGTGTAATTGCATACGAAATGTATCGTGTATTTATAACGACCAAACTTGTCACACGTACATTATCGAATCGTAGCCAGAACAAAATACGTTTACGATACGGTCTGGTTGGATATATTTCAACATTTTCCATCATTATTGTGGCCAATGTTGGCGATATTTTTAATTTGGAACCAATAAAAGGTGATTATGGCCGTTTAGAATTGACCGAAGTTTGTTGGATGCGTCGTACACGTGCAACCATTTATTATTTCATTATACCAGCAACGGTGGCCATTATTTATAATCTATTATTATATGTTCGTATTGTTTGTAATATTCGTCATGATTTAAAAAGTATTTCAAGTTTACGACGAATTACACGTATTTCATCATCATCATCATCATCATCGTCCACACATGCAACAAAATCATCATCATCATCATCAACATCAAATTCAAATAGAATGACCATATCAGTGATAAGCAGTGATTTTTATGATTACGAAAACAACAACAACAAAAACGACAACAATCACTTTCATCGACAACATCTTTAATATCATCACCATCATCATCACCATCATCATCAACATCAAGAACAAATACAAAACAATTTTTTAAAAATCAAACATCATTATATGTAAAATTAGGTGTACCATTAGGTTTTACCTGGATCATTGCATTAATATTGATCATTATATCACAGGATGTAAAGAATCTAATACTCACTCGTATCATATCATATGCATACATCACAAGGAATTGTATTATTTTATCACATGGATCATTGCATTAATATTGATCATTATATCACAGGATGTAAAGAATCTAATACTCACTCGTATCATATCATATGTATTCATCATTGCAAATACATCACAAGGAATTGTATTATTTTTATCACATGGTGTATATAGAAAATTATTTAAAAGAAACAAATAAATACATAATATATCATTTATTTATCGAATTTTATTCGGAGAAAAAAAAATTTAATATTAATGTAAATGTACGAAAGAATACAAAAGAAAAAAAAGGTAGTATAACAAATTAAACGACGACAAAATGGGAAAAAATAATAATAATTTAACAAAACTAAATAGTCACATGAAAAAAAAACATATAGTGAATTTTACTTATCCATTATGTTCTTCTTTTTTTTCTATTGATTTGTATTTTATTATGTATAGTGATCAATCGATCGATAATCAATTTATACTAGACTAGATGAATCATTCCGTAATGATAATGGTGGATTTTTCATAAAATATACGGCCAATTCATATGTACCCATCATTACAGCCGTATTTGGTATTTGTCCTGAATACAGGAAAAAAAAATTATTGATTATTAATAAACAAATCAAATCAAGAATTAATTACGAAGCAATTGTGTTGCAAGGCCACGATAAATTCCTTTACGAATTCCTTCTTCTCTATATACCAAAATGATTGTTTGGAAAAATTTTTTATATCGATCACCTTCTTCCCGTAGACGAGTTCTTGCCACTTCTGAATATTTGATACAAATGAGAAAACAAAAAAAGAAAAAGGATTTTAAAGGAAGGGTTTGCCTTTTTTTGCCACTAAATTCAACATTGATTACCATGTGGATAGGCAATAATTGATGCAAATGATTTTGAAATGGCTGCTGCAGCCATACAACGAAAAAAAGTTGCCAATTGTGATCCATTTATTTGTTCGTTCGATGATTGATAAACAGCGGCATTATTATTATTATTATTATTATTATTATTAGTTAATGTTAAATCATTTTTGGAAAAATTCATTGATGATGATGGCGATGATGAGGTCATAATTGTTGATGAATTCTGATTTACATGAAACCATTTTGATTTAATAAATTCATAAATCACAAAATGTATAATAGTTTCACTAATTCCAAAATAACTGGCAGTTATTCCTTTATAAAAACCAGCTATACCATTGTGATTGTAAACATTTTTAATGCAACTCCATGCAGTCATTCCTTGAAGACTATTTTTTTTAAACAAAACAAAAACAAAATCAAAACAAAATTACAAATATTAATGACAATATGATGATATTTTACCTTTTATCTAATTGCATTCGTGTTTTAATGAACCAAATTGGATTAGTCAATGTACAGGATACAAATCCACCACTGGCAGCCGATATCATATGAACATAAGGCGTATCCGGTGTTATTCGATGATTACACCAGGATTTTACTTGTGAATAAGTACAAAAATAAATTGCTCTATATATAGAAAAAAATTATTGATTAATGAAATCAAATCCAGTAATTTAAAAAAAAACATTACCTAGAAGGTGCTACACCAACAATATTTGGTCCAAGACCTTTGAATATGGCACTTGGACCTTCAGTATTGATTATATGTTTGATACAATTCCATATGGTCATACGATTCTTTCCAATTGCAAATGATGATGATGATGATGATGATGTGGATGTCGATGTCGTTGATGATGTATTTTTAACAAGATTAGGTTCATTATCAAAATTAGCAACAGATGATTGTAGACGAGTTTTAACCACCTCTAATGGACAGGTTGCAATGGCACCAAATGTACCGCCAAGTCTTTTTTGGAACAAAAATAATTTTAAAATTAAAAAAAATCCAAAACAAACAAACAAATATGATTACCCTCCGGCGATCAGATGAACAAATGTATCATAGGACATAAATCCAAAAGAATATTTTTCTTTTCCGCTTTGTATATATGAGATTTAAATTTTCATCAAAACGCATTTAAAAAAAAAAACGGTGCAAACGTAACACAATGGATGAGTGCGTGTGTGTGTGTGTGTGTGTTGTATGTTGGTATGGGTATATCGATCAAAAGAAAAAAAAATCTACATTGACAACATTCGAAATGATGATGATCAAACCGACCCAAAAAAATAAAAATGAAATTATCTTGATGAACAAAAAAAAATTTTTTTGTGTTTGTTTTTGTCTATTTTACTTTTGATTTTTGTCGATTATTTTTTACAATAAAAGATTCAGATTATTATTATTATTGGAAAAGAAAATCGAAATAAAAAAAAAGAAATTTTTCTGTTGTTCTTGTTGTTCAAAACATTATTGATTTTTTTTCTGTGTCGATGATCACCAATCAACAATTATTATTATTATAATGTTACACAGTAAAAATATATTTTCGTTTCTTATTGAGATTTAGAATGCATCAGAGTATCACATGCGAATCGATTTGGTCATGATGATGATGTTGTTGATGTTGGTGATGATGAAAAACACCGATATACATGCATTTTTTTTTTGATCATCATAAAATTTTCTATACATATGTCTATATAGACAGCATAGGTTCGTTCACGTTAAATTGGACATCATCATCATCATGTTTATATATTCGAAAAAAAATGTGCGCGTAAATTTTTTCTTTTTTTTCATGAAAATGATAATAAATAATAAAATAATACAACGTTAGAATTAACGAAAATCATCATCACACACACACACACACACGTCTAATATTAACAAATTAAAATAACAAACATCCAATAATTGATTGATTATAGATATGATTCACTGAAATCATTTTCCGATAATTTAGACAATGTTTTTGCTGTTGATGTTTGAAAACCAGAATCACTTGTAATATCCATATTGATTATATCGTTTGTTGCTGTTGTCATTGTTGTATTGGCCATCATTTGATTATGATTTTCTATTTCTGGTTCCTGTATTCTTACTGCTTTTTTCAATATAGTTTTTATTTGTGTTTTATCTTTTTCTTCCAAACGTTTTCGTTCCATTTGTTCTTTGCTTAATTGTTCGATTCGTTTTTTTACCTCTTCAATTTGTCTTTCTTTTTCCGATATTTTCATTTTCAATTCATCATTTTCAGTATTCAAACGTAAAAATCTATCTTCTTCTTCTTTTGTTGACATTGTTTCATTGAATGTATTATTCATACCGGTACTTAAATTTTGTCGATGTTGAACAATGGCAACAATTTTCGGTACAAATATCAATGCCATCGATAATATACAACAGAATATAATTGTCAGACCAATGAATGCAAAATGTGAATTGACTTGATTATCGATGACCAATGATACTGGTCCGGTTATTAAACATAATATCTATTTGGAATATTGAAATCAAGCCAAAAATTGGAAAAAATTTTAAAAATACAAAATAAATCACATACCACAACATTATAAATACTCATTGCAACAAGACGTGAATCATTAATTTGTTTCAATTTAGCACTTCTTGTCTCATATGATAGAAATAGACCGAAAAATAGTACCAAACCTTTGTAGCCATATAATAGACCATACCATATTAGACTTGCTTCACAATGTTCCAATAATGGTTGAAACTAAATCAACAACAACAACAACAAAAAATTCAAAAATTAATCCGCAATATTATCATTCAATCAATCAATCAATCAATCAATGAAATTCAAACCTTAACATCATCATCAATTGTTGATGGTGGATCTTCTAATGGAAAATATTCCATACGTCTTGACATTGGATCATATAGATACCAGATGACCAAAATGATTATATCCAATGTACAGAATACTGTAATGATTAGATAGCTTTGATTATTGTTAATTTTTCGTTTATTCTGTGTATGTAACACATGACATGTCCAAATTTTGGCAAACATTGCACCAAAAAATAATGAAAATCCTATGGACAAAAAGAATGCCCTTGACTGTCGTCAAAAAAATATATATATGAAAAATCAATAAATATAATTTACAGCCAGCAATCAGTTTATAGCCACTTACATTGCAAACAACTTGAAAATAATCAATACCAATATCTTGACCATCTAAACCGAATAACTGTACGGATATTAGACAGAATATACAACCAACTAACATTATATTATTTGATGATGAACTTGACATTTGAATGAATCTAAATGAAATGAAAAAAAAAAAATTCCAATAAGTAAATATTCCAATATATAATCAATATACACAAACCTATTATTACGAAATTTATAATTAAAACAAAGTAATGAAATAGCAAATAATATGCCAATAATCGCTACAGCACTTATTGATACGAATAATGTACGATTAACAGTCATTAATGTTGGTACAATTTCTGTACGATCTTTTGGTACACGACCAGATATATACCATTGTTCCCTATCATACCAAGTAAGATTATCGGTTGCTGTATCATAAAATCCTAATGTTTGATATGTTCCATTGATCATTTGTTCAATTAATGTCCATGATATACGATCACCGATATCGTTGAATGCAACATCGCCTGAATTTTTGTTTTTTCCGTTTTTTTTTTACAAATTCCATTGTATATATAGAGATCAATGATCGAATGACGTGCAATAATGGGGAAAAATAAACAGAAAAAAAACAAATTCAAAAGAAATCATTGGATTAATGAAATGGAAAATTTTGATGATTAAAAAAAAAAAAAAAAAATTCACCTGAAACGCCTAAAAATTGTACCCGTTGTAATTCAGATTTAATTATATCCGTTATTTCTTTTTTTTCATAATCAAAATCATCCAATGACATTCCCAATTCATCTAATCGTGCTATCGAACGATTCAATGCAAATGCAACAGCCCATATTGCATCATATGCTAATGGTGCTTCTTGGAAACCTTCCTGTGGTTTTTCACCATGTGGAAACCATTCTTTATATTTAGGTAATTGTTTTTGATATTCATGTAACCAATCTTTGGCCGTCATACCTATAAATGATGATAATAAATAAAAAAAATTTTTTTTAGAAATTAATTTCACATTGATAATTAAACACTAACCAGCGATTGTTATTTCTGGTCCTTGATTAAGCATCAATGCTTCGGTTGTAAAATGTTTTTCAACCACGGCCATCATTTCATCCATCGTACAATTGATACCGGTGGATGGATGAAACCAATTATCTTCATACCAACCGATTAGAAACCAAACATGTTGTTTACCATAAAGACCATTTTTATATGCTTCACACATCATTTTTCTAGCTGCACCACCATATGCCATCGCGACGATAATACGAGCATCTTGTCTGGCTAAACTTTTAACCGCTTCAGTTGGATCATCCAAAAATGATACACGTGTTACGATTTCAATATCAGCTTCTTTACATTTTATTTCTAAATCTTTTCCAGTCTAAAAGAGTTTTGAGAGTCAAAATTTTGGTCCAAAACAAAAAAAAACAAAAAAAATTCCAACAACAAACTTACCGTAACAAATACTTCTTCAGCTTCAATAATGATGGCAATTCTTGTCCATTTAAATTTTTTAAACAATTTCACTCTTGTCGGATTGTGTATGGTGGCAGAAGGGTGTGTACGAAAAAATGTTGGAAAACGTTTACGATCGGATAATGCCGGTGAACTGGAACCATAACCAATAACAATTAAATTATACATTTTAGCCGTTTCGGCAATAGTTGAACAAACAATTGAACAACCACCAAGTATTAATGTTTTATTTGGCGGCGTATAGATCAGATCATACAGTACAGCTGAACTAAGACCAGGATCACACTATATGAATGGTAAACAAATAAATAAATAAATAAAGTCAGTCGATCAATCAATCAATCAATCAATTAATCAATTAATCAATCAAAAATTCATTTTACCTGGCTATTATTCCATGTTATGTTCAAATAATAACCGGATAATAAATTTTCATTATTATTAACATCTTCTAATGCCATCATTGCTGCTGGTAGGCAACCTTGTCCACCAAGCCAACCGGTTGTACCATTCATTGGAAATAGGCCACCAATTTCAATATATTTCAATTTACTTTTATCCAATGGTTTACGTTTTGCAAATGAATATTGTGATGATGATGATAGTGATGACAGTGGTGATGATTTTGTTATAGAATAATCATGATTATTATGATGATTTTTATAACGATCAATAAATGATGATCGATGATTTGGATCATTATTATCAAAATGTATCACATGATCACCATTGAATGAATGACAGAATTCAATTATAATTATTATAACGATAAGAATTATGATTAAAAATAATCTACACCAACGATTTTGATTCAATGATGGAAAATTTGTTATTGTCATTGAATCCATGGTTATCGGATGAAAATTGTTGCCATACACGCACACACACACACACACACACACATCAAATCGAAACAAAACAAACCAATAATAAATTCGGTTATTATTTTTGGGACGATTAATACATCCCACACAAAATTTTTTTTATTATTATTAATTTGAAAATAAAATTGTCCATGAACCAGAGTATGGGCCAAACATTTTTTTTTCTTCTTCTTCTTCTTCTTCTTCTTCGATTGAACCAATAACAACAACAACAACAACAACCATTGCCACTACAAATAAAAAAAGTTCATTCATTCATTCATTTTGTCATGAACGTAAGAAAAAAAAGAATTCGACCCGATCCAGAATTAATGGAATGGAATAGAATTTTCATGTTTTGCGCATGTTCGATTCGAATATTTTGGTTTTCGAATGAAACATTCGAATGAAATTTTTATTTTTTTTTTTTTGAAATTTATCTCCCGTTTTCTTCAAAAACGCATTGATTGATTGATTAATGAATTTTCTGGATAAACAGAGAAAAAATTGAATTTGATCAACTGATATTTCGGCATTTTTTTTCACCTGAAGCCGGATCATCATCATCATCATCATTTTTTTGTATATACCACAAATTTTGTTTCAATGATAATCTCTACAACTGTTGCGAATTTTTTTATTTTTTTCGTTGTTGTGATTGAAAACCAAAATATACCGAAATCAAATTTGGTGGCCACATCTTCTATATTTATTCATTGTTGATCAAAAAAAAAAAAATTTTTCATTTGAAAACATCAATATTGATGATGATCAAATGGATCAGGCGCGACTAACAAGCAAACATTCTAGTTCTAGCCATATATAATTTTTTTTTTTTATTTTTGTGTCGAGCGCCATTCATTCATTCATTTATTGCATCCGTGACCAAATCATCAAGGAAATCCACTTTATAAGTTAATGTTTGCTATTTTGCTACTACTACCACTGCTACTGCTACTTTTATTATATCCCCCCCGTCTTTCAAATGGATCGGTTGCAGACAATCTTTACCTATTTTTTTCTGTTTTGCGAACAACAAGTAATAATTACACACACACACCATATAGACCTGAGAAGCAAAAAAAAAAAAAAAAAAAAATTTTGTGAAAACATCAAACCACCCACGCATTTAAAGAAGAGAACATGTTCCAATTGGAACAATCATCATATGATACATACAGCCACTATATTGAAGACTTGATTCAAATTATGAACCAGAAAAAAAATGGGCTATCATCATCACCACACTGCTATGCCCACTAATTTCAATATTGCTCCCAGACATATATATATATATATATGTGTGCATGTATATCATCATTGCCATTCATTGCCGACAAAAATCACATCACTAGGTTGATGCCTCAAGATATACAAAAAAAGTAGTATTATAATGTATATATGTGTGTTTCGAAAAAAGGAGAGAGTGAGAGAGAAAGTAAACATTGCAAATAAAAAATATATAAAAAAAAAAATCCCATCAAAATATATACAATTTACATCGAGTTTTGGAAGTGGCATCATTTTTTTTTCGTTCGTTCGTTCGTTCGTTCATTCGTTGATAATATCATGGCACCAATATATTATTATTGGCGGGTACACACACCCTTACTCCCTCCTTCTTCTTCTTCTTCTTCTTGATGCAGCGTTGTTGTTGTTGTTGGTGTTGGCGCCATTATTATCATCAAATGGATTCCACCATTTCATTGATATATATAATACATTCTATGGTTATTTTGTATCGAATCTCATTCTATCTCTCTATTTTCTTTGCTTCTGAAAAAAAAAAAAAAATAAATTTTTAGATAGTTATATATGAGTTTAAAAGATACTAAAAAAAAACCGACTACTACTAACCGACATGAACGACGACGACGACGACGCATAAACCAAATTTATAAAACATAAAAAAAATCGATGATGTTGTTTATGTTTATTGTGTGTATGGTGAAATGATAAAAAATTTCCCAAACACACACATTTCCCTTAAATCATTCGAATCGAATGTGTGTGATGTGATGTGATGATCAATGGTGATGGAAGTGGAATATATATATGATGATGGAAAAAAAGGAAGTGGTAAAAGAGGATGAGGAAGAACATATTTTAAGTGGTAAAAGAGGATGATGATGATGAGAAATATTGTGAAGGAAAAGGTTGAAAATCCCTCACAATATAAACATTCGACAATATTTTCGTGGTGGTGGTGGTTAGTTAGTTGTTGTTGTTATTGTGTATGTACATGTGTATATGTTTAGTTTAGAATCAAGATTCAGGTTATATTCTTCAATTTTTTTTTGTTGATGTTGTGTTTTTATAGTTGGTGGGATTTATATATGCGCACCATTTTCATTTTATCATTCTCATTCTCATTATTATTTTTTTTTGGTGCCGAATATCTTTTTTTGAATGGTAAAAACAAAAAAAGAAAGAAAGAAAAAAATTTTGCCGTATGTTTCTTTTCTGGCCCTGTGTGTATATGTTGTGTATGTGTATGTGTGTGTCCCAAAACAAAAACAACCATCAACATCGACATCATCATCATCCTGTGACTGCAACAATTTTTTTGTGTGTATATGTGTGTGTGTGTGTTCTTTTCGCTCCCTCTCTGTTTTCACTATATTTTTTTTTTTGTTTTTTTTTTTTTTTATCGTCGCAACCAGTGCCCAGTATGTTTTGGAAGTGAAACAAGTAAAAAAAAAAATTGTTTATTAATTTTTAAGAAAATTATCCATCATCATCATCATCATCATTATTATCAAAAAAAAAACAACAAAGATTCCAAGTTTGTTGTTGTTGTTGTTGTTGTTATTCTTGTTTTGTTTTTTATTTTTGATATTGGAAATCGAATATATTCTTCAATATGTAATTCTTGTTATTTGGTAGTTTGTAGTTCATTGTGTTTTTTCTTCTCTTCGTCATTTGTTTGGTCATTTTTGTTGTTGATTGTTTGTTTTTTTTTTGATTTATTTCATTATATTTCACACAGAAAAAAAAGAATAAAAGAAATTTTCATCATCATTGCTGATTAATAATTGCAATAATATCATATTCAACCGGAAAAACTAAAATTGAAATCATAGATCGATCATCAAGATAAAATCGAATCTCAATTCAACAAACAAACAACAACAACAACAAAAAAACGTTCGAATTCGAACATTTCAAATTGTTCCATCCAAGAACAAACTAGTGAAAAAAAAGAATTCACCGATTCATGTGCTGTGTTCCACTATCATCATCATTATCATTTTGATTTGGTTTTTTTTTATTGAAATTTTCAAATTCTCTCTCTCTCTCTCTCATTTTATTGTTTCTTCAACAAAAAAATTTTTGTTTTTCCATTTGTGTATTTTTTGTTTTTATATGTCTGTTTTGTTTGGTTCTTATAAGTCTATAAGTGTAATGTATGTATAAATGTAATTTGTGTATGTGTGTGTGTGTATTCTAAAAATAGAATCTAAAATCATCATTAAAATCATCTTTTTTTTTGAAAGAAATAAAAATGAAACATACATTCATACATTACATGCATATATAAACACACACACACACACACACACACAGACAAACACACACAAGAGTCACCAAACCAGAAAGAAAAAATCAACGATCTGAAATTACAAATGAAAATCGATAATCAATGATGATGTTGATAATAATTGTTCAATAATCATCATCATCATCATCATCATCGTCAATATAATTAGAATCCTACAATAACAACAACAACAACAACAATAATAATAATAATAATCGAAAAAAAAGAAAGAAGAAAGAAGAAAAACAAAACAAATTGAAGATCATTTATACCAGACATTATATTATCAATCTTCAATTTCCATCATCATCATCATGATCAGCATCAGCGACATCTTATCAAATCAAGTGAATTAAATTCTATTGTGTTATTGTGTGATGATAATGATGAACAAAAAAAAAAAAAAATAGTGAAAGGAAAAAAAAACTTCTACGAAATAAAACAAATAACGAAGTATAATTAAACATTTATATGTGGGTTTTTTTTCACTTCTTTGATATGTTACTTCGGTTCGTTGTGTTTGTGTATTCCATAATAACAATATAATAATGATGCTCATGACATATAAACAAACAACGAAATGCCACCACCTAGTGGATAATAATCGTCATCATCATCATCATGGCTATAATCCTTTTTTTGTGTAGAATATGTCAAATGTGAATTAAAAGAAAAAAAAAGTTGGACATGGAATCTACATTCTTTTTTTGCCAATTTGGATTTGTAACAAAATTCAGCAATGTGAAAAAATCATCATCATCATGATGGAAAAAGCTCTTTGCTTTTTTCATTTTCAACTATAGAATTTGTTTTTTTTTGTTTGTAAATAGAAAACAAAAGTTCAAAAACATTTTGTGTCCAGTGTGGTTTTTTTTTGTTCTGTCATTCATGATTCTTCAATATATATAACACATGAATGATTTCCGATTCTGGTCATCATCATCATCATCATCATCATGATTCAACCTCATTCAATCAATCAATCGAAATTTGATTGATTAAAAATCAAACCAAAATTTTTTTTTTTTTGGTTTAATTACAATTTGTGTACTCCTTCTTCCTCTTGAACAGTGACTGAAAAAAAACATAAAATTTTCCTAAAAAAAAAAAATTTTTTCCATTGTTATTGCGTCAATTCGTCGATATATCAATAGACAAAGAAAAAAAAAATTTTTTTATTTGAAATCATCATTTGACGACGATTTATTGTTTTTGATTTTTATTCTTTGAAATTAACTTTATCAACATCAACAACAACAAATAAACAACAACAACAACAACAACGACGACGACGACAGCAATTTTAGTGGTTGAATAAGCAACGAATTTTTTCTTTTTTTGAAAATAAATTAATCAACGAAAGCCATCGACACAAACATACAACAACCAGCACCACAACAACAACAACAACAAAAAAATGGCTAATCCACGAAAATTTAGTGAAAAAATTGCCCTACACAATCAAAAACAAGCGGAAGAGACGGCAGCATTCGAGGAAATAATGAGAGAAGTAATGGGCGCAACAAGAAATAGGGTATGTTTTTTTTTTAATTTCAAATCAATAATCACGAGAAAAAAAAATTTAAAATTATTCACCAAAAAGAATCGATTGTTGTTGTTGTTGTTGTTTCGAAATTTTTTTCGTTTTGCATTTCCGTTTTTTTCTGTTGTTATTGTTTTGTTGTACGCCTAAACACTTGTTGTTCATTGGTTCATCATCATTGATTTAATCAATGAATTGCGTTGAAAAAAAAACAAAATTCATCATCAATGATGATGATGATGATTTAGAAAATTAATTGTTTTTCTTTTTTATATTTTGTTGTTATTGTCATCATCATCGTCATCATTGTCGTCGTTGTTGTTGTTGTTGTTGTTGTCCATTTGTCCATTTGTTCATCTCTTTATTTGTTTGGCCAAATAATTCGGTATATATGGAAAAGATTTTATGAACACATAGGAAATGGCCATTCATATTATTTTGTTGTTTAGTTTTTGTCAATTTTTTGTTTTTAGTTTCCCAAATTCTCATTTTTGGATTTCAAAATTTTTTCCATGCATAAATCAATGTAATGATGATTGTTTGGTTTGGTTTTTCCCTTCCCTACCCATTTTAGATCATTTCATTTCATCTTAGATCTTTTTGTTTGATAGTATCCATTATATATGTCATTTTCATTTTTGTTCATTTTTTTTTCATTAAAATTTTTTTTCTACTTCCACACCTGTGTGTGTGTGTTTGCGTTTTGTTTGCAATTCAATATTTGTTTGTGTGTGTGTGTGATATATGATATATGATATCGTATTTGAAGCGAATGTGTTTTTCAATGTTTCCATCTATCTCTCGTGTGTAGATAGAGAATACATTGTGTGTGTGTGTGTGTGTGTGTGTGCTACTATGGCTAGTTACAAAGTAAATATTAACAATCGGAAATTTTATTTCCCTTTTTCCATGTATGTATACAGGGTCATTCTTTTTTTCAAGAGAGAGATAGAGAGAAAATATGAATTGTTGAATGTTCTTTTATCATAAATGATGATGATGATGATGATGACCACTGCCACCATTGTCAGATTCTAGTATTCTGAATAATAAAATTTCTACAATGAACCAAAACATTTGGTTTGATCAATGTTTTTTACATATATATAGTTGAAGCACCAAAAACAAAACAAAACGAAAAAAAAAAAAAAATCGATTGAATAGAAAAATGGATGGATCGAATAATTGACTTGATTGATTGATTGATTGATTGCAATTTGCATTTGCATTTCAATAACATCATAGTGTGTGTGTGTGTTGGATTGGAGTGAAAAAAAACGTCTCAAAAACAATAAGCAACTTGTTAGATATGAAAATCGATAGCACATTCTTGTTCCGTCAGAAAAGATTACCTGGTCTGTGTGCATGTGTTTGACATTCTGAATTCTTTTTTTTCAAAGAGTTTCAGTTTTCTCTTGTTATTTATTTATTTTTTTTAAAGAAAAATTTTTTTAATTCATGTATGAAATTCTGTTCCATTTTCATTTATTCTGTTGTTTATTTTTTTTGAATAATAATAATAATAATTAATGTACATAAAATGCACACACATACACACACACACACACACAAGATTGTCAATTTTGTACTTGATGACATTTGATAATTTTGATTTATATTCTCTATTTATTGTTGAAAATGAAAATGAAAAAACATTAATCTTATTAATTTACATACATTGTTCGAAGAGAACCAGAATGTTCTAGCATTCTGTGTTGTATTAACATATATATGTATGTATTTTAAAATGAAAACCATTCGTAATTCTACAATAGAAATATTAAATAGAATTAAATAGCCTGACGACGATCATTCATTCATTCATTCATTGATGATGATAATAATGATGAGACGATGACAACGACTAGTTCATTCGACGATAATAATAATTATTTTTTTTATTTCATTTAGTCGGTTGCCATCATCATTGGTTTTTTCTTTGATTTTGTCAACTTGATTCTTATTATATGAGTATTATTATGCATACACACACACACACAGAAAATAATCTACATAACAAAAATTTAATTGGAACTCAAATAATATGAATAGAAGATAGTGGTGGTGGTGGTGAAAGAAAATCAGCTTTTCAGAAATATCTTCATAGAATATTCTATAAGAAACAAAACAAAACAAAACAAAAAAAAATAAAAGTTTTCTCTACTTTATTCTTTGTATCTCCCAAAAGAATTATTTTTTTTTGTATAAAAAATTCTTGTTGTTGTTTTCGTTGGTTTTCTTTCCGAAATGTTTTCGTTTATGTGATTGTGAAACTAAAATATCATACATATGAATACAATGATGAAATTGGAATTTGAATTTAATGTTGGAAAAAAAAGAGCAAAAATCAAGCATTGCTTTCATGTGAGTGTGTGTGTGTGTGTGCAAAATTTAATCTTTAAAATAAATAGAAATTGTATATGTATTGTATATGGATTGTCAAATGTTGATTTTGAATATGATGATTTGAAAATACGAATGATCACTATAGTCAAACTTGCTGTTTTAAAATATTTATAAAATATAAAATAAATCCTGCATATGTGTGTGTGTGTTCTTGAATGGAATTTTTGATGTATAATAAAAAATTGAAGATTTAAAATTCTGTTAATCCCTGATTATCACAATAATAATAAATAAAACTAAATCTCTTGAATACACTAAAAATCATAATAATGATGAAAATTATGATTTGTTTGGATAGATGGATGACCATAAAAAAATTTAAATTATGAATGAATGAATGAATATAGAACAAATTTTCAAATATCGATCCGCAATCGAATCGATTAAAATTACATGTTCATTTCATTTTTATGACAAGGTGACAATTATATAGAAAATTAATTCGTTAAATGATGATGATGATTATTATGCATTTTTTTGGATTTTCATTTTTTTTTCTTTCGTTTCGTTTCATTTCATTTCTCTTCAAATCATCATTATCTCTTTGATTGAGATATTGTTGTCCTTGGCCATCAATGTTGCTGTTGTTGTTGTTGTTGTTGTTGATGTTTTCGTTTGAATTATTTTTCTTCTTTTTTTCGTTCATTAAATTTGATTTTTTTTCCTTTCGTTTTCAATCGATCGACAGACAAATTGCACTGACAAGTTGTTGTAGTGGTGGTGTGAATGAATAGAAAAAGAAAGAGAAAAAAAATGAGTAATCATCATGAAACATTTGGAGGGGGGGTGACAGTGAAATTAATGAGAATATAATATATTAAATGTGTAAGCAAATGAATTGAATTGAGATAAAGAATTTCAACAACAACAACATTTTCCAGAAAAAAAAATCTTGCAGTCTTCGTGTGGTAATTTTTTTTTTTTTGCTTCATTTTGAAATCAATTGACAAATATTGTATTAATAAAGAATTTATATTTCGTACAATCACCACCGCCCATTCATCTTTCGTACATTTTTTTTCCAATTCCCTGATGTTTGAATTTTTGAAAAAAAACATACCAAAATACAAGGATGACAAGAAGATGAAAACAAATTCTCGAAGAAACAAAAACAAAATTGTAATCATCATCATTATTATCAAGATTGTAGATGAAATAAGTAAGGATGAATGATGGAAAAGCTAAAATCAAGGATTTTTTTCTTATAATTCTGATCAATCATCAATCGTATTGAGTGTATGTGTGTGTGGGTGGGTGATTCCATTTTGATTTATTAGATGAGATTTATATAGTTTGAAAGTTTCACGAATTTCGTTTTTATTTTGATTTCAATTTATCAAAATAAAAATTCTTGATCGATTTGGTTTTTCTTGAAAATCTGACATTTCTATTCTGTGTTCTTAGTTGTTTGGTTTGGCTTATCTAAATGTTTTAGTTGATTCTGGAATATTTTCGATTCTTTTGGATATCTATCAACGGTTTATTATAGGCAGGCACGAATATTTGTATTATGAATTCGATTTCTTTTTTTTTTTGTTTAATGGAGAGTTTTATCAATTAATAATAAATTTTCTCAATTTTTTTTTCTATTTCTATCCATCTATTTAGACATCATCATATAGTAATCATCAACAACAACCACTACAAACAGCAGCACCACCTCTACCACAACCAATTCAATCACAAAATCATCTACATATAGCGCCTTCATCATTTAATCCGGCCAATCGTGCTGGTTCATTGCCGAATGTCAATCATATTGAACAACAACAACAACAACAACAATCTACGGATTCAACGGCCAATAATAATAATCTTAACAACAATAGTAATCAAAGCTCAAAAGGCACTAATGTGACAACAACAACAGCAACAAATACTACTACAGCGACCTGTATTGATTTACAAAGTGCCTTGAATAATCTACAAGAGATTAAAAATGATAATAATAATAATTGTAGTAATAATGGCAGTACTAATATAACAAGACGAAATACAATCAATAATTCGTTAACAGGAACAACTGGAATGATAGCAAATCGTACAACAATTACCGGTGGTAATAATAATAATAATAATACTAATATTGGTATTGGTCCTGGACATCGTCATCATAGTAGCCATAATATTTCATCAATGGCTTGTGGTATAATGACCAGTGGTAGTGTATCACCAACACAAACATCATCATCACCAGCAACAGGATATAATGATGTACAACAACAAACGATGCGTTTTATGCACGCACATCGTAGATCTCAATCGCCTTATTCAATGAATAATAATGCATATCTAAGTCCACCAGCAGCCGATACACAATGGCGTCGTACAAATTCCGATTCTGCATTACATCAAAGTAGTAATAATCAGCATCAACAAGAAACAAATATGACAACATCACCAATCGATGTAACCGGTGGTTTTAATCAGATATTACATCATCATAACCAACAACCACATTCACCGACAAATAATTCATCACCACAAGATTCATGCAATAATTCACCAGGACAAACCCCTGGTACTGCAATTAGTAGTGGATCAACAACAATGATTATTGATGGTACAACAATGTTATATTCAAATTCAAGTAGTGATAATCAACAAATGATGAATTGGAATATTGTACGTGCAATGAATAATAATGATAATGGCAATCATCATGGTAATAATGGTAATGATGATAAATTTTTACTTAGTGCATCATTACCAGATGCACATTTAAGGCCACGTTCATGTGAAGTACCTGGTATAAATATATATCCAAGTCAAGAAGATGGTACTATGAATAATATTAATAATACAAACGATACAAATCAAATACATCATATTACGATATCATCAAATACCGGTTCATTACCGGATTTAACTAATTTAAATTTTCCTGTGCCATTGAATGTACCAATTGATGGTACAACTGATGAACAACAACTACAACAACAACAACAACGTCAACATCAACAAAATCTTTTAAAACATATTGCAAATAATACTGTTAATACAAATTCACCATATAATTCAAATGGACCGGATTCACCATATTCACCAACATCATCACATAATTCCAATCTTTCACCACCACCACCAATGATACAACAACAATCACAACAAAGAAATCAATCACCGAATCGTCGACAACAATCACCAGGACCATCACCATCACCGACGGCACAACGTCGTCGTGCACATCATAATGCCAATACAATGGTTATGGGTAATCCAAGACAACAAGCTCAACAACAACAACAACAAGTATGTTATGATCATCAATTTCCCGTACAAAGACATCATCCAATTACTCAGCCATTAGCAGATTCCCATACCCGTAGGATTAATAAAGACCCTACCCAACAACAACAACCACCACCACCACCACCACGACCGCCTAAAATTAAACTCGAGGTAACACATACACACACACACCCACACTCATGCACCTTTGCTAAGATAACTTAATTAATCAGAATTGAAATTCGGCTCTTATTTATCGCTTACGTATTTATAAATCATAAAAATCTTCAGAATATTTATAAATGAAAAAATTCCCATTGTCTTTTCCAAATATTAGGGCTTAATGATGGTTACAAACGAATGTTGTGGTGATGATAACCAATGTATACCACCATTATCACCTTATAATAATCAACATTCATCAAATTCTTCTCATCATCATCATCATCATCATCATCATCATCATCATCATCACCAGCAACAATCGAATAATAATAATAATTTAAATTTAATGAATGGTCATCCAACATCACCTACATCTTTCCATCACCAACAAATGAATAATAATAATAATAATAATCATTTTCAGTTCAGCAATCATGCGGCCAGTACTCCCATTACAATGACTTGTCCCAATGTAATTTTTTTATCAATTATTCAGATTTTTATTGCTATAGCAGAACCAATACCCAGAAAATATTAAACCAAAGAAAAAAAACAAATTACAAAAAAGAGAATGAAAAAAACAATTGAATTGAATTTGGATCGATTAATTGATTTTTTTTCTTCTTTCTAAATCATTTTCTGTGTATATGTTTGATCGATTAATTGATTTTTTTTTATTTTCATTCATTTGATTTGTATTTGTGTATAGATGGCAACAATGGGAGCACATCGTAGTACAACTCCAAGCGATTCCTGTTCAGCACCAACATCACCGGCATCACAGAATATATCACCATCAAATTCTCCGGAATTAACTCTTAATAATGCTACTGGTGCTGGTGGTGGTGGTGGCGTGGCGGTGGTTGTGTTGGTAATCAACCGAATGGTTTATCAAATACAACGACTTCGACAAATCAACATTTCAATCAATCATATAGTTCACCATCGTATCAGAATCAACAACAAGCGAATTTATTACAACATCAATTGGAACAATTTCGTATGACAAATGATGCTGAACCTGGTGGCTATGTGGTAAATGATCATCATTATTCATTTTATTTGTAATTGTGATTAACTAATTTTAATTTTCTTAATCATCTTATCAAATAGATGACTTGTACGGCCGATATGATTACGCAACAACAACAACAACAACAACAACAACAGCAGCAGCAACAGCAGCAACAAGCCAATAATGGCCAAAATTCCAATGTATTTTATCTTGATTCAATCACATTAAATCAATTTAATGATAATACATCGACAATTGTAATGGCATCATCATCATCATCATCACCACATCATCAATCACAACAACAACAACAACAGCAATTTAATCAAACTTCAACACCATTACACGATCCACATCAACAGCAAGGATCACCATTTGGTCAAAATGATGGTCTATTTTTTGATTCAAGCCAAACATTAACATTGAATACAATGTCAACAGAACCATTTTTAAAAACTGATGGATTATCAGCACTATATCAACAACATCAAACACAAAATAATAATGGCCAACATCAACCATTATCAAATTCAAGTCATTGTACGACGCCACAAACACCATCAAGTATACCGGATATTATATTAACTGGTAAATATTGGCAATCTGAAAATATATTCTTATAATAAATATTCTTCAATTTTTTCTAATTCTTGATAAAAAAAACAGGTCCGAATAATCTGGATGAAGCATTACAAACATCGAATGATTTAATTAAAGATCTCAATAATATGAGTTCATTCGATACAGATATATTTGGTTGTCATAATGATGATGTTATACGTGGAACAGTTGGATCATTTGATTCATTCGATTTGGATAGTCTACAAATGTTACATGATATTGAAACGAATCATCAATAATGAAAAAAGGAAAAAAGAAAAAAACTTTTCATTCTTGACTTGTTGTTATTGTTAACCGGATATAATATTTCGTTCCAACATCAACAACAACATTTTTATTTTCAAAAACTGGAATTATTTTGGCACAAAACCTATATATATACAACAGTTAGATAGTTGAAAACAAGTCCAAATCTTAAACATTTATATATATATAAAAAAAAACCTCATGTGTTCTTGTATGTTGTGAGTGTGTGTGTGTGTGTGTGTTTGTACCAAAGTTTCATTCTTTACCTGAATTATTTATTATTTCAATTTTTTTTTCTATATCAATTCTTCATCATCATCATCATCTTTTTAAGCAATGAAAATCAAAAACGAAATCCAATTCCAAGTAAGATTTTGAACTCTCTCTTTCTCTAAATGAACATAAATCGAACACAGCAACAGAAACAAAACAACAACAACAACAACCTACCTGATTGGAATTTGATACAAGAAAAAAATTTTTCTTCATTCATTCATGTTTTATTCATTTAAATTTGAAAATTTGATACGATTTCGTTTTTGTTGTTGTTGTTGTTGATGATGATGATGATGATGATGATTTTTTTTCTTTTTCTTTTGCATTCATTAGGAATTGATTCCTATTCTTGTTTCTAGTTTATTGTATTCTCATTTTATCTATCTATCAGCGTATGCATACACACACACACACACACACCAACAAATCATCACAACAGAGATATATATCAATCAATCAATCTATCAATAAATTGTTTCAAATGTTTTATATATTCCTGTTTTTTTTTCACCATTTTTTTAAATTTCGATGAATGATTTTCTCTCTCTGTGTGTGTGTGTGTGTGTTGTTTATTTACAATCATTCATTTCGTCCATTTTCACCAATCAATTTTTTTTACCACATTGTTTTTAATTGTTTTCTATTTCCGATGTTTGTTTGTTTGTTTGCTTGTTCTCACTCACTTTTTTTTGTGTTTCATTGATTATTTATTATTATCGATTATCGATTTTTAATCCAGGAAAAAGGGCGAAGGAATTATATGATACACACACCAACACACACACCGACACCGACACACTTACTATAAATACACCCCCCAAATGTGACCAAATTATAAATCGTGATTGAAAATGACAAAAATTTGACCTGTGTTGATTTTTAATTCATCATCATCATCATTTTTTTTATCACGTGTGTTTTAATTTACATCTATATCACCTTTATACCAACACTACCACCACCACCACCACCATCGTCATCATCATCATCATCATCATCGAGTGATTTTCATTGAAAATAAACAGGAAAATGGTTGTTTCTGGTTGTATCGCACACCATCTCTATACAAACACACTCACTACTACTACTTTTCCAAAATTTTACTTTTTAATCTCAAAAAAAAAAAAATTTTTTTTTTTTTCTACATTTTACACAAAATTTTTCTCTTATTATTTACAAAACAAACCTTTTACCTCGATTATTCGATTTTTAAAAATTTTTCAATGTTCTCTTTTTCTGTTTTTTTTTCCTAAAAATTCTTGTCTTTTTTTTAAATTGATCAATTCTCTCTCTCTCCTCACCACACACACACACACACTGTACTCACCAATTGAATTGTATCATGATCAACAAACAAACAAATCATTCGTCATTGTGTATACCTTGATATTGTAAATACCACAAAAACAACAACAACAAAGATTTTTTGCCAATATATTGGTAATCATCATCATCATCATTACATTTTTCATTACTCGATTTCATTTTTTTTCATCTCAATTCTTATTACATTGATTAATACTTGTTGTTGTTGTTGTTTTTTTTGAATTTTTTTTTTTTTGGTCATTTTTTTCCCATCTCACACTACATACCTCTCTCTCTTTTCTCGCATATTTATGTATTCGATTGAATTCTGGAAATGGCTGAAAAATTATTATTTCAGCCAGCCAAAAAGAAAAAAAAATCTCTGTTTTTTTTTGCCAATAATTCCATTGATGATATCATCATTCATTCATTCATTCATAATCCCTTATTATAATCCTGACCTTTTCGTTCTGCGAATACATTACACATGATACAAACACTTACGTTATCTGCATTATTATTATTATTATTACATAATATGTCATGATGAAATGAATAAATAAAAATGTTATTTCAACAACAAAAAAAAAAAAAAAAAAAAATTACCATTACTCCAGCTTTAAAATTCAAGGCTTAAATCATATATGGGAACCATAAGGGAACAAGCCATTTTCTACATTTTTGTTTTCGGGGTAATTTTTTTTCTGGGGGTATGGTGGTTTGTGTGTGTGTGTGTGTGTGTGTGTGTGTGTGTGGTGTATAGCGAACATACACATTTGTTGAGATGCTATAGATTCGAATCTCCAATAATTCTCTCTTACACACACACACACACATAATCTTCTCTGCTCGAATTTTTCTTCAGGTTCCAACGACCGATAATTTTTATATACGATTATGTGCGTTTGGTGGTTCCAAGAAGATTTTTTGTTTTTGTTCCATTTTTTTCATTTCACTTCACTTCATTTGTTTAGTAGATTTATTCTTGGTTTTTTTTCTCATACCACTCCTTCTAATCTTCTCTTCATAATAATATGATTACCGTGTCTATTTTTTTTTTTTTTTTTTTGTTGATTGTCAATCGATCTTATGTAGATGATTGTCATAAAATCAAATCCAACAACACTTTGAAGAATAGAATTCTAATCCATGGATAACAGAATTCTTTGATTATCCATTCAATCGTTCATAATTGATAACAACAACAATTACATCGATCGATATCAATGTTGATTAATATAAAAACAACAACAACAACAGCGATAATGGAATCATCATCATCATCATTGGTTATTGTGGAACATTCTAATATAATTAATGATACAAATCAAACAGAAGAATTATATATGAGTTCAAAGATTGTTGTCATTATTTATAGTATTCTATTCATTATATCAAGTATCGGTAATACAACCGTTTTTATTTCGTTAATCAAAAATCGTCATCGAAAATTGCGTATAAATCTAATGATTTTAAATCTAACTATTGCCGATCTTATTGTCACTTATATAATGATACCGATGGAAATTTGTTGGCGTATTACAAACGAATGGCTAGCTGGTGATGTTGTTTGTAGAATTATGCAAGCATTCCGTGCATTTGGCCCATATTTATCCAGTATGGTATTAGTATGTATATCATTGGATCGTTATTTTGCCGTCATACATCCAATGAAAGTTAATGATGCACAACGTCGTAGTAAAATTATGTTAACATTTGCATGGTTGACCAGTATTGCTTGTAGTGTACCACAGGTAAGTGAATAATAATCAATTAATTTTATAATTGTTTTTTTTGTTGTTGTTTATTCATTATATTAGACAATTGTATTTCATACTGAATCACATCCACAGTATCCAGATTTTGTACAATGTGTATCATATAATTCATTAACTGAAAGACAAGAAATACTTTATAGTACATTTGGTATTGCTGCATTATATCTAATACCATTGGTCATTATTATTTTCTGTTATGCAAGAATTATATGGGAAATATATAAAAGATCCATACAATCATCGAAAGGTAGGTTTTTTTGCGTGTGTGTGTGTGTGTGATCGAATCTAATAAAAACAGATTTCTAATATAGTATTCATATTTTTTTACCATCATTCTAGATAATCAAAAAAATAATGATGTTACGAAGAAGACGAATAATAATTCGATGCTTATTAATAATAATAATAATAATAATTTAATCACAAATCAAGAATGTCATCAAACAAATTCTATTGGTTCTAATATCGATGGCCATTATGGTTATAAAAAGAATAATAATAATAATAATGATCAAAATATTAATAATAATCATCATGATGATAATAATCATTGTAAAAATCGATTCCATTTACGAAGATCTGATCAAACACAGATAGAAAAATCTCGTATTCGTACATTACGTATGACAATCATTATTGTTATGGCATTCGTTTGGTGTTGGACACCATATGCATCGATTGTATTGTTATATCATTTCTATAAACCACAAGTGGAAAATATGCCAAAAGATTTAAAAGATGCATTATTCATGTTTGCTGTTAGCAATTCCTGTGTTAATCCACTTGTTTATGGATCATATACGATGAATTTTCGTCAACATTGTTGCAATTTTCTAAGAAAATTATCATTCTGGAAACGTAAAACGGTTAATTTACCACAATCAAATCATTCTATTTATTTGGATGATCAAACTAGCTATTCAGGCTTGAATACATCAACACCATTATATCAGAATAATTATAATAATAATAGTATGATGACTGATCATCAATCACTCGATTCTAGTTGTTATTCAGCAAAATTTTGCCCTACAGATGATTGATTGTTTGATTAATTTGAGTGCAACGAAAAAAAAAAACAATTGAATAGATCAAATCAAATCAAATTACTTATTTATTTTTCTCTCTTATGGAAATTATCGAATCGAATTCTTTTAAAGTTTAAAATTCAAACTTTTAAAAAACTATCGATTATTAATAATCGATTTTTTTCGATTTTTTTTTTCAGTGTACCAGTAACAATACCATTCATTTTTTGTTGTTGTTTTTGTTATTTGTATTTTTGTTGAAAATAATGTTTTTGTATAATCGCACATTACAATTATTGAAAAATATTAATCCAAATAAATTACTTCATTGCATTCATTATTTTGATTGTCCAATACGACAAAAATCTCATGCATCAATTATGTCAATGAAAAAAGCATTGATTATTTTAACCGAAGGTGCCGAAGAAATGGAATTGGTTATAACGGCCGATGTTCTTAGACGTGCACAGGTTTGTTTTTCGATTTTTTTTTTGTTAGATAAATTAAACAATTTGAATTGGAATTTAGATTGATACAACTATCGCTGGACTGAACACAACGAATCCGGTAAAATGTAGCCGTAATGTTATGATTGTACCTGATAAAAATCTATCCACAATAAATGTTGATGAATTTGATGCATTCATTTTACCTGGTGGTATGCAAGCAGCAAATACATTTGCCAATGTAATTATTAATCAATTACGATGACAATAATTGAATTTTTTTTCTCGAAAACAACAACAAACAGGATGAAACAATTGGCACTATATTGAAACAATTTGAACAAGCTAAAAAAGTGATTGCAATCATTTGTGCATCACCGATTGCGTTGAAACATCATGGTGTTGGTTTAAATCGTCATATTACATCACATCCATCCGTTGCCGAACAATTGAATGATAAATTCAAATATAGTGATGATCGTGTTGTCAATGATGATGGCCTAATCACAAGTCGTGGACCTGGATCTGCATTCGAATTTGCATTGGAAATTGTCAAACAATTGGCAGGCGAAACAAAAGCACAAGAAATTCAACCACCAATGATGTTGAAAAAATGAAACACAGTTTGGATATAATATTTTCTTTTGTTTGTCATGTTATTTTATTTCATATTCAACACAAGAAGAAATAATTAAAACTGAAAGATTCTATATTCACAAATTCTAAAGTACAAAAAGTAGAATTTTTAGTAATAAATTGGATTGTTTTTTTCATTCTTATTTTATCATCATCATCATCATCATAGATCATTTTGTTGACATGAATGTTTCAAATGTGGGTGTCGTCGTTTGACTGTGTGCTATTTTCTGCTGATTTATTTTATAAATACTTTTCCGAAAAATTCTGCAATTCTGATGTCAATGTGCGAACTTCATTTTTCAATACAGCAATCATCTGTTCCTGATGATTCAATAGCTGTACTTCTTGTTCCAATTTTTGTATCTCTTTTTGCATCTGTTCAACAAATTGATCCACCATTCGATTTAAACGGGCAAATGTTGATGATAATTCTCTGAATGAAAATGAAAAAAAAATGGAAATTTAAAAAAATTAATTAATTTAGTAATTTGACTGATAAACTTACTGCTGTACTTGATGTGAACAATTAGCACTGGTCAAATCGATAATTAGACGTAATTTTTTCGTTGCATGAGCTACATATTGTTTTTTGAATGCATTTTCTTTGGCCCTAGTGGTCCAAGAAAATCTTTCATAAACATACAATAGTACATAGATAGCACTGGTTATGGCAATTACATGCCAACCAATGACACGAATTAGACTACCACCAACGGCCAATACAATTATTGTGGAACGTGAACTAGCCAATTTATCCAATAGATCCAAATGATCGGTAGTTGTACGAATTAATGATTGATTATGGCTTAAACTATTGCTTGGTTTTTGTGATAATGATAAATTGCTTTTATCCATTTCATTTTTTGATCCATTCATACCATTGCTGCTACCACCACCACCACCGCCACCGGTCAATACACGTACTAATTGAAAAAAGCCATAACTAAAACGAAATTCAAGATCTTCTTGAAAATCTGAACATAATGATTCACAATTAATTCGATAGATTAATTTGAAATCTTGTTGTGATGAAACTTGATTCAATAAAAGTTGATCAAAATTCATTTCTGATATGAATCTTTTAACACCATCGATCATTTGCCGTTGTGTGGCTTCAACATTACAAGACAATGCTGATGATAATCGAGATTTAAGATTGGAACCAAGACCTTGTTCAACATGTGTATGAAGTTCTTTTTTATATAAATTCAATGAAATTTCATCCGTATTGAATGGCCGATCAAAATCATTGACTAATGTTGATAGACGTCGTATCTCATCATTCAATGCAGTGGATACTTTTTGTTCCACCTGTTTAACTAGATTACAAATCTGCAATTTAACTTCATTGGTGAATATCTGGAATTGTTGTTTGATTTTTTGAACACGTTCTTTCATTATTTTGATCTGATTACGTTTTTCATTTCGTACATCAATTGTTTTCGTAGATATTTCCATTAAAAATTGATTAAAATCATCGGTCATTTTAATCACTTCCAATGTGTGTTGACCGAATTTTGTTTGTACAGCCGATTTTGATAGACATTGTTCGAATTTTTTCTCAAAATCTATAAATTCACGGAAACGAGATTCAAAACCATGTGCATAATTTGAGATATTGATTTGTTTTCCTTCTTCCAATTCCAATCGGGCACGTAAAACTTCAATAGCCGATACAAAAAACACATGATTCTGGGCATTATTTTCATCCAACACACCCATATCATTTACAAGAAAATCTTTATCACGTTTTAAATGTTGTTTACGTACCAGATCCAAACTATCCAATTCATGAGCCGAAGCATCCCAACGATTATTCAATATGAAAATATTCGGTTTTGATAGTTTTTCTTTTACTTTGATAAAGAAATTCTTTTCCGTTTGCATTAAAGTTGATTCAGCATTTGAAACTAGCACAAAAACATCAGCATCCAAACAATAAAGATCAATCCATTTATCAAGATTGGCCGTTACATCTGTACCAGGTGAATCGACCAATACAACATCATCATGTAATATTGAACATTTTGATTTAGGCCAATAAACTTTAACCAATGTTGAATCGCCTAAACTTTCTGTATTCAATGCATTGGCTAAATGTTTAACTGATTCAATATTATGTCGTTGATCTTCCAATACAATATATGGTTCGGTTTCATCGGTACCTTCCACTTGTAGAAAACAATTAGTAGTATGGCCAATACCAGCTGGCAATATTTTATTCTGTAGTATGGCATTGATAACCGTACTTTTACCATTACTAGTACGGCCAAAAAAGGCAACCTTCATGTTATTACGTGCAAGTACATCACGAATACCAGATATTTTTTCAATAGAATTTTCAATAAAATTTATATTATTCTGCTCAAACATTGATTCGTCATATGAACGATAAAATTGATCAACATTTTTTACAAATTTTTCAGCCTTGATAAATAAATCATTAATATCTTTTTTAGCTGAAACAAAAATCCGTAATGGATTATCATCACCTGTTGAATTGAAATCCAAAGTCATAATGTTATTATTGTTGTTGTTGTTGCTGTATGTGAAAAAGACGAAAGACCATTAGAGACAATAGTCAATGAACGATTTATAATTGAAGCCATGCAATTTTCAAACGAAAATCAATCAAAAATAACAATTTGTTTTCAATAATTTGACCATTTGTTTTTGGCAATTAATTTGTTGAACGAAACAAAACAAAAAAATTCAATTTAACAAATGATATTGTTTCGCAAAAAACACATAGGCAACATGCACATACCATGCAACCAGAGAAAATGTTTTTTTTTCCAATTCATTCGATTTTGGTTTGTTCATCCATCCATCCAATCCATGGCCAATGTGAAATTGAGAATAACATTGCCCGTACATAATCTACGTATGTTTGGGTGAATTTTTTTTTTATTCTAAACGAAAATTCATCCAATTCAAATCAATCAATCAATCAATCAAGATGGCTAAAATGATTGTGAATAATTTACAACAACAAAAAAAATCTTATCCAATTATTCGATTGAATCAAGTGAAGAAAAATCTTAAACTTGAACTTTACATTTGAGCTGTCAATTTTGAAATAAAAAAAAGAATCAAATTCATAGGTTTTGATACGAAGAAAAAAAATTATTTTTATCCGTCTCGTCTTCACCTTTTTTTGATTTAATTTCGTAATCTTTATATCTCAAATATAAAAAATCAAATTAAATCAAAAATTTCAAAAAAAAAAATCAAATTGATATTTACCGGGAATAAAAAAAAAAAATCGATTGTAAGAAAAAAATATCGATTGTTAAAATCGATAACGATATATACGCTTTTATATGTGTGTGTGTGTGTGTGTGTGTGTGTGTAAATAAATAAAATGAAGAAATTTCGAGAAAGAAAAAAAAATCTTATGCAAATTTGGTTGATGTTGTTGTTGATTGGCCAATAGCTGGCTCATCAAATATTTTATTCTGACAAAAAAAAAATTATTATTGATCGTAATTAATTTTTTTTCTTTGATATAATTGCGTCGTCGTTATTTTTTTTTTTTTTTTGTTGAGTAGTCAAATTTTTTTCTTTTCATCTACTCATTCTTTCTTCAATCGAACTAATTTTTTTCCATTAATTTCTTCCACAATTCATCATTGCGTTTGAACGATCTTCTCTGGAATCGAACGAACAACAACAATGACTCGTAAGTTGTTGATTTTGTTTTTCTCAAAAAAAAACTTAATTTTTTTTTCATTTTAATTTAGGTGGAAATCAACGTGAATTAGCAAGACAAAAAAATCAGAAAAAACAACATGAACAACAGAAGAAAAAAACAGCCGATTCAAAAGATGGTAATCGTGGATTAACACTTGAAGAACGTCGCCATCGTGATGCTGAAATGATGCGATTAAAACAAAAGAAAAAAGAAGAAGAATTAGCAGCACGACAACAACAACAACAAAAAGGATAATCAACACCACACTTTTAGCCATTTGAGTCAGTTCAGTCAAAAATTTAAAAAAAAGATCAAATACCCACTATATTATTATTATTATTATTTGTTTTTATCATTTACCAGCAATGAAAAAGAAAAATAACCAACCGAAAAAAGTTTCATTGAAAAACAAAACACCACACTGTATTATTATTAATATGATGAATGAAAAATAAAATTTCATCTGATCCAATGATTTATAAAATTTTGTGATTATTATTATTATTCGTGTTGACAATTCACACCATTTGATTTTCATTTTGTTGTACGACGACAATGATTACAACGATTCATCATCATCATCATCATATTCGATTTACGAATATCACGTTGTGCTTGAAAATATCCAGTATGATAGCCAGTCATATACCATGACATAAGCATCGATGCTAATGTATCCTCTTCATTCATCATAATCGATTGATTATCCGTTGTTGTTGATGTTGATGGATTTAGACCAAAAAATGGTGGCGGTGGTGGTATTATTCTACTTGTACCAGTCATAAATTCATTCGATGCTGGATGATAATCATTGTATTCTTTATCATTTCCATTTTGCTCAAATTGAACACTACCACCACCACTATAATAACCATCATTAATGGCCATCTGTGTTTGTCTGTCACGAAAATAATTTCCAGCTGATGGTTTTAATTCGGATAATTGTCGCCATTCTTCATTTTCATAGCCAATATAACGAATGAAACATAGATCATTTGAATAATTTAAATCAATAATTTGTGCTTCATATTCGTTATTATCTTCGCTATAAATCAAACGACAATAATCACCTTGTTTCCAATTCGATATTTGATTTTGTTTCGAAACAGCATTATTCGATTGGTTATTATTATTATTATTCTGTGGAGCTGCTGCTGCTGCTGCTGTTTTTGGTTGAAATGTTTTTTTATTTTTCGATTTTTTCTTATTATCATTATTATTTACTGATGACGATGTTGTTGTTGTTGGTGGTGGTACTGGTGGTGGTGCTGGTGTAGGTTGTTCATTATTATCATCAACATCAACATTGTTTTTATTTTTATAATTCAAATGTTTTTTACGTAATGCTTCAGCTATTTCACGTTGTGATTGTTCATACATTTGTATTAGAATAGAATCATCCCAAACATCTTGATCATTCAATATGATTTCATCATCTTCATCACCATAATCAATTTCTTCTTCATCTTCCACACTATGATCATCATTATCATCATATTCTTCGCATTCAACTTTTTTGTTATGTTCATTTTCTTTTGAATTGGCCACTATTGAATTCATTTGTTCAGATTGATTATTAATATTATCGTTTCGTTTTAACCATACGATTCCATTCAATTCTTCATAGTTCATATTATGATTAAAAATTCGTTGATTAACAATGGTAGAAAAAAATTAATAATATCGTTTTCAATGTAATAAAATTGAAAAATTCTAAACGAATTTTTTTTTTTTTTTTAATAACCACATGTATGACAACAATTTGATAGACGTAAAAAAAAAATTTTTTTTTTCTTTTGTTCTGACAAATTTGAGTAAAAATAGCCACATGGTCACGTGATTGTTGAAATTTAGCGCTAAACACATGAATAATAAAATGATGAATATAGTTGCATCATTGCTATTACATGGGTGTATATAGTAACGGGATATATTTACTCATTTTTTTTGAATATTCGACTTTTTCCGTTCAATGTGTGATTGAATTTTTTGGATTTTATTAATTCAGGAAAAATGGCAACTGTTTCAATGTAAGTTTTTTATGATGATTTTTTTTTTGAACCACTCATTTTCATGTGATCATTTTTTTTTCTTACGAACAAAGTTTACGAAAAAAGAAATCACCAGTGATTAGATCGCCTGCAAAACCATCACGATCATCATTGACTAATAATAATTCACATAATGGTGGAACCATTAAATCGGATGAAATTCAACTAAGATCAATGAAAAATGAACGAAAAGTACGAAAAACAACACCATCAATCGATTGTGTTGATATTGAATATACATCGTTGCCACCACTTCCCGATATTCCAATTCTTGACGAATCATTTGAAGCATCCATCGATAATGAACAATTTCCCAATGATTGGTTGGATGCCATTCAAAAACGAATACAAAGATTTGATTATAATGAAAAAATTGAAAAACGTAATCAACAACGATTTCGTGATGTAATCATCAAGATTGAAAAGGAAAATGTTTTGCTTAAAAATGAAAATGAAAATCTTAAAGCTGATATTGAAAGTCGAAGAATTCAATTTGCAGAATATGAGAAAAAATTCACTACAATCACTGAAGAGTGTTTAATGTTCGAAGCGGATATGAAACAAATTCGAATGGAAAATTCACGTCTTCTTTATCAATTAAATCAGAAAGAAATTGAATGTCAAAATCTTCAGGATAAACTTAAAAGTGTTCGAGAAAACATTGCAATTGTATTACGTGCTGAACATGAAAAGTTGAAGAATCTTTTATTTGATTCATTGGCCAATAAAAATCAAATGGAACAAAAATATCGCCAACAAGAAGCTAAATTTCAGGTTCTACAGAATTTATTCAATACCGACACATTATATCCGGAAACTATGCATATGGTTATTTCTACACGTCAACGATCCAATAGTGAATCATCAGTGAGTCCAAGTAAACAAGAAAAAACAAGCAAATGTGAATCGATCAATTCGAATGGTGCAACACCGGTTGTAAATCCAAAATATGATCATAAAACGGCTAAAACCAAAGATAAATGGATTGATCATCGACCAATGTCAACATTGCCGATGGGAACCATAATGAAACCGGTTATTAAAAATAAAAAATCCGTTACACAATTAAAAACATCGGATTTTTTAGATCGTCGTTATGGTGCTTCGAAATATGCACTTTACATCATGAAGCCACCAATTCTGGTACTATTGAAACAAAAATATTCAAAGGTAATGTTATACCATCATCAGCCGGTGGTGCACAGATTATTTTCAATGATGTTGAATTATTGAAACAAACAACACCAAAATAGAAATCAATTCCATTACCAGTCCTCAATATTTTTACTTAATAATAATAATAATAATATAAAAAATTCGATATATAATTAATTAATTAATCAAAAATTCAATTATCAATTTTATAAAATTGGATCTATTTTCTTTTTCTGTTTTTTGTTGTTGTTGTTGTTGTTGTTGTTTTTCATTTACATACATGCATTAACAATTGAAATTGAAATAAAAAAAATAATAATTTTCTCTTAACGATTCAATGGTTGTTCATCATAATCATGAATACAATATGTATCAATAAATATGATTGCCAATAATGGAATGAGTAAAATGAATGCAGCCAATTGAAATACAAGACCCGGATAAACATCAATAGTAGATGTGAATATGATTGAATAAAATAATGAAGCTATGCCTGGTGTAACAGCTTCAACAATAGCTAATAAGGCAAATAATTTTCCACGTTCATCATTATCAATAATTTTTGATAATCGTGATCGTATACCAATCACTGATAATGGTGCCAATGTACCAGCAATGAATGACAGATAAAGACCAATTTCATGTTGCCATGAACCACGTAAAATACATTGACTCATCAATGATAAAACACCCAATAATGCTAATCGTAGATCACCAAATTGTAATATATGAACGAATATTGGCAATACTAAACCCATTAAAATCAATGTTCCAATGGCAGTTATGGATGTAATGTTTGAATAAAATTTCGGTGGCCAGCTATATAATTTTTCCACATATGACCATAAAATAAATGTTGTATTCAGATAGACAAGCAATAAGAATGCTGTCGATAAGAAAAGAATCCAAATCTGTTCACGGCCCCAATAAGATCTTCGGCGAATGAATGAACACCATAGTTTATGGACATGTTCTAAATGAAAAATGTTTAAAAATTCATTCCAAAGTTGTCGAGATCGTTGTGAAATTCCATTCAATGATATGATTGATGAGTTAAGCATGTATGATTCATTTATCGATTCGTTTGGTGATAGCATTTCTTCACGATCACTATTGATACAAACACCATTGACTGGAACACCTGGTTCGATATTTAAATCAGAATGATCAATATCTAAAGGCAATGGATTTGATGGACGGATATCGATCGGTTGTGCTGAATCCAACAATGATTGTTGTTCATCGATAACTAAAATAGCCCAAATAATGGCAGCAATATGTGCACAAAGACTAACAACAAATACCGGTATATAATTATAAAGTTGATATTTAGTATTCTGATCACCATCACCAAGAATTTGTCCACCAATAAACGAACCAATTGGTTGTGCTATCCAGAAACAGATTTCAACGATTGCAAATCGAGTTGAACGAGTATATTTATCACTGGTTGCAGAACAATAAGCATAGATGGCCATCAGTGTGGCCACAATTCCACCAGTTAATGCTGACGGTATAAATGATAATAAAACATAATAACCACCTGTGGAATATCAAAATCATCAATGGTTAGAATAATTGGTGAATTTTTTTCAATTTAACATACTCAGATCAAATAATGAAGCATTAATAATTAGAATAACTGATTCAAGAGCAGCGGCAATTGCACCTACAATCATAATATATTTACGGCCATTAACATAATTATCACTCCAAGGTCCCAAAAACAAAGCCCATATAATACATGGAAGTGTAGATAACAGTGTACGATATAATGTAATATATGTAGCATCTTTGATTATATCCGATTTGATTGTTTCACCACCATGATCAAAATCAGCCGAATTGATTGATATACAAAATATTGATGATTGATCATAATCAACACGACATAATTTATCCTGTACCAATTGTGATACAGCCATTGCCGATAATGAATAACCGATCATATAAAGTAAAACAAATGGTTCGACACGTAATTGTCGTATATTGACATAATGACGCCATGATAATTCTTTGGTTTCTTCATCCATTTATATAATGATTATGCGAATATGAATGATGACGATGAATGAGAAAATGATGGCAATCTGTGAAATGGATTTTATAGAATGACAAAAAAAAAACATTTGAGTTTTAAACATTGTAACCAGACAAATTTCAAAAATCTAAAGAAAACTGATGATTATCATACAAGCAAACGATTTTATCATAATGATCATATTATCAATAAAAATAAACAAAACATATATCCACAACTTGACTTTTAAATTAAATCGTAGAGATTATCTCCTGATTTTCAACCAAAAAAAAATTTAAAATTCCACGGAATTAAATGGAAAAATATCGACAACAAGACTTACTGAATAAATTCCATCGAATGTTAAAAATGTTCACACATAATATTTTGAGATGCGAAAATGGTATAGAGAGGTGTATTTTATCGATTCGAGTATTTTGAATATCGATTGAAAAAAATTTGTTTTGTTTGTGTTTACACTGCCATCATGTATTGATTGATTGATAAAATCATCATTTTTTGATGATTATTTTTTGTAGTATATATGATCCAACCAGATCAGCCAAAACATAGAGGGTATATGATGATATGGTTTTTTTTGTGGTTATACACGAAGCGTAATAACTATATTGATTTAATAATTTGCCTTTGTACCGAATAAATTTGTTCCGACAATTCAATGCCGGCATTATTCTAGATAGACACTTGAGAGAGAGAAATGTAAGTGTTAGAATTGATGATTGATAACAGGAATTCCAAAGGATTACCTGATGACAGAACATAATAATGTTTCGTTGGACATCGATACCATGTTAGTGACCAGATATCCACCAATAAATTTTGTGATAACTCGGCATCATTACCATGATCGTTTTCTAAAGAGACGGCACCAATTATATCCTAATGATCATTGATCATCAATGAAAGGAATTTTATGTGCTTCAAAAGACAAAGAGGAAAATTGTTAGCTTTTTCAATCAAAGGCAAAATGTAAATTACCTCATTGACCATGTTTTCATATATTAATCCCGAATTCAATTATCATACATCAATTATAATAATGGACTCTGAAAAGGATTGAAAGGATGTGATTGAATACAATTTGATGAAAAACAAAATGTCATAAATACATTTTGAAAGTCACGTCGAAATGGGATTTGTTCGCCAACTTGAATCATAATGATGATATGGTTTTTTTTGTGGTTATACACGACGCGTAATAACTATATTGATTTAATAATTTGCCTTGACAACAAAAACAATTTTTTATTATTATTATTATTTTGATTGATTGATTCAATCAATGATAATGAAAAAAAAATTCCAATTTCAATCCAATAAATCCAATTGGAGTCGAAATAGGTGAATCTGAATTGAAATTTTTTTCTCTTTCTGACTCACTCTTTTTGTGTGTTGTATTCCATGCTGGAATTATTATTTGTATATACCGGTTATATTTCAATTTGAAATTGATTTTGCTATCATTTTTGTTATTCCATTGAATTTTTAACAATGGCTTCTGGTGATTCAGATATACCTGAAAAGGTTTGTAATTTTTTTTTAATATTTTGCTCAATTGTCATTGATTAATTTAACGATCATCATGATTTAGTTGGATAATTTAAACATTGAAAATAACGGTTCCATTGGCAACGCTTCACAGAATGGTGATGAAAATGGTATGATTATTATTTTTTTTTCATTCTGAATTTATTAATTGAATTTAAAATGTCTTTTATTAAACAATAAAGTATCAGCAGCTGAATTTTCAATGATGCGTAAAGCATTACGTTCAAAATTGATTCATACAACCAATCAGGTTGATGTTTTTCAAAAAGATCCAAATAATCCATTGTATTCAGCAAAATCATTTGAAGCTTTAAATATTCCTGAAGAATTACTTCGTGGTATTTATGATATGGGTTTTAGTAAACCATCACGTATCCAAGAAACAGCCTTACCATTGTTGCTTGACTCACAGTAAGTTTTTTTTTCAATTTAATGCGCATACATCAATTTAATTAATATTGATTTGTTTCGATAAAATTAGTCGTACCAATTTGATTGCACAATCACAATCTGGTACAGGTAAAACGGCAGCTTTTATACTTGCAAGTTTATTTCGTGTCAATATTGAACAACAAGAACCACAAGTGATAATATTATCACCAACTTATGAACTTGCTTTACAAACAGGCGAAGTAGCCAAACAGATGGCTAAATATAAACCTGAAATAACGATACGATATGTTATTCGTGGTGAAACATTGCCAAGAAATACTAAAGTCACTGAACACATTTTGATTGGAACACCGGGCAAAATGATTGATTGGGCATTGAAATATAATTTTTTTAATATCAAAAAAATATCTGTATTCGTATTGGATGAAGCCGACGTTATGATCGATACACAGGGATTACGTGCACAATCGATTCGATTGAAACAATATCTACCAAAAACCTGCCAAATGATGTTGTTTTCAGCTACATATACTGATGAAATTATGGATTTTGCTAGACAAATTATTCCTGACCCAGTAGTGATATTGAAATTACGTATTGAAGAACAAAGCTTGGACAACATTAATCAGTATTATATTGTTGTCCGAAATGAACAGGAAAAATATGAAGCATTAACCAATATATTTGGTACGGTTGCCATTGGACAGGCATTCATTTTTTGTGAAACAAAAATTTCGGCATCAAATTTAGTGCAACAACTTCGAAAGGTATGGCAATTTTTTTTTTTTTGCTAAGAATGTGCATTTTTTTCATTTATTATTATTCATTTTGCATCGAATTATGATAGGATGGCCATTCTGTTGGTTTAATATCCGGTGATCTTACTGTTGAACAACGAAACGAAGCTTTACGACGATTCCGTGATGGATTAGAACGTGTAATTGTAGCCACAAACGTAATGGCACGTGGTATCGATGTAGAACAGGTTACGATCGTTATTAATTATGATCTACCAACAAATCCTGAGACCAGAAATATTGATTTTGAAACATATCTACATCGTATTGGTCGTACAGGACGTTTCGGTAAAGAAGGATTGGCCATAAATTTTGTCGATGGTGATCGTACAATGCGTATGATACAACAATTGGAAGAACATTTTAAAAAACCGATAAAAAAATTGGATGCTACCGATGTTGATGAAATTGAAAAAATTGGCAATGATATGTAAAACATTGGTAATGGATATGGATATATTGTGTATTAATTATACAAAATTGAAATCACAACAAACAATTTTAATTAATGATAATTTTTTTTTCAAGTTCAAAAACAACATTTTCAAACATATAAACAACAACAACAACAACATTTACAACATTCGAAAAATAAATTATTCATCTCGGAACAACTTTTTTATATGTTAATCACCATCATCATCATTATTTTTTTTTCTACTCTAAATTTGTCTTGATAAATAAATCAGTTATTAATGAATTGAAAAGTGAGGAGGGCCAAGTGTCTTTGGAATCTCGAAATTCTTTCTTTTTTTTTTTTTCAACTAATATAAAAAGATTACCCGGTTTTTTTTTCGTTTCTCCATTCTATTTATCGCTACTTGTTGAATGCCAAAAAAAACGTTTCGAATCGATTCGAATCGAATCGAATGATTGATTGATTGAATGATTTATATGGTATACTGATGTGAATATTGGCAAAGCAAAGCAAAGAAGAAAAAAATTCGACAAATCAATGATGATATACAAATGTATTGCAGTGTTTCGAAGTGTATCAAAGTGCCATACAATTTATTATTTGGAAATTGATTCATATTTTCATCATGCCTGATGATGATTGGTGTCTGATTACAATATTTTTCTTTTTCTTCTATTGCCACCATAGGAACCATCCATACAAATATATACACAGTCACTTTCATATATATATGAAAACTTGTGAAAATTTGTACAAAAAAAAGTTCATTTTTTTCCATAATTTTTCAGCAGTCCAAAATTCAATAATGTTTTGTAATAATGAATCGAATCGAATCGAATCAAATCGAATGTTTGACCTTATGGACCCTTAGTAAATGTGGTAGTACGAAAATTTCAAATGTTTCTGTTTATTCATTGGCCTTGCGAAAAGTAAAAAAAAAAAAATTTTTTTTTTTGTTCATTTAAATTTTTATCCTTTGGCCCTATCAATTCATTTTGATGATCGATTGATTGATTGATTGATTCACATGATGATGATGATGTATTGACGTAAAACGTTATATTCGTTACAATAACAATTGTTGTTGTTATTTTTGTGCGCTAAACAATTATCATTTATCGCCATCATTCAATCAACTTTGTTGTAGTCAATTATCATCATCATCATCATCATCATCAGTGTTGATATGAATGATTCCATTACTTCTTTTATTTTATAACAATTTATGAATATAAAATCATTTTATGTTCACAACATCAACATTGATGATCATCATGTTGATGTTGGTATCGATTATTGTACAATATCGAATTCCCAATTGATTATTTGATGATGAATGAATGTTTGAAAATGATTAAAAATCAAAATCACACATAAACATCATATATATGGGGGATATTTCTCTACATGATGATCATGATGATGATTTTTGATCGACACAATTTTTTTTTCTTGTGTTCGTGTGTGTGCGTGTATGTGTGTGGGTATAAATATAAAACCCATTCGTTAAAATTCGGCTGATTTTCAATCATTCGATCTGTTTTTTATTTTTTAAATTCCTCAACAATAATTTGTTTTGCAAATATATTCAATTAAATCAATGTCAAACGAATAACATCGCACTAACACTACTCTGTTTGGTCAATCAATCAACGAAATATTGGAACGTTCGAAAATTATTATCACATCATCATCATTGCCGTGATTAAATCCAACCGGTTACAAAATTCAATTTCCACTCTGATGCATCTATATTGGTATCATAGTCTTATATAAAAAACAAACGAAAACAAAAACAACGAAAAAAAAATCCATACGGATGTATCTAAAATTTTTGTTCGCACTGTTGACCATCTTGTTGTACAATGTACAGCCAATAAGTAATGATGAAAGTTTGGTTACAGCCATTCAAATTCTACAACAACGTGATGGATCAATCATACCAACATTGGATCGTTGTCGTATCGATAATTTTGATCGTAATATGGGTATGTAATGGAAAAATTTTTTTTCTTTTTTTTTTAAATTTCAATTTCAATTTCAATTTTTCTTTCTCATATAGATTGGCTTATGAGCTATTATAATAATTTTCAACGATCAAAAAATGATTTATATCAAATACATCGTTTACCACCGTGTTCAAAATTAACACAATTCACCATTTCTACTCGTATACAGCGACGATATCAACGTTATATTAATCAAATGAATAAATTTCTAAGAAATTGGTCAACAGCCAATATTGATTTAATACAAGCCATAACTAAAGTGATCATTCTAGTGATACTAAAAATATTCATCAAGTATTATATACAATCATATATACATTTTTATATTCAAAATGAATCTATAAATGAATTGATCGATTTATTATCAAAAGCAATGACTATTGCTATAGCTAAAATTGCCATCAAACATTCATTTTATCCGGCATTAAGAACGGCAATGAAAACATTGTTGATTGCCGGCCTGAAAACATTGATAAAACCGTGGATGAAAAAAATCAAAAATAAAAATGAAAAAATTGAAACATCAGTATTATTGAATAAAATCATTCGATTTGCATTGACTATACAGATAAAAACGATAATCAAAACTATCGCTTTACATTTATTGTGGTTAGTGTTTGAAAAAAATGATAACCAATTTAATCGTTTACCGGGTCTAATGTTTCGTGTCGCAGTCATCATAATGGTAAAAATGGCCGCAAAACGTACATGTAAAATGGCAAAGAAAAAGAAAAATAAAACAGATAATATGGATGGACAAACACTACCACCACCACCACCTGTTGATCAGGTTCTATTATTTGCCATACAGAAATTGGTGACAAAATTGATCAAGATACCGTTGATTAAAATAATGTTTGATTAAATATTTGGTGAAAAAAATTATTTATATATTAATAAAGGCCTATGTGTGTGTGTGTGTGTGTGTGTGATTTGAATGATGTACGGCCTGCGTTATTATTAATTGGTTGGTTATTGTTTTGGCCAATTAAAAAGCAAGCCCACCGTCGTCTTACAATGTGTGTTTACTACCTCATCAATCGAAGTTTTACGATTCATATTGCTGCTCCGATAAATGGGATCTTCGACACACACACAAAAAAAATGTTGGATTCGAATTCATTGTTTCAACCATTTGGGATGGCTCGGCTCTATTGTTTGGCATTTTATTCTATGCTCTGCTCTCACACACACACACACACACACAGAAATTTTAAACGACGTGGATTGAAATTTGAAAATTGAATGCAGTGGATGTACTTGCTTAAATGATGGTGTATAGCTTGCTGTTTCTCATCGGATTTTTTGTTTTGAACCATCTTTTTTTTATATCTCAAAATAGTTTATTTTCAATAAATTTGAAATGAACAAAAAAACTACTGATCATCATCATTATTGAATTTATAATTTTTCATTTGAAAACTTTTTTGCAATAAAATAAAATTATTATGGCTCGAAATTACCGTTATTTGATTCTAATTCTAATAAAGTGCTGCCATCTGTTAACAGAGAAAAATGATAAACACGAAAATTTTTTTTTATTTTTATTTTTTATTGTTCGATTTATTTGATAACTAAAAAATCAAATATAAAGTCGATGAAAATTTTCTTTTTAAATAATCTGAAATTAATTCTGATTCTACAATTCAAATAAAAACTTCATCTTGGAAACCCCCATTTTAATCTTCTTCAATCCATTTATCTATTTCACAAAGATCAAAACAAAATTCTTCATCATATAATGATTGACGATAATTGGCCAATAAACAGATAAATGATTCATAATCTTTTGGTTCTTTTGAATAGGTGGCCACTTTTTCCAAACACAATCGTACATTCGGTTCATCAAGATCTTTTATATGAAATTTATTTGTAATACGTTTGCCATTCTCTTCTTCATAGAATATTGTCAGATTTTTTTGTTCAATCCATGAATAGAATCCAGCTATAGCACCTTTACGATTACGTATAACATATGATTTTAATGAAAAAATACAAGCACGTTTTTCTGTAACACTTGCATATTTGATGAATTCTTTTTTAATATAAATAATGTTCACATATTGTTTCATCACTTCAGTTGGATCATCGATTTTTGTTTCACGTACTTTCCATGCAATATATTGATCATTTATAATCTGATAACAATAATCTTTACAAACTTTTTGATTTTTCGATGCATTAAACCAACCAGTATGTGGAAATAAACAATCATTCATGACAATTATTGGCCTCGAAATATGATAACCAGGATCCAATAAAACATAACCAAAACGGTTATTATCGATAATATGAAATTTTAAACATACCAATACATGTTCTTTAACATTATCTTTAGCATCAAGTTGATATTTTGTCTGTAATGATTTACCTTCACCATTTTCGGCAGCAGTCATAATCATAATCATTTCTTCACATGATACTAATGAAAAATTTGATCCATATAAATTGTCTTTTGTAGATAGACATTGCATCAACATTAATGATTGTGCTACACAAGACATACTTTCGGTTGTTATTTTTGCCTGATAATTCAATATAAAATCCGTTAGATTGGAATTTGATTTCTGATATGAATGATAAAAATCAACATATGATCCAAATGTATTGTAATCATAACATTCCAATACTTGTTGTAGAATATCTTCCCATTGTATTAATGCATTTTCAAATTGTTCAATTGTTTTAAATTCAACTTGTTTCAATTCTTCTGACCAATGAGGGATGTCTAATAATTGTTCCAAAGTGATATCATCAAGAATAAACGGTAAATCCAAAGATTTATTGTTGTCCGTAGGAGTTTGGCCATCACCATCATCATCATGATGATCATCATTCAGTTTCGCATTATTGGAACAAATGGAACCGGTTAGCAATGATAAATCGGTCAAATTGGTAGAGAAGCCATTTCCATTCTTATGCACAATGGATTCATTATGTACCAATGCCAAATCTAATGATTGTTGTTGTTGTTGTTGTTGTTGACACAATCACATCATCACCATCATCATTAGTGGCATTTGTATCCAATATATTCGATTTATTAAGTCAACTAGGCCATTCTGCATTGAACAATTGATGTCGTTGAAATGTTGATGATGATAAATGATTATTATTGATAATAAAAGAATTACAATCCATTGGATTGTTTATACCGTTCAAAAAAGTTGATTTCTTTTTCCTACTATTGGATTCTGTTTCAATTATTCTGTCAATCGAATCTAATGTTTTTAAGAGAAAAAGCCAAATAACAAAAATTAATTAATTAAGAAAATTCACATTTTTTTCATTTTGTCAAAACTTACTCATCCGATTAAAGGCACTGGTAAGACGAATTTCAATATATATATATATATATAATTGATGGAGAAAATGGATGGAAAACACAGAGAAAAAGAATGATAAACGACGTTAATATAGTGCAGTCAGTTTCTTATTCAATATGCAATAACGGTTTTTTTTTCTTGGTTTACGGTAAATTTTTCTTTATAGATAATGGTATATAATATGCTGATGATGATTGTAGTATAGCTGCGTAGATCATGGATTTATATACACAACAATCACAATGTTGTCATCATTGAGAACAAAAAAAAACTACGTTTTTGATTTTTCTCTTTTCTTTTTACACAGATATATATGATGATGATTTTTTTTTTGCTTCGTCGCCGTCGTCGTCGTTTACAGTTAATCGTTGATCGTTTTTTGTATGTTGTTGTTGTTTCTGTTGTCTCTATGAGTGGTATAAAATGTATAAGCATTATATATAGACACATTCTTGATGGTGGTGGTGGTGGTGATGGTGATGGTGGTTGTTCCGTGTGGCCGCGGTCAATCCGATTTGATCCGGCCGTATCAAGCCCCATCGCGATTTATGTGTATGGTGTGAATGATCTATGTGTTTTTATCAGTGCACACTGTAGTTTATGAATTTGATCCATATGATGATGACGTTCATGGCAATAATCTTCATCATCGAGATAAAAACCAAAAAAAAAATTCAAATACAATTCTGTAATGATAAAGCATCAAAATTCAAAAAAAAAAAACGCTACGAAAAGCAAAATCATGACATGATGATTCGTATGTTTGCGTACGAAAATAAATTCTGATTGGAATTTTAATTTTTTAAAGCCGATATACTTGATTATACACACAGACATACACAAACACACACATTGATTGGAATGTTGATAATTTTTTTTTTTAGGCACGGAGAAGAAAAACATCTATGATGATGATATGGTGAACTGAAAACTGTTTATACATGCCAATAATATGATGATGATGGCGAAATCTTATCAAATGAAAAATTTCGAATGAATTGCAATTGTGATTGATATTGATCGTTAAATATTTTTTTTTCTGTTTCGCTTTCTTTCTTTCCACTAGGAAAGATTATGATGGAAGAGCAAAAAAAAAAATCTTGATTCATATCATCAATTTGATTTATGCAATATGTCATCATTTATTCATCATAATCCAGTTCTGTCTAGTTTTTTTTCACAAGAAAATGTTAAATTTTTTTTTTCATTGGAATTTATTTTATTTACCTCAAGGTTAAATTCAGAACAAGACATGAGGATTCAGTATCGATTTCGGATCAAACATTCGTTTCATTTGCTGCATTAATTTGATGGCTTCATCATTTTTAGAATAATGAAGAAATTTTCGTTTTTTCACACCGATACCATGTTCAGCACTGATACTACCATTATATTTAGCTACATATTCATATAGGAATGGTTCGATTAGATTTAAAATCTGTTGATCAAATTGTCGTGATGTGACATTGAAATGCATATTTCCATCACCCATATGTCCATAGCCACAGATTCGTACAAAATTAGATGTTGATGATGATAAACGTTTTCGCATTACATTTACCACTTCATAATAAACATTCATTGGTAATGATATATCATATTTATAGCTATAACCATCAATTCGTAAACCTTCGGTAATTGTTTCACGATAGGATTTTAATTTACGAAATTTTTCACCATCCGAATCATTAGCATATGTTCCATCTAATATTATAGATTTTTTAACAAGTTTTTCATAATGTTTTGCAAAACGTTGATCCAATGATGATTCATCATTGGATGATAATTCAAATAATGAATAAAATGGATACGATTTGGATGATAATGGAAATGATACATTTAGATTATCAACAACAGCTTTCATTGAACTTTCATCAATCATTTCAAAACAGGATAGATTTTCACTAAAATCTTCTTGTATCATTTGAAATAATTCGATTAATTTGTTGAAATTTTCCAATGAAAATAGAAAAACTTTTTTACATTTAAAATCTTTTGGACATAATATTGATACTTTGGTTATAATGCCAAGTGTACCTTCGGAACCGATAAACAAATGACGTAAATGATATCCAGTATTATCTTTACGCATGCTACTCATCAGATCAAGTATTTCACCATTGGCCATTACAATTTCTAATCCAAGTACATTCGAATGTAGTGGACCAAATTTAATGAAACGTAAACCACCGGCATTCGTGGCCAGATTACCACCAATCATACATGAACCTTTTGCACCCAAATCATATGGTATTAGTCGTTGTTTTTGTTGTACAAATTCTTCTAGATTCTGTAGTATACAACCACTTTCGCAATGAAGAACGCCAGTAATTTCATCAAATGAAATAATTTGATTCATTTTTTTCATCGAAATAATGATTTCATTTTGCCACGGTGTTGCACCACAAACAAGCGATGTATTGCCTGATTGTACAACACATTTTAAATCATTTTGATTACAATAACGAAGTATATTCGATACATCTGTTGTTTGTCGTGGCAACAACACAACATCGGATCGTCCACAATGACTTTTCAACCAATCCTGATTGAATGGATCCAAATCAGTGGTCAGAACATTCTGTTTGCCTATTAATGATTGAAAATCGGCAATATATGATGATGATGAAAGTTTTCGGGTAAACAAAAAACGGACAGCATTCGTTAGCAGCAGATATGGTCGTGAATTAATTCTGAACATTATGATATATATCACATGAGTTGTTTTTGTTTGGAAATTTTTAAATTTGTTTGAATTATAATCAGGATCCTGCGTGATCATAACAACAACAACAACACAAGGATCACATGATCAGAAAAATTTTTTTTATTCGATTGTCATTGTTAAATATCGATAGTAATTGAATGTCATCATTCACATCAACAACAGCCAGCAGCGGCAAATTCAATAAATTCAAATTGATCAAAACTATTGATGATTGGAAATGATTTAAGATCATCATCACTATAATGGCGATTACCTGGACGTTGTACAATAAAAACAGTCATACCGGTACGTCTTGCAGCACGACCTTTATTAGGGCTATCAGTCATATAGAAAAGATTTTTAGCTTCACGTTCAGTTAATGATGACAATACACCACGATATTTATTTGTATCATATTTAAAACGATGATGTGCATCAAAACCGCTTGTAATCCATTCGGAAACATTACCTTCGGTAGATGCACTTAAAAACAATTTCTGTGTTTCCAATGGACCGGATGCAAATGTATAGATTTTAATAAAGAATGGATCTGAATGCCATTTTTTTAAATTATTAACAACATCAGGAAAAACCATTGGCCGTAAACTTTTGTTTGTATATCTATTACATTATTATTTGTTTACATCATCATCATGTGTGTGTGTGTGTGTGTTTGGTATTTACAAAATAATAGTTTAAAGTTTAGTAAAAAAAAAAAATGAACACATTGAACATGAATCATTTACTTGCCCTTCATTCCAAATTTGATTGAATATTGTATCCAAATTGATCATCAAACTTTTATCACGACTTTTTCGGCGATAATTTAAATTATTAACAATTGATTTGATCAAATCTTCATCGCAATTACCATTATCATCAACATTATTAATTTTATTATTCGATATGATCATTGGCATTTCGGAATACTTATGTAAATCTTCTTCAGTACGTTGTATCAATTGTTCAACATAGTATTTTACGGATTCAGTATGAAAATTTTTACGAAAATAACATTCTAGATTATCATCAATATATTTATAAAGTGTACGGCGAAAATCATACGATACAAGTACACCCCAAATGTCGGTTAATATTTTGAATGGTTGACGAACAATTAATCGATTATTTTCATATTTAATCGGTATAGGTCGATTTTTTTGATCATCATTTGATAACATTTTAGCAATATGGATTAATTTTCGATTTTGTATCGATGATGATTGTTGTCCTGTTTTAACATCATCATCATCATCATCAGCTGTTGATTGATCTTCTACACGAAATTTGATCGTTTTACATTCCAACATTTCCCATTTTTCGGGTGATTCGCTGAATAAAAACCGGCTTTTTTCATTAATTTTTTCGTTGTTCATTATCTCTAGATAAAAGAAATCGAAATCGAATTACAAATCAAGCTAGAATGTTATGAATCGCTTATTATTACATACCCAAGAAAAAAAATTCATTCAACTTAATTCAATTAAAATTTAAATTATTTCAATGAAAATGGTGCATATAATCGTAAAAGCTGTCGATTGATTAACGTATATTCTTGATCATTTAATGGCCGTACATCGGAATCCACTTTTATCACATCATATGTGGGACGATTTCCATTTGAATTCGATGTTAATTGATGAAATGTTGGCTGATTAGGAAATTCTAAATTGACCGGATTTGAATTGAATTGTATTTCCATTCGTTGAGAATCATCTGATTGTTGTTGTTGTTGTTTTGTTGCTGCTGCTGTTGTTGTTGTTGTTGATGGTAATGGTAATATTGTCGAGCCATTTCTTCTAAAAATGGTGAACCACGATGATGAGCAAATTGTGAACCATAATAATTGTAGCTAGAATCATAACAGAATCGTTCACGTAATTTTAAAAATGGTATAGGCATCTGTGGTGGTGTAGCCATACATTGATTTGATTGTAAATATTCTTCAAATTCACTCAACGATTTTTTATCAGTATTGGCATCTAATAATTCGGATGATTTATTATTATTATTATTCGATTTCATAATAACATAATCATGATCATGTTCAATATTTAATCTTGGACTTTTTGATCGATCTATAATTGTTGATGATTTTTGACAAACATCTGGTACAATTTGTAAATCATCATTATCACATTTTTTTTGATTAATCAATGCTTTGAATTCTTTGTGCATATTTTCCTTCAATCTTGAATCAATAATTTGTCGTAATCGATCATATAGTTCATTAATATTGATTCGTTTATATGAATCAATTTCAATCAATGAACGCATAATTTTCATTGTTTCCGATGTAAACACATTTATCGATGGTAAATCATAATGACCGGTGTTGATTTTTTTGAATAATTCATTAAATGTTTCAGCATAAAATGGAAATTTACCCAATAACATTGAATAAAAAATTACGCCCAATGTCCAACAATCGGATGGTTTCGGTGCATATGGCCGCCGTTTAAGTACATCTGGACTAATGTATGCCGATGAACCACGATGATCATTTATACAGGTTGTATCATTTATTACATAACGTGCAAGACCAAAATTTATGATTAAAATTTTTCCATTACGATGATTGTACAGAATGTTTTCTAGCCGTAAATCACGATGTGCAACATTTTTTTCATGTAATCCTTTTATCACTTTAACAACTTCGAATAAAATTCTTAATGCTTTCATTTCATTAACACTTTTATAACGTTTTACATATTCTTGTAGATTTTCATATTCACATCGAAAACGTGTATATCGATTTGATAGATATGGAATCATTGGTGTGATTAATGAAAATGTATGCAATACATGACAATCGAATGCTAGAATTAATCGTCGAAAAAATTTTCCAATCTTATTCAGATATTTACAATCTAGATAATGATGATGATCATTCTTTGGACATTCAGAATTATCGTTATTATCATCATCATCGTCATCACCAGGATTAGATATTTTCTTGAATGGAATCGATGTCGTTTGTACAATTTTGGTACATTGTTCACAAATATCCAAGTCATCGCCGTCATTTTTATCTTTGTTTTCTTCAAAATAAACATCTGAATATAATCCACGTATCTGTATGACACCAGGCTGATTTTTGAGCATCGATAAAACCGAATATTCATTGAATATCATCATTTTAGCTTGACGTTGACTTTGATTTTCATCACGACGATTTTTAGGCAATACAACAATTTTTAGTAAATAAAATTTATTCGGATTTGTATCATACATTTTTCGTGCAATATAATTATCAATACCGGATAGTTGATGTACATCGGTCAATTGACAGCCAATAACAAATGGACCGGCACGAATAAATGATCGATATGGATTACAATCACATTTTCGTATTGAACGATTATTATTAGTTTCGAAATTTGGACATATTGTATGAATCATTTTTGAGATTTTATCCAAATCATCATCATCATCACCATCATCGCCAACACCGGAAAAACCATCGGTTCCAAAAGAAGATTGATAATTACGTTTCATTCTTTAACAACAACAAACAACAACAACATTCCCGAAAAATGGACTGAAATAAGAATGATGCAACTAAGAAATTTTTCAACTCATCAGCTCAAGATGGCGCTTAATTCGAATTTTGAAAAAAAATTACCGCTTTTATTGAATTTTTCAAACAAAAAAAAAATTTAAATCAATCAAAAAAAAAATATTCAAATTTTATAAATATTTATTGATTGGTTCACCAATCAATTGTTCAATATCGGTGATCAATTGTTTTAATTGTAATTCAATTTGATCAGAATCATCTTCACTTAAATCGGCAATAAATGGCATTGCTTCTGGTATGAATGGTAAATAATCTTCATTACATGTCAATACTAAACGATGTAATAATTTAATTGCACTGATTTTAACCTATAATAATAACGAGAAAGAAAAAAACATTAAGTAAAAAAAAACAAACAAACAAACAATGAAATACCAACCTTTACATTTGAATCTTGTGATTTCAATAGAATTTGATAATTAAAATCTTTGATTAAAGTTTCATCTCTATTATTCTGTATAAGATATTGTGTACATTGAAGAATTATATCCAAACGTTTTAGATAATCATCTTCATTTCCATATAGATTCGATATTTGATTGACGATTGGTTTGAAAATCAATGCAATACAATCTTTGTTAACAAATGTACCATTAAGATCATATAGAAAACATTTGGATAATGTCGATAAGATGGCCTGTACTAATGGTTCACCGATTTTTGGATCATCAATTTTTAGCCGTGGTTCTTGATTTGTTGTCATTGTTGTTGTTGTTGTTGTTGATCCAATTACTGCATCAGAATCATTTGTTTCGGGTGAATGATAACCAATCAGTATTTGATTACAATTTTGAATGATATTTGGTGCAACAAATATACAGAAAAGACTTTTCAAACGATCGGCAAGAAATGAACAAAAACGATAGAATGAAATGATTCGTTGATAACAAGAATCGGGTAATGTAAAATGGTGACCATCTGCACTAGGTATTTGTAATGAATCCGTTTTGATTGACCAATCCAATAGTGAATAATAAATTGGACGAAAATTGGATTCAGTCAATTTTGGAATAAAAGCTGCAAATGCTTCACAAAATGATGTTTCAATTTGTTCAATCATTGTTATATTAACTTTGTCATAGTTTTCCGAACGAAAACTTAATGTTTTCAACATAAAATTCTTCAAATTTTTCAATATAATTTCCATATCAGATTTTTCGATAAAATCACATGAATATTTAAATAAATTCATTAGATGAATGATTGATTCAGGTGATTGAGTGATGGCCGAATCATATGATGTATCGATTGCTTCGAATACAATACGTTTTGGCACTAATTTAGCAATGTTTGACCATAATCTTTTCAATTTTGGATGAAGATCATTATTACTACTACTACTACTATCACATGATGATGTAAACAATGGCAATACATGAATGATAATCGATTTTAGATGTGGACTAAGGAAACGGCCAAAATTCGAAATAATCTTATACAATGATGAAACATTCGAAATGATAACAATATCATCTTTTGAATGGAAATTCTTCAAAATTAATTCAATTACATCCGATAAATGAACGATTGCTTCAGTCGATAATGTGGACAAGATTTGTGCCAAGCAAAGAATCGAACTTGTACGAAGATTTTGCATCGATTTTGAAATCTGGCCAGTTGTTGATTCGGATTGTTGTTGTTCGATTTGATTAATCGATTTAGTCATCTGTATGATTTCAACTAAAACTTGTGTCAATATTTCATTGATATCCATAGATAAATCAGTGGATAAATTATCATTATCAATAAATTTGGTCAATAATTTCATTGATAATAAAATCAATTGAATATTGTGTATTTGATTATCATCCAATTGGTGAAGATTTTCATGAAAAATTTTCAAATGATCATATAAATTTTCCATAATTTTCATCGTTGTTTGTAGATCAATATCATTGATGGCAAGTTTTTCCAATTTTTCATTCAATAATTCTAATGCTTTACGTTTGATTAATATCGATACAAATGTTTCCATTTGTGCTGTATTGTTCAATAGATCATACAATACAATATCCAATAATTTTGCATTCGGAACCAATGCATTATATTGTAAAAATATTTCATCCAATGCTAATTTAAAACGTTTACGATATATTTGCAATGATGAACGTAATCCATCACTATTTTGGCTAATCAAAACAATCAATTCAAATGTTATGTTAATGAAATAGATCAATGGTGTTGATGCAACCAATTGATAATCAAGTTGACCAACACCGGAAACAAATTCAGCCGATGAAATTAGATTACAAACAAATTTCAATATTGCCAATCCACAAGAAAATTTTTCATCATCATAAATAATTGTTGATTCAAATTCTTTACAAATCGATTTAATTAATGCTATAAATGATGTAAATTGTTCCGGATTTTGTCGTTGCTGTCGAATGATTGCCGTATAAAATAGTGTTGTATTTTTTGATTGCATTTTTTTCTGTAGTGAACTTCGAAAATGGTTATGCAAGAATTTTCTTTCAAACAAACATAACAATATACAAGCCGATCTTAGTTGAATATCATAATCAAATTGTTGAAAAAGTGTCTGTAAAAATGTGAAACCAGTTTCTTTTTCTGTTGTTGATGATTTCATTGAAGAGATTTTTTCCATCAGATAAACAGTGATGATAGGCAAATGATGATCAGGACCAAGCAAAGTGATCAATTTAGTAAATAATCGAAGACGACGATATGCAGGAATATCGGCAAATGATTTGATAAACACAGATGATATGAATTGTTTCATATTTTTTGATCGTGATGGTTTTTCCTCATTACCGACCACCACCAAGTTATTATCATCATTTTCACTAATAATAATCGGTATGATTGATTCCATTGTTTCAAACAATATGGACAATGAATATTGATCATCACATTCCAATATATTTGAACCGATAAATGTGAAAATAGTGACCAAATATTCAATGATTTGTTTACGAAAATATGGTGCAACCATACTGATCAATAGCAATGAAATACGTTGCGTTTCTTTCACTCTTGATTCGGTAATACAATCAATGATAGTATCAACATTGATAAAATTCATGAATTCAGCCAAACTTGTTGCCATTGTTTCATCACCATCACCATCGACACTCATTCGTTGTTGATCATTTTTCAATGTTTCCATTTTCTTTTCGGTAAATTTCATTTCAATAAAATTCGTTATTGCATACAATAATGATTGACGAGTTAATTCACTAAAATTATCATCAATTTCCATGAATGTTAATTTAAGATATTCAAACATTGTTCGTATTAATTCACCATCAATTTGTTGAAAATTCTGTATATTTGCCAATGATGAAATATAGATTCTGAATAATTTCCATTTTGTTTGCGATTGTTTACGAACAGAATCATCGATTCTCATACGTTTTGATTGTCCAGTGGTTATAATTGTTTCGTAAACATCATCAATTGGTAACAAAAATTCATCATTTGAATGGCAAAATTTTCATCAAATGTAAGTGTTCGTAAACGTTGTTCAATTGTGGTGATCAATTGGCCATAATTAATCATTGATGATGGTGATTTTTCCGACAATGATAGTTGAGTTTTCAATAATGTTTGTACAAATTTCAATGCAAATTCCATATTTTCTTCAAGAATCATTTGAAATCGTTCCGGTGTGATCAATCGATATATTTGTGTGGAAATATCTTCCGTCAATATTGAACCAGAACATTCGATACTTTTGAGTAAAAATTTTAATGCTGAATTTTCTTGATTTTCATTAAACAATTCTTTTGATGTATCGAAAATTTTATAATCATAGTAATGTACAATTTCTTTCAATTGTAATTCTTCATCCAAATCGATGAATTTATTGGCCGAAGAAAGGAAATCTGTATAGTATTCAAAAACAATTGATTTGATTTTCAGATTACAATATCGTAATAATTTCAATAATGCCACTTTATGAAAAGCTTTGATCTTGGAACCATTAGCGGTCAATATGAAAATGATTGTCTGCAATAATTCATTTACAATGGGATGATCTTGTAAACGGCCCAATAATATTGTAATGGCATTTTCATCGGTCAATATTAACGATTGTTGTTCATCAATGATAATCTGAATGAATGATTTTAATCCATTTGTTAATTTTTCATTCATAACAATTTGTTTGATATTCGAAATGGCCATTTGTCGTGTTGATGTTTTCGATGATGTTAGCGCCAATAGATAGGCGACAAGATATTGTGAATTTGTACACAGACTATCGATTAGAATTGATGATGTTGATGTGGATGAATGTTTGAATAAATTAACCAATACAATCAATGTTTGTTGTTGTATTGAACTATCATGATTAACAATGGATGGTAGAAAAAATTTCAATCCAGCATGATGATTTTGTATTTTTTCCATAATAAATGTTGAAAATAAATGGCGAAAAAATTTATAAATTTTCTTCGAAATTGGTTTCATTTCATTCGGTGTTGAATAATACATCAGAAGGCAATAAATTTTGTAATAAAAATCATAGTTAATCATATTGTTACCTACATCGGTTAGATACCAATCAGCAGTCGATGGTAGATCATCATTCATTGAACTTTTTTGATTCATTAGACAATATAAAATATATCCAGATATCAATAATGAAATTGATTTATCATTAAAATTATAAAGTTCGTATAGAAAATAATCATCCATATTCATTTTAGCATATTCATTCACTGATGAAATTTTCACCTCTGAACGTGAACTAATATTGATACCAATATTCAATAGATGAAAAAATAAATCAACAGTAAATTGACAAACAATTTGGCCTTGTTGTTCACCACAATCAATTGGATGATTTTGAAGCATTTTGATCATTGAATAAATTAATAGAAATTTAAATCGTAAATTTGAATTCGATGATAATGATTGTAATATATTTGGTTTTGGAAATAATCGTCGTTGGTTTTGATTCAGAAACAATGCAATACCATTCAATATGTTTAGTGAAAATAATTTCAATTGTTCAAGTTGTTTTTCATCTTCAAGCATTTTAAAATCATCGAATGTAATGAAATTCTGATTTTGTTCCCGGATAATTTGAAACAATGGATTCGTTTTAGCATATTCAGAGTCTAAAATCAACGTGGACAATTGATAATCGGTTGAAAGAAAACATAAAATCATCAATTGTTGTATTTCATCATTCAATAATCGGCCAAGATAATCTTCGGTGGAAAAATCACGACAATAATCACCATATGATTTGGTACAATAAATTTCAATCAATAAATGTTTCAATTTGATAAACAATTTAAATAAATCCACATCATTTTCAACATTAGGATCGGTAATCTGTGATTGAATACAGCGCATTTGTTCCAGCGTGATTTGTTCGAATTCTTCGTCAGTTAAAATGTTGAAAATTTTATCTTTTACTTTGAATATTTTCAATAAAATTTCCAATTTTTCTTTTTGATTTTGAAAATCTTGTTTTGCCAAATTTTTTAACAATATTGTTCGAATAAATCTCATATCATTGATATCAAGATTTTCAATCAGATTGGTAAAATTTTTTGCCAAATACAAAAATGATTGTTGACGAATTTTTTCCGATGAATGTTCAACACCTAGATATAGTGGTGTTTTGGAATTACCAGCCAATGAATATCGAATCGATTTTAGATATTTAGATAAATTTCTAATCATCGGCAATGATGATATGGCCAAATCAAAATAATCGGGATACATTTTTTCCAATAATTTTGTTGTATGACAAATAAATTGATGTGATAAACTATTGTCGTCAACATTATCGAAATTGTTCATCCATGAAACAATGGACATGACAGTATCACTAGAATTGGCAAATGTTTCCAACAATACGTGTAAATAATTCTTATAGGTTTGTGCATCGAATTTGTTTGAATCATTTTGCATCAAAATATTAAGAATAACGGCACGTGGTAAATGTTCCAATTTCAAATCGGTACTCAAACTAATCAATAGATTAATGAAATTATTTTGTACAAAATATTTGGGCAAAACGGTAATATCTTGACATTTGATAATAATTTCGAATGCTATCAATGTTGGTTGTGAAATGGTCAATTTTGGATGAAAAAATGATTTCAATATTTTCTCAACAATCGTTATTTCTAATCGTATCAGATTACAAAGATGACTAAACGTTGTATAGGCAACAATGAATAATTGTTTATCTTCACGACGTATACATCTGGATATTACCGATAGAATGTGTGAAACAATCATATCTTTAGTTGAACGTTGCAAAAGATTCAAACAGAATGATAGTAAAAATGATGGAAACACTGAATTATCTGGATCATAACGCAAGGCTTTGAAAATCGAATCCGTAACATAATGTGTGAATTCCAAATCGGCAATACAATGTTTGAGCAGGCTTGATTTTGTGATTGGTACACCGTTTTCTTGAAATTTTTTCATCCAATAAAAACGATAATTACGTGGATTTTTAATCGCCGAACATGTTTGCAATAAACGAACAAACATTCGTGTTTCATGATACGGAAAAAAGGCACCGATCAATGAATCAACATTATATTCATTGATTCGATATCGTTGAATCATATATTCAAGCACTTTATGTGCATCGGTCAGTTGAAAATATTTTGATATACGGAATAAGAATTCATCAATCTGATCATTAAGCTGTTTGTTTGTTTCTTTATTTTCGATGGCACGATCAAATTTTTTACTCGATTCATGAAATAATGTTGTTTTATATGATCTAAAATGGCCATCAATTTGTATTAGATTTTCAAGACTAATGATAGCCGTCGAATAATGTGTATCAAGATCGATTGTTTTTGCTTGAAAAAAATCATATAAAAATGAAACCGAACCAAATCGTTCATTATGCGATGATGTTTGCGGAAGTTTAAGTTTTTCCAATTGACGAGCTAAACTTGTTGTATTGGACGCCATTATTTAATTATTTCAGATTCAAAAAATTTGACCAAAAAATTTCACAAATTTTTCGAACCAAATCAGACATGTGGCTTGATGAACATGACGTGCATGTGTGGACCATCCATAATAAACATAACAAAAAAAACAAGTAGTTTATGCGCATGTTCACGACATTTAAATATGTAGTTTTTCAAATTCAAATAGGCGGAGTTTTTAATTGATTTTTGAACGTTGGTAAAAAATTGATGAACAAAAAAAAACCGTTGAATATTGTCATTCGTTGCGTGTGTGTGTGTCGTTTCACATTTTGGACATTTCATCATCATCATCAATTTGTTTAAATTTTATCTTTTGTGTTTCAAATAATAATTCTATTCTCTAATGATATAATCATGAACATTTTCAAACGAATCACATCATTTGCCACAAATTCATGGCGTGATTTTATTGAAAATCATGAACCAATTATTGATTCAAAATCCATTTACAATTCTAGTGATGATAATAAATCACATACAAATGATGCTGCTGCTGCTGTGGAAATTATTGAAAATGAAGAAAATTTTGTCATTCGTAAATCATTATCACATATGTTGTTGAAAAAACGTATTCATAAGAAAAAAACAATCACATCGATCATGATGGATGATCCACGTTCGCCTACCAATAATTTTGTTCGTACACCAATTTTGGTCGAACAAATGGAATATAATGGTTAGTGATTTCATTTTGTTGATTAACATGAATTTATTCAAATTTTTTTGTTTTTCCAATATAACCAGATGTATTATCACCGTTCAATGTTACCGATATGCTCGATGCAGTTGAATCGGCAATCGAATGTAATGAAAATACATTGATTGAAAATGTTTGTCCAATGGATATGAATAAATCGGATGGTCCAAAAACTCCCATAGCTAATAATTATGATGATGATGATGATGATGGCGGTAATATCGTCGAAAAGAAATCAATCGAAAAATATGAAACAATTATTCAGGCTGAAAATGATGATAAAATTTTGAAAATTGATCAAATATATGATTGGAACAAGATTGAATTCAAAGAAAAACCATTGACTGATTCAATGATTGTTGAAACATCAGTCATGTCCGATATGACTAGAAATTCAATGTTGAATCAATCAGAAACTCAATCATTGATTGATAACGCTGATGATGATGATGATAATGACGATGACAATGACAATGTTGAGAATAACAATTGTAAAATCATCGGATACACTGTCAAAATAATCGATAATCATCAATCAATTTTAAATAATGAAAATATCGAAACAGTTGTGTCATCGACACCGAAAAAACAAAACCAATCATTGAAACAACAGCGAACACCATTGATTTCGATTGGCAATAGTCCAGTGGTCAAATCGAATATGAAAAAATTTCAAAAAAACCATTCAATTGTAAACAAAAAACGAATTACGAATGGGCAACGTAAATTGCCAAAACAACCATCAACACCAATGACACCATTGAATAGAAATCATATGCAAAATCTAATTTCATTTGACAAGGAAAACTTTTGAATTGATGACAAATTTTGAAAAAATATTTTGATTTGAAACTTTTTTTTTTTTTTGATAACTTGTGTATTTTTTTTTATTATTATTCAAATGTGAATTAATTACAATTACAATTCTCTATATGATTCGCTCATTAATTTTAATTAACACCTTCACATCTACACATGTTTAACTAAATGAATTGATTGTATTATCTTCAAGACCAACATCACGATTTGGTTTGGTAAATTCACGCATATCTTTCAGCGAACGATGTCCATAAAATTCTTGCATTGCAACATTCGGTAATGCATTATCCGGTATGGTTTTAAACACTTTACCACCCCATAATGTTCCAACTTCCCAATCTGGTACGTTTTTCATTAGATCACGTTCAACATTACGATTATGTCGAAGTTGACGCAAAAATCTATTAATTAAAGAATAGAGTTCCAGCATGAATTGAATGTATTTCATGAACAGTGAAATCAAATCACTTACGCTCGATCAATTTCGGCTCTAGCCAATGGTTCGACAGCAATAACATGATCATTATATTCGGCATTCAATTGATGAAGATGACGTTTTCGGCGATTATAGTAGAAAATAGCATAAACGGATAGCATAGTACTACCAATGAAAAATGCTTTGTCTATTCATGAAAATAAATTTAATTTTCTTGTTTTTCATTTTTTTTCTCATTTTTTTTTCACTTACATCCAAAGATACGTTGAGCAGGTATTCGACGAAAATTGATCTCTTCATAGCCTCCGGGTGGAGGCATTTCCTGTTTAGGAGATCCAGCACTATAGGCCGACATGATAATTTGATTGTTTTATCTCTCTCAAAGTTTTTCTTATATGGAATCAGAATATATCAAATAGAAAATCAGATGCTTGATGATTTAATATGATCAAAACAAAAGGTCGACTATATTCAAAAAGTACGTATGTTCATCTCATTTATTTATGGCCGATTCTATGTCGTTTTCCAAACACGTGCTTGAATGATTAATATTTTCGTTCGAAATCATCAATCCATCAACAACAAAAAATGCCTAAAAGTAAATTGTTATTAGAGAAAATAATCGCTCCAACAACCGAAAGTGGTGATGATGATGATGATGATGATAATGATGGTGTTGGAATCAATAATTTTAATGATGAATATTCAGACGATTCTGATGCCGAATTGGCAAAAGATTTTGCTATGGGTAAACTTAAACCAGGTTTATATGGAATGCTTCCATTCAAAAGAACTGCCGAACAAATTAATGACAAAGAAGGTAAGTTACAAATTGATGATTAAGATTTTCGATTTTAAAAAATCTATCATTCAACAAGGTTTGATGAAAAAATTAAACGAAATCAAAATATTCGACGATAATTGGTTGGAACGATTGGATCTAATAAGTGAACCAGCCATTATAACACCTGAATTATTACAACAGTATGGTGATCTTGATCTAAAAGTAAATCGTAAAGGTGAAATATCTGGCGAAGAATTGGATGATCCGGCACAAAATGATTTTAAACGTGAAATGTTATTCTATCGTCAAGCACAAACAACCGTAATGGATTCAATACGACGATTTCATAATCACTATAATATTAAAAACACTCGACGACCAGATGATTATTTTGCCGAAATGCTTAAAAGTGATGAACATATGAAAAAAGTTCATCAAAAACTTGAAACACAACAAACAACAATGGAAGCATCTGATAAAGCTAAAAGACAACGAGATTTGAAAAAATATGGTAAAAAAGTTCAACAAGAAATTCAGCTGAAACGACAACAAGAAAAACGTGAATTATTGGAAAAAATTCAACGATATAAAAAAGGCAAATTGGATTCATTGGATTTTCTTGATCAACCGAATGGTGGACCGTCAACATCGAAAAGTAAACAACAACAACAACCGAAACAACAGATGAATGGTAGAAATGTTAAGAAAAATGGTAAAGCTAAAATTACGAAAAAACAACGATATAAAGAAACCAGATATGGTTATGGTGGTCAAAAAAAACGTTCCAAATATAATTCATCACAATCGGCTGCAGATATGTCCACATTTTCTGCACGTAAAAATGGCCGACCAAAAATCAAAGCAAATCGACCGGGAAAATCACGACGACAAAAAATTAGAAATAAATCCCGATAATAATAAATGAGTTTATGGTTGTAAATTTTTTTTTTGATATTTTAAAAAAATTAATAATCCAAAATTCAACACCTGTTGCCATCTATCGTTTTATTTATTTATTCTGTAATCAAAAATTCTATATATAATCAGCTGTTGTTGTTGTGATTTTTTAAATTTTAAAAATTCAAATGTGGGTGTTTTTTTTCATAATAAATTTTCAACATGACAATCTATAGATTATGGTTGATTTCATTGGCAGATAAAAAGATTCTTTATTCAAAATTTTTTCCAAATCTAGAGAAAAAAGATGGCTACACATTTCCATTGATTACGGCACAAGAATTTATTAAATGTCTATACATTTCATTGGGCATCGATAATCAATCAATCAGTACGAATAATGCAAAAAAGACAAAAGAATCGAATCTAAATATTTCTACATCATCATCATCATCATTTGAAAATCAAGATAATTTTTCTCAATATAGCCGTGATCGACGTTCATCATCATCATCATCATGTTCATTGTCATCATTATCATCGATGATGTCCAATACGACGGTGAATACGATAGCAACAGTTTCAAGACAAACATCACAAATGAATTCATCAACAGAATCAAGTATAATAAAAGAATATCTTTGTCTTTACAATCATCTACCATTGATTGTATGTCCATTGGTCAATATGAGAAAACAACGAGAACGTTCAATATCAATGTCATCATCATCAGTTAGTCATGAAGATATTCATCGAACATCTAAATCAGGTCTTGTTGATAATCTAATTTTATTGGTTTATGAACATCAAGGTTATCTGTTTGTTTGTTGTCCAAGAATTAGCCAAAAATCTCAATTAGAATTGATCAAAACAATAAATCATGATCATTGTGATGCTAATGAAAAACTTTTACTACAAGAACCAAACATTTCATTATCGTATACTATTTTACATATGATATCATCAATGTTTTTTGCTAAAAATAAATCATCACGTTCAATGGAATTATTCATAACCAGTTATATGCCATTTGGTACATTGATCAAAACAAAATCCGATCAAGATGTATTGTTATCATCGAAATTATATCCCAAAGATACTGTCATATCGATACGTTTAACAGAATCACTATCCACTTCATTCCAATCGGATGAACTGAAAGCCCCGGACAATGAAACAATATTCGGTACATTAACATTGAATTATATTGATACAAAACATAAATCATCATCGAAATCGGATATTGTTTTAACCATAGAGAATTTACATTCCTGTTCATTGACATTACCAACCAATTGTTGTACGGTGGCTAATGAATCAACCATAATTTATGATATTAACAATCGTAATCAATATAATCTCAATATAATTCATTATAAAACTAATAATAATAAACAACAAAATGATAACAATGGTAATAAAAATTATTCAGCTGATCGATCATCAAATGAATGGAAATTTTTTCAAACTAAATATACGATTCATAGAAAATCTAGTCAGATACAAAGTTCAGGCCAGCAACAGCAACAGCAACAACAATCATTTATTGATTCAAAAAATATTCACCACATCAATCTGACTCTTTGGATCAATAATAAAATATCATTTGAAGATGTAAAATTTAAATATTTTATCATCAAATTCAGCCTAAATCGTGGCCAATCAAAAAAACAGGTTCAAACGATTGGAAATTCAATCAATAATCTAATTATTCGTGATTCAATACATATTAGCCAAGGACAGTTGAAAAATGAACATAATTCATTAATATGGATGATTGGTAATCGATTACCACGTACATCAAGAAAATTATTCATCGATTTTGATTTACTTATCACAAGAGATAATCTACAAAATCTTGATACACAATGTACATTCAGTCATACAGTACAATTTCGAATGAATTTTCATCAAAAATCGAATCGATCACCAATGAATAATAATAATAATAATAACTTGTCTATGATCCGTAATAATAATACTCAATTGTATGAATCAAAAATTCAATCACCAATCAATATGATACCACCATATCTTAGATTATCGAAAATTGCAATGATTTTCGAACCATCATCAATGGACATTTCGAAACAACAACAACAACAAAACGATCAGCTGAAATTAATAATAATGAATATTGTCATTTTGAATATAATCTAAATAGCTATGAATATCGATTATATCCATCGATAATCGATTCGAATGTTTAAATGTTTTTCAATTATGTGGAAACAATTTATTTACAAGCGAAAAAATGAATGAATAAATGAATATTCTCCAACAACATTTTCATGTATAAAACAAGTAAAATAATAATAAATATAAATATGTGTTTTATCATCAAAAAAAAAATGTTTGTTTGTCGTGTGTGGGTGTGTGTGGATTAACAAAGACAAGATGTATAGAGAGTGAGAAAGAGGTATATAAATCGGAGGCGACGTTCATAATGTATACATTTTTGTGTGTGTGTGTATAAATATATAGAGCAAAAGAAAAATGAAAAAAAAATTGGGAAAAAGACAGCCAATATAGAAAGATAAATAAGTGAAATGATGATGATGATAAAAAATTGAGAGACAGAGAGATAGAAAAAAATGGTAGAAAAATTTGATTTGAAAAAAAAAAAAAAAATCAACAAACAAACGAATAAACATCAATCAACAACAAGTGAGAAAAAAAATGGATGAATCGATCGAATCAATCGATTCATCAATAACAAAATTTTTGTTTGTTTTGGGCGTTTTAAAAGATTTGCACGCTTAGTTTACGAATAATTATGAGCGTAGGAGAGGAGGTTAGTGATGTCTGTGTCTGTATTGGTGTATTTGTAATCGTTTATCATCAGGATTATCCGTTTATTTTTATTGTAAAGTGAATAGATTTGTTTATCAATAAATAAAGTTGGTTTTGTTTGTTTGTTTGTTTGTTGTTGTTGTTGTCACCATGTGTATAAACGACGTGTTTCACAAAAAAAAAAATTTCACGAGTTTTTTTCTTTGTTTTTTATCGAATGTTTTTTTCATGTAAAAAGAGAATTTCTTACCAGAGAATCTCTTTGAATAAATAATCTGGGAATGATAAGAAAAATTCATCTGAATTGATTATTTTTATATGGCGGTTGTATGAGTAATGAGTGTGTTTTTTTGTTTCAATTGTCATTTTTGATGATGGATCAATGTACTTTATACAAGATGATGATGATTTTGATGATCATGATGATCATGATGATGATGAGTATAATTACAATTGATGAGTAAAATTATCGATAATCAATGATCAAAGAATGTTTCTTGATCAATTAATTCATCATACCATTGATGTATCGATAAAATGGCCATTGATAATATTACAATTTGTTGTCGTTTTATTATTGGTGGTAGGAACATTAATATGACGTTTATGAATATGATGATCATGATCATGATAATTCATTTTCATCTTCGTTACTGGATTCAATTCATTTGATGTTGTATTCAATATTTCAGATGAACTTTGTGGTGAATCATGATAATCACCATTATGCTGCTGCTGATGCTGCTGTTCGGTTTGTTGATTTATGGTTAATTTATTCGATTTTTGCTGTGTAAATATCTCCATTGGATAACTATTATGATGGGCAGTACCAACAACTGTTTCTGGTTTTGAAACTGGTTGTTGATTCAATTGATTACTATTGTCGTTATTTAATTTGACACCACTATCATTATCATTCCAAATGTTTAATGTAGTGTTGGTTGTAGCTGTATCATTCGGTATAGATAATCGTCTTGTCTGTTGTATGGTTGGATGATCTGCATCAAATATTTCTTTACCGCTTAATGGAAAAAATTGTACATCTATATCATCATCATTGAGTTGTTTATCATCATCATCTTCGTCATCACTTGATGATGGAGTTGATGATAATGATGATGATGATGATGAACAGATCGAGCTACTTGTATGTGAACCATTCAATGGTACTAAAGTTTCATCTTTTTGGTTATTATTATTATTATTATTCGTTTCTTTTCCAACATTTTTCTGTTGCTGATTATTATGATGATCATTATCATTATTATTCTTTTCTTCTGCTTTCAATCTATCAATATTGTAAAAACTGACGTTAAGGAATGTTTCCTTTTCGGCTATATGATTCAACATGATCTGTATTAAACGCAGGAATGTTGGTCGTGATTTTGGTTTCTTATTCCAACATAATAACATGAGCTGCCACCTGTAAATTGTACAATAAGTAATTTGAAAATAAAGAAATCAAATCATCATTTTTAGTTATTACTTACATGACTTTTGGACAATTTTCTGGTTCAATCATATGATTACCATCCATGATATATTTGAGAACTTCTTCATTAGACATTCCATGATATGGTTGTGAACCTAAAGTAACAATTTCCCATAGCACCACACCATAGGCCCAAACATCGGAATAAGTAGTGAAAATACCATCCTTCAATGATTCTGGACTCATCCATCGTACTGGTAAAAATCCTTTATCACCTTTACGATAATAATCTGATTCACAGATATCTGTGAAAAGAAAAGATTTTTGGTGTTAGAAAAATAAAATCAAAACTATCTATTCACTGTCTAACCTCTAGTCATTCCGAAATCACCGATTTTAACTGTCAAATCTTCAGATAGCATACAATTACGTGCAGCTAGATCACGATGAACAAATTTTTTAGATGCTAAATACGCCATACCATCAGCTATCTCGATGGACATTCGATAAATTTGCAACAATGTAGGTGGCGATGGATTCAAATTTTCCTGATCATCAGGGTCGATTTTTACGGAGATAATTACGCAGATCACCGTTAGGCATAATTTCCATTAACACTAAAAATGGTTGATCTTTGGAACATATTCCCATTAATTTGACCACATGATGACAATCTGTGAATGATCTTTTTTTTGGTAGAAAAATAAAATTTGAATCAATCAACATAAAATTACAATATAATAAATGAGACACATACTTCATAATTTCAGCTTCTTTAAGAAAATTGGCACGATCACGAGCACCTTTATTTTCATTCAATTTTTTCACCGCACAACGAATGGTCAATTTATCTTTGATAAATTCACCCACATAAACCTTACCAAATGAGCCTTGACCAAGCTCATGGATCAAAGTTATTTTATCACGTGGTATCTCCCATTTCGGATCCAATTTATAATCTAAAAATAATATAAATTGAAATTATTTCTAAAAATGAAAGAAAAAACTGAAAATACATACTAAAATTGGAATTAATATAATCTGGATTGACCGAAATGTAGTCCAATTTGTTCTGATTGACACGATATTTATAATACACAATAGCTATGATTATTGTCAAAATGAATATGATGAATATGGCGATAATCACAAATTTAAAATTAGCGTTAGCCGGTTCTTCAATATAAACATAGATTGGTTCGGTCCAATTTCCATAATCGGCCAACGAAAGTGCACGCAAACGAAACGAATAATTACCCGATGGTAATTTGATATTATAACCATTATCATTACGATGATGATCATTTGATGAGATACAAATAAATTGTTTTGGAAATTCTTCAGATTGATATTCAATTTCATAGCTAAGTATAAAACCATTCGGATCGGTCGGTGGCCGCCAACGTAGTGTTACCGATGATAATGAACTTGATGTACTATTCTCAAATGAATATGATATGAATGTTTTATTAATATCATCGGCACCAGGCAATGGTAATGTTTTAATTGATGTTATTGCCGATACACTACAAAATTTTCGTTCTTTACTGTCATCTTGACATGCTACAACTTCGATAATATATTCAGTATAATGTTTAAGATCTTTGATTTGAGCATATTCAGTAAAGACTGTTACTTTTGATTGAAATGTTGACAAAGTTTCATTAGTGGCTGATGGTTGTAATAATGGTGATTCAGTAGTTGAATTCATATCAAATGATGTTGTTGTTTGTGGAATGTTATTAGATGTGGTCAATAAATTTTCATCGTCATGACCATCACCATCATCATCACTATCATTATGATGATGATTCAATTTATTATCTACAATTGAAAATGGATGATCATCAATTTCATTTTCAATTATTGATGAATTATTTTTTATGTTATCAAAGTTTTCATCTTTAATATGTCGACGGCTACGATTATCACCGTTTATCATTCTAAGATCTTCATCAACATTAGTGATTGATAATTTATCCATCCTGTAAAAATAGTTGAAAAGGGGGGGGACAGGGAAGAAATATTGAAATATGATGAATCTATTTTTGAATGATTCAAATTACCTTTTAACATATACAATATTTAACAAAGTATCTTCAAAAGAAATACTTTGTTCAACATCATTTGGTCGAAATTTAATCTGACTTTTTCCACCATCATTATTCGTTTGTTTTGGTTTTTTATTATTATTTTTACTATTACAGCTACAACATTGTTTTGATGTTAATGTTATATTCGATGCTGTCGATGTTTTTGGTAAAACAACAACAGCTGGACTAGTCATTTGACTTGATGAACGTTTACCACATTGTATTGATCCACGTTCCATATGAAAAAAATTTGAATATTTTTCTTCTGTCACAGTTACTTTATATGATTTTACAAGACCATTCGGTTTGGATGGTGGTTCCCATCTTAGAATGATTTCAGTAGATTTCATTGCTTTTGCCCATAAATTTAGTGGTTGTGAGGGTGCTGTTGAATTAATTTCATAATGATTAATATCATGATAATTTTAGGAAAAAAAAACAATGATACTTACTATCAGGTTTTGTTGTAAAATATTTAATATCACTTTGTGCACCTTTATTAGCTGTATTAATTGTATATGTTTTTATATACAATGCATATTGTGTAAATGGTTTAAGATTTGTAATCAAATGTTCATGATGAGTATTATTATCATTTTCAACAATATCATATTCACGAACAGTCCATTCATTATTTGAACAGGCATTGACGCCATCAAAAATGGTTACATTTTTATTTTCACTGTTAACAAAAAAAAAAACGGAAAAAACAATCTGATCAGATTACAAGTGATAATTGAAAAACAATGAAAACAACTTACGCTTCACGAGTATAGATTAAATATCCAACTAATGAACGTTGATCTTCCATTTTGTTGGCAAAATTTTCAAATTCAATAATAACCATTTCCGGACCACTTTGTTTGATTCGTACATCTAACACGGATACATTACATGGAACTTTATCACCATTCGAATGTGATGATACATCACGTTCATCCCATGGTTGATGTAAACCATCAACATAATCAATCATTGAAAGAATTTTTTGATAACATAATTTTGGATTCAAATGTACAAATATCTGTCCACGTTGTATACGGATACGTTTTTCATTGTTGATCATAAATTCATCTGATTTAAATGGCCATAAATCTTGTAGATTTGGATTATCAAATATAAGCAATGAATATGAATTACGTTCCAATGAATCTCCACGTATTAATTTAAGATTTCGTAAAAAATTCAATGTTATCAAAGGAAATGAACGAGCAATTCGTAGATATCCGGTTATTTCAACCAAATCTTTAAGATATTCTTGTAATTCCTGTACAATCTGTGAATCCTGATCATTGATGTATATTTCGAGGCTACCATTTATTTTCGTACATCCTTTTAATGCTTGTGCACTGGCAATGTTGTTTATCTGTGTACTTTCACAAACTGTCAATAATGATAATAATAATAACAACAACAACAACAACAACAACAATAATAACGGATGAATAATTGATATATGTTGTCAATATTTGTAAAAAAAATGAATAATTACTTTTTGGACATGTATGTTCACATTTAACACATTTGTTTGAATCATTTTGATCTTCTTCATAACCAACTGGACATTGATGATCACATTCACCACCAAATGCTTTGAAACGATAACGTTGATAACCAGTTGATAATTTTGCTGACAATTGATGACATTCATCTTTACTTAAACAACGACGATTCAAATACTAGATAATTTTTTTTTGTAAATAAAAAATGGAAAAATGCAGATTAATAATAAAAATTCGTTGAAAAAAAATTCTAATCACTTACAGCATAGCTACCATTTGGACATGTATCATAACAACGATTTTGATAACGAAATTTTTTACAAGAAAAACATTTCCAATTCATTTGATCATCATTATTATCATTATCATCATCGTTATTATTATGATTAAGATCGCGTATACATCCACCAAGACATTGTTCAGGACAACATTCACCTGTTCTTGCACATGTTCGATTCATTGATTCACATTCGGTTAAACAAACTGAATTGGAAATAAAATAAAAAAAACAATCAATAAAAATAATAATCAATCAATCAATCAAAATACTTACAATGTTTTTGGCAAATATCACGTGTCCAACAAACACGATTATCACTATCACCAATTACTTTACCATCAATACGTCTTGCACTAACACGTGGACATTTTTCATCACAATTTGGACAAGATTTGTGATCTTTATTTTTCTAAATAGCACAACAACAACAACAACAAAATTAACCACATTTAATAATCAAATGGATACATACCGAGATCAAAAAATGTTTAGCTATACGGCTCCAATCTACCGTATCAACAAAACAAAGATTTGGATTCTTTTCAATACGTATATCGCCACGTACAATATTTGTTAAACTTTTTAGACCAATCTCCTGTAATGATAACATTTCATAGATGACAAATGCATAATTATGTAATAATGTACGGCCACGTATAACCGATAAATTTGGAAACATTTTAACCAATGATAATAGGCCACTAACACGAAATACAAGCAAATAATCGGTTATTTCACGTAATTTTGGAAAAGTTATATTTTCGTAATCAATCGGTTTGCCATTATCAATGAGTACAATTTTAAGAAAACCTTCTACAACAGTACAGTTTTCTAATAGACGAAAATTGGCCACCGTATTTCTTATATCGATACTGCTACAAACTTTTTAATTATTGTCAAATAAATTAAAAAGTTGATTAATTTTTTTTTTAAACATTTTATCAAACTTACCATGTTCTTCAAAATGTATGGATTTTGTATTGAAGAATGTCGTTGTTGTTGCTGCTGTTGTTGTTGTTGTTGTTGTTGTTGTGATAAAACAGGATTTGCAGTAAAGGCAGCATGTATAATTTCATGATGACCATCATCATCATCATCTTCATCATCATTTGAATCATTCATTGATGATGATGATGATGACATGATGACAAAGACAACGATGTTGTACCGAATTCCATTACCGGAATATTCGTTGTTGTTGTTGTTGTCTTTGATGATTCCATCGACATTGGAATTGTTATAGCCGTTGTATCGGCTATTGCAAAAAGATTAATCGTAATCATAACAAATAATAATATTGATGTATAATAGTAGAGCAATAATAATAACGTTGACGATGATGATGATGATGATGTATGATGTTTTTGACTATTTGTTGTTGTTGAAGATGACAATGTATTGTTATCATCATTGATGATGTGATTTTTATTATTATTGAATAAAAATGGATGATGACAACGATCACGATAATGTTGATGATGATGTCTACGACATCCATGTCTATGATAATTATGATTATGATTATGATGATTTGCACGTGTCCAATTGCAGAATAAATATGAATAAATTTTACGAATCAATGAAAATGATACTGATGGTAATGTTGATGTTGATGATGATGATGATTGTTTTGTAGCCACCATTGTCGATTTTGTTTTTGTTTTAGTTGTTGAAATTATGGAAGATGATGATGATGATGATAAATTATTTACATTATGATGATGATGATGATGATGATTGAATAATATGTCATTATTCATAAGTCGATCCATTATCAATCGATAATTTGTTGTTGTTGTCGACATTAATGTTAAACTTGCAGCTGATATCATTGTAGACATTTTCATTGATATTATTATGGCATACAATGTAAATAATGCCAATAATAATGTTGATAATAATCGTTTTAAAAACATTATCATCATAATCATTATAAATTCCAAACAATTTTTTATACAAATTAATATTATTTGTCCATCATCATCATCATCATCATCATTATGATAATGGTGGTGGACATATTGATGGTGGTAATCATCATCATCATCATCATCATATTATAATAGTAGTGATTATTGTAAAAATTTTCACTTTCTATAATAATCCTGATCAACATTATGGATGATGTTTGAAATGATGATGACAATGATCATCATCATCATAATCGATATCGGTTTGTTTTAATCGAATATTGGTGGATGGTAAAAAAAAAATCTTGGAATATCAGAATGATTTGTGTGTGTGTGTGTGTTTTGGAAAAGGGTAAATAGATGTTTATGATGACGATTGCACTCGTATATTTTTTTTTTTATTATTCCACCAATTACATTGATATAGATAGAATGTTGAATCATCAAATGCAACTTTCTATATGAAATTTAAATTCATATATAGAGTGTGTAAGAATGTTGTTGTTGTTGTTTGTGGTTGGTAAAAGATTCGTTTGTAAAAAGTAGAAAATTGTTGACAGAAAAACAAGTTTCAATGTTGTGTTGTTCATTGATCATGATGATGATGATGATGATGTTGATTATTTTCTCACTACAAATAGAAAAATTTTTTCCTCTGAGGTATTGATTATTTAGCCGGTATATGAATAATATTGCACCTTGAAATTTAAAGAAAAAAAAAACCACCACTTGTTGTTTATTGTTGATTTGAAAAAATAAAAAAAATTTTCATTCAGTTGTTTATTTTGCTGTTGTTTCTATAATGATGTACACAAAACATACAAAATCAATCAATTAATCAATCAATCAAAGATTGATCCATGATGTATCAGATTCAATGATGATGATATTTAAATTATTAAATGTCCAAATTGTATTTATAGCTGTAGTTGTTGATTTTGATGGCGATGATGATGATGAACATGTAAACAATGTTGATAAAATCAAATTATGATGATGTTGATCATGATTATGATGCGTTTCAATTCGATTACGTTTTCGTTTCATCATCATCATCATCATTTTTGTTGCTGTTGTTGTTGTTGTTGCGATTCATCAAATGACATGATTTTCAGATTACCTGGAAGAAAAAAATTGAAGAAAACAAAAAAAAAAATAGAATTCTGAAATAATGTAAAAACGAATTGACAAAGGAAAAAAAAAAAAAAAACGTCGTCATCATCATTCCATTTCATTTCATTGTTTAGCGAATGAAATGAATGAACCATTACCGAAATAATGATGAAAATAAAAAAATATTGAATCAATGACATTCAATATACACATAGTATGTAGTAGTTCATCATCATCATCATCATCATTAGTTTTATTATAGAATAAAAAAAAGCAGGCAAAGCAAGTTTATTTCGTTTACCATACACACACACACACACACACACAAAACAAAGACATTGACACTATGGATGACCTTTTTCCTTTTTGGTTATATATATATATATTGCTTTTTGAATTTTATACTGGATTTCAATACAAAAAAAAAATGATGCTCAATATGGAGGTGAATGATTTATCCTACTAGCTACTATAGAAAAAAAAGTAACGAAAAATGTAAGGACAAGTAATAATGCTGGTCTTTGCCCTCCGTATGCATCGATTATGCGACGACGACGACGACGCAATGATGATGATGATGACGACTAAACACACACACACATTATAAACAAGACTCAACTGGTGGTAGTTGAAATGATTATGTAGATGATGATGATGATCGTGGTCGTTGCCATCATCATCATCATTCATCTGTGGTGTGGTGTGGCATCATGGTTTAAATAATATAAAAAAAAATAGTATCGGTGGTGGTGGTGGTGATGATGGTGATTCGGGGGTAAAAAAAAAAGAATTATAAATGATTATTATTGGATGATGTCAATGTTCGGTAATATTCAAAAGTAGAGTGAGAGTGAATTTTCAAATTTTTTTTTCTTCTTGAGAAAAAAAAGGTATATTCCCATTTAACGGACAATGAACATTCGAATTCAGGTGTGTGTGTGTGTGTGTGCATGTCTGAATAATCGGATCAAACACACACACACACACAAGCTCACACACACCAGGTGGTCATCCTCCTTATGATACATCGATTCGATTCGAATGTTTTTTTTTTTTTTTCTTCAATTACAAAAAAAAAATTTCAAACTTGATCAACAAGATCAACATTCCATCCACAATTTTTTTTATATGTCACACACACACACATACAGACAAACATAAGCCGGTAATTTAATGATGATCGTGGAGTTACGTGGCCAAAAAAACAACAAAACGTCAACAACAACAAAAATCAATCGATTAAGAATCGTTGTTGATGATGATGATTCATTATAATTTACATATTACACAATTCAATTTGATATATAATCTCAAGAATCGAATCAAATCAAATCAAGTCAAAAAAAACAGAAACCTCATTTCAATTAAAAAAAAAAATCCTCATGATTCAAATGTTATGCATGCATGTGTGTGTGTGTATCAAATCTATGTTATTCAAAAGATTTTCGAAACACACACACACACAAAGGATTAAGTCAAATTTCTAATTGGTGATTTATTCTATAAAGAGAAAATAAAAAAGAAACGAAAAAAATTAACCCCAGTTTTGTGTGTGTGTGCAGCACTTTTTTTCCCTCATCGTTTTATTGTGTTTTGCATAATAATAATAATCATTATTATTATTTTATTTGGTTGTTCGGGTACCGAATATTTTTTTTTTCTTCACAAAATTCGGTTCATTCGATTTTTTTTTCTGGCCAATCAAAAAAAAAAAAAAAAAAAAAAAATGGAAAAAATGGAAAACCTCTGGATCACTGGAACTGTCAAAAACAATTTTCAAAAATACGGTAATCGGTTATATTTATATTTTTGGTTCCAAAAATGAATATTGAAAAAAAAAATTTTTTTTCCTACCTAATACAAGATTAGATTATGGCTAGGTGTTGCTATTTATATCCGGGTTTTGCCCTCTCTCTCTCTCTGACTCTTTCTCCGTGTTTCAAAATTCAAATTAACAAGAGTGAACAAAAAAAAATAGATTTTCGTTTGTCCATTTCAAGATCAAAGATTCTGATTAACACAAAACAAAAACAAATTTTCATTTTTTTTCTCTCCAAATAGAAAATCGAAGGTTAAGGCCAAGATTTTCAGGACAATAATATATTATCTATCTATCTATATCTATATCTATCAACCAACCAACAACAACAACTACTACTACTACAGCGATTCCATGGAAAAACAAATATACACACACACACACACAAAAGATAGAATGAGACTGAAATTCAAATTCATGAGAATTAAAGTTAACAAAAATCTCAGTATAGATAGATGATGATACAACTTTGACAATTTAAAAGATAAAAATTGGTTTGAAATGAACACCAACGCATACAATTCTTCAATTTATTCTCACGCACCTCTTCCCACCCACTACCTAGAATGAAAAAAAAAATTTATATTGACATTTCAAAATAGCAGAGTAATAAAAGTAGGAGTAAGTTTTTTTGGATCAAACAAAACAAAACAAAACACAAAACAAAAATGATCACCACATATTATCGATGTTGGAAATCTCTATTTTTTTCGCTAAAAAAAAACTCGTGCCACAAAAAAAAATTATCTAACACACACACACACACATTACCCGACACATTAATCCATATTTTGTTTACAATTTACAGAAATAAAAAACAAGACATGATGACGAAATGACAATAGTGAATTTTTCAAAAAGAAAAGAAAAAAGAAATTTGAAAACACAAAGTAACAGACACACACACACACACACATTGAATATACAAAGGAGGAAAAAAAATTGAAAAAAACAACAAACTAAAGAGATATTCATTCATTCCATTCCATTTCATTTCAATGATGGAAAAAATGACGAGGAAAAAAACCCATCATCATCGTAGGAAAAATTAAAAAAATCCTCATCTCTCCCCCTATTATTCAATAAAGGATTGAAATGGTGATGATGATGATGATGATGATGAAATTTTTCACTTTTTTTTTCTTCTTGTTACTTTTTATCATTTTGTTTTTCACTTGAAGCAATTTTTCTTGTTGTTGTTGTTGTTATTTTTGTTTTCATCGCTATTTCTTTTACCACCAAATACATACATACATTATCATTATCATCTTGATACAATGATGGTGGTAGTAAAAATATTGGAATCTTTTTCAACAGGCAAATTCTCAGCCAATCTTAATCAATCAATCAATGGTGATGATGATGAAGTTAATCAATTATTCAACAGGCAAAAAAAAATACTAACAGATCAAAAATATAAAACAGAAATTAATCAGATTATCACCAATGATGATTATGTATGTATGCAGAAAAAATAAAAAGAATGTGAATATTGAATCAAACCCCCCTCCCAAAAAAAAGTAGAAAACATTTTGACGAAACAAATCATCAAAAATCAATAAATTGGTGGTCAAAACAAATAATCAATCTATATACATATCAATTTGGTGAAAAAATTTAAAAAGTCAATCATGTTGTGATGGTATGAAATCTTTTATCATATCATCATTTAGTGTGTGTGTGTGTGTGTGTCATATATGGGGGTTTGTTGTTGCTGTTCAAACAATCCAGAAACGGAAAATTACTGCATTTAATAATAACGGTAATAATCATTAACAAGCGAATAAACAAACAAAACTAA